AGACTTATTAAAGATACATTATGGGAGATTAGATAGTGAGTTGCCAGTTCTCACTATAATAGTTAAAACCTAGATAATGTAAAGGCATTTGCTGAAAATTTCAGTCAAATTGATCCACAAAAATCATACTCTCGATTATCCATTTAATCGTTAAATCGAGAAGGAAAGTTATGCAGCAAATCGGATCATAATCCAACAAATATCGCAGGCTAGCGTCGACATCGAGAGTTGATTATGGTCTGGATACGTTAATTAATGTCTAATTAATAGTTAATTTAACATTTCAGGCCTAAAGAAAGACCTACAACAGGCAGATTTAGCTCTTGCATAATGTATGTTTAAGTCGCATTGATGTCATCCTTATCAGTGATTGTAGCGGCCTAGCGAATATTCACTGCGGATCAGAAATAAAATGAAATGAAATGGGGTTTAACATCCTACTGTTCTGCTCCTAACCTGGGCTATTGAAGACGGGCATACACCATACAGTGTGCTATGAGGAAAATTTTGCCCGGGCAGCGCCGCTACGGCCTACTCTTATATCGAATTCCAACTGCCAAGAGATCTTTTACGTGCACGCCAATGTGTACACATGACCTCGGTTTTTCGTCCCATCCGCACGACTAGACAGCTGTCCTTGTCAGACCGGCGTCCTGCATCACTGACAAGGGGAAAACACGCCGGAAAATCGGGATGAACTTTCTCGGCCAATGCAGGGATCGAACACCCGACCTCCAGGCTAGCGAACCAGCGTCTTACCCACTTAGACTGCGGATCAGTGTGCACGGAAACGCAAACCAAATTCCACGATCTAGAGATACCTACTAATCAATGTGATATTGACCATTCTGTCTGTTTGTTAACCTCTATATTGCATGATGCAGCCGAAAGCATGATCATACGACCTAGCTGTACAAGATTGAGAGAGACTCGGCCGATCTGGTGGGACAGTCAATGTGAAAAACTAAAAATAGAAAAATATTAGACTTGTTTCGGAACAGCAAGGAAAATGAAGATTTGTTGAAATATAAAAAGTGCCGAAGTAAATTTAAAATGCACTGTGATACAAGGAAACGAGCAGAGGCGGCAAGGACTCGATCGATCAGACAACACAACAAACCTTTGTCAGAAAGTCAGCAGATGTTTGAGAAAAGAAAGGGTCGTACAAACCATATCAGCGACTCAGTGGTTCACTTTCTTTGAAGACCTGTTAAATAATAAATTCGAGACAGACGATGATTTGGAGCGAGAATGATTGTAAGGACTAAAACAATGAATCAGATGATAATCTAGATATTGAAATAAGCATAAAAGAAATCCTTTCGGCAGTCAACAGTTTACCGAACTAAAAAGCACCTGGGCCGGACGTAATTGTTAATGAGATAATTAAAAATTCAATCCATGCAATACTGCCTTATTTGCATGTTATTTTCAATCAAATTTTTAGTAGTGGGACTTTTCCAAAGAGCTGGCGGATGCCATCATTCATCCTGTCCACAAAAAGGGTAATCCTATGGACCCAAATAACTATAGGGGGATTTCGCTTGTGTCATCAATAAGTAAGCTTTTCACAAAAAATCATTAGCAGTCGTCTAACCCTATGGTGTGAGGTTAATCAAAAGTACTGTGAATGCCAAGGTGGTTTTAGAAAGGGTTATAGCACAGTGGATGAAATCTTTACCCCCCAATCCTCTATACAAAAATACCTTACAAAAAGGGAGGTCGTATGTACTGTATATTTGTAGATTTCTCCAAAGCTTTCGACAGAGTCCAGCATCATTTTATATTATATGTGTTATACAAAAATGAAATCCGAGGAAATGTCTTCAGAGTCATAAGATCGATGTACTCAAATCTTAGATCATGTGTACATACCAGCAAAATGCAACTTTCAGATTATTTTGATTTTACAGTAGGAACCCGACAGGGCTGCACGATAAGCCCGCTACTGTTTGTACTGTACCTCAACGAGTTAAAAGAAATGTTAGATAATTACAATTGTAAATGAATTTTTTTTGTTGATCCAGTTATAGATATGTATCTTTAATGTATGCTGATGATATTTCATGTATAGCGGATACGGTGCTCAGGCTACAGTCACAAATTGATTGTATAAATGACTTCTGCAAAAATTTGGGCAAGAAAGTAAACTTAAACAAAACTAAAGTTGTAGTATTTAGGAGGGGTGGTATTGTGAAAGCAAATGAACAGTGGCGGTTTGGCGGCATCAAAATCGACACCGTGTCCTCTATCGGCGGTTATGTGATCCCCATCTTTGATCATTACAGTATAAGATAATTTGTATTATCGTAGTTCAAATTGTATTAGAAATCGTTCAATAATCATTATAATCATACTTATATATTTTTGTACCTAATTATTTATTAATAAGATATATTAATAAATGGCTATTTTCAATCCATTCACAGTGTTGTTGTATTATACGTGCTTTGATCAAACTGAGCAAGATACTGTGTTGGCATAAATAAATATCTAGCTATCATGTTAAGTCCAAAATTATGCTGGTCTTTGGCTATAAATACTCTTGTACAGCAAGCCAGGAAAGCTACAAATATGCTTCTATGTTTCATACGTAGAGAAAACATTAATATGCTTTGTTTCTTATGATAGTTCCAATTGTATGCTCGGTTCGGAAATATGGGGATATACACGCCGTGATGCGTCAGATATACTACAAACTCAATTTTGTAAATCAATACTAAATGTAAACTCAAGTACTTGTAATGCAGCCGTATATGGTGAGCTAGGTAGAACCCCATTGTTAGTAAATTATTTGTTTAAATGTATTAAATATTGGTTTAAGTTTTTATATATGTCAAATGCTAGATTTCCGAAAGCTTGTTATAATATGCTTGTAAAATTGGATAATAATGGCAGAGTCACGTGGGCCACAAACATCAAATTTATATTATATAAATGTGGATACGGGTTCGTCTGGGATCTACAATAAGTTGGAAATGTTCAGATGTTTCTACAAAGCTTCAAGCAAAAATTAATAGATTGTTGTTCACAACAGTGGTCACGCGATGTATCTTCCAATTCTAAACTTGAACAGTACAGTCATTTTAAGTCCATACTCGAACCTGAGAAATATTTGTCCGCTATTTATAATAATAAATCTCGACGAAGATATTCTCGTTTTATCAAGCAAATGATTCAGTATGTGAATAGTAGACACATACAGAATATACAACAAAAACAACAATTGGTATTTTGGTTGCTGTTGCATGTTCTTTATATTTCGCTTTTCCACATAAAGCAAGCGGATTCTTTTTCCACATGTTTATTTTTCTATCCGTATTGATGATAATCAACATCAATCAGCTGGGCCTCCTGTTTTAATTTTATTATGACAAAGGGAGAAAATGATCACCCACCTTCTCTTCTCACGACAGCCAATTTTAACACCGTGTTATACAAGAACTTTATTTTATGTTTTACCCATTTTTTTTTATATTACGCCTTCTTATGTAAATTAACCTGTTCATAATATCATATATTATTGGAAGTTAAGTAATTTGTAATAAACAACAGCAACAGCAGCCCACTGACTGGCCACTTATTAATGCATTTTAATGTCATGCTGCGATATCGGACCAAAGAGGGTAATTAAAGGTATCTGCTGCAATAGGGGAAGATGACAATGATTGTTCAAGTAACCATACAACAATAACAAATAGTTCATCTGACTAGTATTGTAACAATATCGGCCCACCACTATCCTGTCAACCTCTACCAGATTTTCTGAGAAATTACCTCTTTAACAAACAAATAAATCCATTTTTAAAATTATTTTTATTCCTCACTTAACTTAAATACATAATACATCAACTTTAAAGCTTTAAATGAACCAGGATATAAAATGAATGAGATTTAATATAATATAATATGGCGGACATTGTCTAATCCAATGAATAGCCAGTTGGTGCTCTAGAGAGTTGATTATGTGCCTATACGTTTTAAATAAATTTCTACCTACTAACATAAACAATATTCGAAGCCAGGTTTACCTCTTACATAATAAGTTTCGGATCCCGTTGGAGACAGGGCCCCACCCACTCGCCCACCCCTCGCTCTAAGTAACGGTATAAAAATTCACCTATAATAATTCTGTTTCTATGTAACGTGTAAACTTGAGGCGTCCGCAACTGTATATAATGCATCTTTCTAATAATACTCAAAAGTAAAATAGAATTGCCAATAACACTCGTCTGATCGACAATATGTCGTTTATTTGACTACTTTTAATTGTATATGGTCTTATATTCGATTGTCTGATCTTTGTCGGTGACCCTATTGAGTCTATTCTCAGATTCAGGTGCCCCTTTCTTGGACTCGGGGCCCTTGCACTAGGGTCAACGGGGAACTTTTCTCCAATTCTCCACTGAGGGCCCCTGTCACAGGGGTACCACATTAAGTTTTTTCTCCAGATTTAGCTTTTTCTTTCATTTTTATTTTGGAGATTTTCAAATTCGGGTTGTAGGCTAGCGCCTCTGCTATAATCCGCTATATAGCCTACTACTGATTGGAAGTGGAATAAATCATAAAAATTAAATTGTGCTCTTAAAACTGAGCACGGTCACTCATTTATCCATATTCATGTTTCCTATTATTCGAGTTTTAAAAACTGTATATCCCGATTTGGTAGATGAAGAGTTATATATTTGCAAATGATCCTGTCAGTGTATCAGATAACAAAAAGCCATCCACGATGGCCGAGAATCTGGATAATCCGAAACAATTTATCTGGATATTCAAAGCTATGGGAACTATTTTTGGATGATTGAATCACTGCGCTGTACATAAAATTGATAATGATCTTCAAATAATGTATCTTTATTTTTCATTGCTTTACGTTGAATGGGCATAAGAAACACTAGTATTAAGCGCATAGGCGAAAGGAAGGTTATGGAACCAGTGAAATCGTATGCTAGAGATTACCTCTCTTTTATATCGTAGCCATTTCCGGGAAGTGTTGTTAGGTCTCGGCTTATTGATAATGTACATAAATAATGTTGTGAATTGAATTATAATATTTTGGTTATATTCTTGTTTTTTTTCGTTTGACTTCAGTAATATTCAGGTAATTTTATATACCTACAATAAAACTCTGCTTTGAGTTTGTTTTTGGCGAGATTCAATGTATAACAATAAACAGTGGACAGTGACAATTGCTCATGAATCCAGGTCAAAAACAAAAAAATGCCCAGAAATATGACATTGACAGATGACATGTCAGTTTACACAATTGATATATTGGGGATATTATCAGCTTGTTTGGTCTACTCTATACCTTTTAGTCTTAACAGTTAAATATCAGGTTTGGCAAAGCTTCCATACAACCACACTATCAGTTTAAACTGATGATCATCATCATTTGACATTTGGGAAATTTAGAATCGATGGCAATAAATTATTGTGAACATTCATTCTGAAAACATCAGTCCAGAATGGTTCAATTTCATTTAGTATTTGCGAAGATATGATGACTTGAAAATTTCGCAACATTTAGCATCCTCTGCTGATGATATAAACAAACCAGCGCCACATATAAGTGTTGGGTAAAATCTTTTGATGCTGTCTTCTTTTTTATCCAAATTAACCCAAACCCGGGTTAAAAACAAATGTATATCAAGTCAAGCGAATGAGAGGAGCCGGCTGTAACCAACTGTACACTGCACTGTGCAATATAACAAACCTGCGGACAAGACGTACAACAACCACACAGAGATTGTAAGCAACAAACACACATCGAATAGATTCGAGCCAGCATTCACTGTGCTGTACAGTTCGGGGCCTGTAGTAATACTGATAGTATGATACAGGCTTCACACTCAAAATAAAAACAATTTAACAATAAGGGAAACAATCCATGAAAAAAAGAGGAATATTTTCCAAATGTTGTATCATACCTGTATTATCAGCACATTTTGTTAAAATACTTCTTGATTATTATTTCAGTAGAGCTGATGTAAAGTAATTGTATAAAGATGTCTGGAGGAAGTAGTATTGTAGTACCTATGGTACTATGGGGTAAATATGCTCCTACACATTGTATATCAGCTATACTCTCTACACCTGATATGAAGAATATTATAACAGGATGTAATGATGGACAGATTTGTATTTGGGATTTGACAGATAATGGACAGGTACTTTTTAATTATAACTGATTTAAAATGTTTTTGACATTTGACGGATAATGGTCAAATAATTTACTTTAATTTATATTTAAAATGCATTTGGGAAATAAAAATACAAACTGGTTGTTCATGTAAAAGATCCCATGACAGTTTATAGACTAGTTCACATGAACATTACTGTCTAGGCAATATGACCAAGGTATTGTATTGTGCGATTAGGCCCCGCAGAATATTCATTAATAACTCATAATACTCATATATGTATGTATCAACAATAATATTATTTTATGTATTTCATCATAGAATGATACATGTATGTTTTTTCAGTTATATCCAAGAAGTATGTTATTTGGTCATACAACATCCATCAGTTGTCTAGCACTGGGTAGTAACCAAACAACACAACCATATATAGTCAGTGCTTCAGAAAATGGGTGAGACTTGTTTTTTCTTTGCTTATTTTTCAATTCTATAGCTACAAGGAAGTAATGATTATTAGTAGGCTTAATTTCTAGGAGTATTTGGGTTGATTTTTCTGGTTAGAACAGCTTTGAATTCGTTATAATAAAAGTCACATGTCTGACAATTCAATTAGATAATTAGATACACTTATAGTTGGTTCCATTTTAATTTTATATTTCAATATTATAAACACTTAGTTTAGACATTGTTTGAGTCAAAGCATGCCCTAAATTATGTGACATCAGACTAGAATCGTTGATGTACCATGCTAAATACATATACATGTAGGTATCTGCGAAATGACATATAGCTGTTTTGGGGCATATGAGCAGTGTGACCAAGGCCCTGTTTTACCGGGGTGTTGGATGGTCGAATGGTTAGCATGTGCGCACTATATCATAAGGTCTGTCATTGAGTCAGCTAGCATGGTTTTTATTCCCCATTTTCGATTCCCCTGAGTAGGGTCGCCTGTCCAACCTCGTGGGTTTTCTTCGAGTCCTCTGGTATCCTCCCACTGCTAAAGACCCCTACGCGCAAGCAAATTATTGAAATAAAAAATTAAACCATGTGTTAGTCACGAAATGACCTAGTGTTTGTGTCGAGTGGAGGTTAAACCCCATCTCTCTCTCTCTCACTCTCTCTCTCTCTCTCTCTCTCTCTCTCCCTGTTTTACCATATTGCAAAATATTATGAAACTCATACAATGTTATTTATTTGTACAGTGAGATGTGTTTATGGGATATAAGTGATGGCCGTTGTATTGAACATACCAAAATGTCTCAAGTACATACAGATATGGTGGTAGGGTATTTTTATATAGATTTCATGTTGATAAAATAACATGATTTCACTCATATTTTTGAAGTGTAATTCAAAAGAATAAAAATCATACTCAGTACTGCGTGATTTACTCAAAAAAAAGATAAATTCATTTTTATTAAACTCCTGTTCCTGTCATCCATTTTAACCCTTTTACACGGAGCAGCAAGTTCTTGAATCCTGACCTTTGTTTACGTCCAGACATGCATTGAATGTTTAAACAGTAACTGTTGGTTCAACTATATCACAAAGGGAGGATATTGATGATCAGGGCAAAGTTGCAGTCCCAATGGTTTGTTCCCTTCACTTCTTTACGTCAAGGCATCAGATATCTTAGTCCAAGGAACCCAGTGTAGAGGCTCCGAAACGTTCAGAAACTCGACAGTCAATAAGTTAAAAGTCTAGTCTGCTAGGAAAGTAAAGATAAAAATGGTTCCAATTGAAAAATTATGCCACATATAGATATTTTAATTTTTAAAAAGAAAAATTTGAATTCTATGTCTATTATCTAGAAAGCTATATATTGATTTGAGCTATATGTTTTGTATTTCAGTCCTACCATTTCTCTAATACAAAAGATTATCGTCTAGTATGTAATGGATATTATCCCGAAGTATTAATAATAAACCCGTTGAGTTTTGAGGTTATGATTTGTCTTTCGTCTAAAGTTGTGCCAGATTGGATTAGTGCTTGTTGTGTTTTGCGACCCGCCACAAAAGATGGTAAGTTGTCTTATTTTTGTTTTGCTTCCGACCTGGTGTCAGAAGAGTTTTATCTCAGCTGTTTACTTTATTTTTTGTTTTATACTTTTGCATACTGTTATATGTCTACTTTTAAACTAATCCAACATGGTATTTCATTCAGATGTTATGATGAATGGTCAAGATGATAAAAGTGCAGAGGAAATTGATCTGTTGTAAGAAATAAATCTCTCTTTGCAATTTTTTGTCTAAGGGAAATAACTCTATATTGGTATTCTGTAGCATAGAGTTTATGTCCACAGGTCACATTTACGAAAGATTAGTGGAATAATAATGAATGCAGTTGAATTATAATTGGTGTGAAATACCATTTGTTGGCCACTATCTTTCTCACCTGCCAGACTGAAGACCAATAAAATTTCAGGGTTATGTGTGTGGATTTGATCATCAAGGCATTTGTCATGGAAGTAAGGTTGCCAGCAGACAGCAAGAAGGCAATTGACACCGACCACTCTGTCACGTTTACTTCATATTTTTTCCCTTTCAGATGATGTTGTTTTAGCAATTTCAAATTCTGGAACTGTTAAAGTTTGGACTTTACCAAGCTCTGAAATAAAGGTAGTGTGGAAACTCATTGTATATATAGTTTTAAAAGAAGTGTGTTTGATTGAAGGGAATCAAGGATTTGTTTTTAACTTTTGTCCCTCCTTAATTACTCACTATTTAAATATAACATTTAACTACTGGGTATAGTCTTTAAATCTTAATTTTTTTAACGTAAATAGAATAATCAGATTCAAACACTGATCACAAATGGACAGAAGTATTAGATCACATATCCTGTCTGTAATTTAAACAAAACAAAATTAGATATGTTTTTGTGTTTCTTGGATATTAATAATCTGTTATTTTGTTTTTTTAGGCTAAAATAGTTTTTGAAGATGAGTCAAAGCAGATTCGCTGTTTAAATGCACAGACTCTGACTTGCTGTAGTGCAAATCAAAGAACTGTTTTAATAGTTTGTTCTAAATACTGGCAGGTTGGTATTTTTCCTCTTTATTTGTTGTTTCAGTAGAATAAGTAGAAAGATAAATTAAAAAAATATTCCTTTTACAGTAGGGGGATGGTAATCATGGTTCAATACTAGTCTATATATATATATCTTAATTTTGAAAAAAAGATTGTCATTTTTTTTTCTATGGTACACATTCGCTCAGAGATTTGAGTAGCACATACTGTGTGTGTTTGAAGTTTTAGTGAAACATTTCAAATGAATAACTAGTGGGCATTGGGAAATTAGATAAACATCTTTGGCTTCTGATTTTTGTTCTGTAAAAGCAAACAGGGGTCTTATTCAAGAAAACTTAATCTAAAATATGTGTGCTGGTGAACAATCAGGATTCTTAAAATATTCTCAAAGGAATATGTCTTTAATTCTATTTTGTTTAGATTACAAATGAAGTTTGTTTTGATAAATTCTGGAATGTTAAAGATTTATCAATTGATTTATTGAATTTTTTTTGTCTGAGGAATTGAAGTATATTGGTCTTGTAAATTTATATAGCATATTGGTGCATTTGAAATATTGAAAAACGCATCTACCTACTAATCATTATAATTTATATTAACCATTTTTTTTTTTTCTTTGTGATGTGTTTTCTTTTTAACATTTCTTCAAGACAGTATGTTAGCAAGTGCTCTTGTTTTGGACATATTTGCCTATCATTATCATAACTTACTGCCGTAGAAACTGACCAACTGAAAAATATAGCTTTCAGTAGATTTAAATGCCATAAGTTAAGATTACATCTTAAAATATTTCTCAATCTGTAGATTTACATACCAAAAGTTAGCATTACATCTTAAAAACTTTCTCAATCTGTAGTTTTCTGTGTGAAAACACATGATAATGGTTACAATTTTGAACTATTGAGACAAATTACTTATAGTATGTAAGCTAAAAATTTCATCATAGTTTTCTATTCTTATGAAATATGATGTGATACTAGAACACATTCATGAAATTTCATATTTTTTAATTTTATGATTATATCATATCCAAGAAATGTCACCATAAAAAAAACGTCATAAGGGACAATCTCCTAGGAATTATACCCGTAACTGAGTCTCTCAGAATATCAGAACACAATCTCTTGAAAATTAGAACCGAATTTCAAAGGAAATCAGAATGCATTCTCTTAAAAAATTAGGAAAAAATCTATAAGAAATCCAGGATCTTATGAAAGTAGAAACAAGCAAGACATGCCATATTGTAGTGTTTTTATGCCAAGATAAATGAAATTAATACTGTTCTTTTCAATGTTTTCTGTTGTCTACTGCCATCCTTGTAAAAAAAAGTACAATTTTCCATTCCTAAATGATTTAATCAATTTTGAATTTTATTCTGGTATGCAAGTTTCTTTTTAATGAATGCTTTGTAAATAATAAGCTAATTAATAGTTCATCAAGCCCAAGGTGGTTAATGTTATGTCATCATTTCTGGCTGTCATCTTCTTCAAAACTACTGGAGATGATTATACATTTTAATAAAACTAAAATTTGTTGATATGAAAAGGCTACTAAGTCCATGTATTGACTTAACCCTAAAAAGAAAAGTGAAATAAGCAATTCTTCTGATCATTATCTACTTTTAAAAAATAGAGCTGATCTATAATGTTAATTCATATTTAAGTGGGAGCCACAGTGGCTCTGTGAGTATGACTCTAATTCACTGACCACCATGTTTTGGGGAGCGGGGTTGATCTCGGTTGTTGACTGAGAAAGTTCCTCAGGATTTTCCAGCCAGGTTTCCCCATGTCTGTGATGCAGGACTGAGTTTCTGTCAAAACACTACTGTCTGTGCAAAATGTCCTTTATAACTGTTCATAATTTAAGTACCTGTAACCTGGTTAGTGAAAATGACTATTTTTCATTTGAAGGATACTGTACCCTGCACCTCGCCAAATTGTTCTGCAAATTCATATTCTTACAAAATGTACCTTAAAGAGCACATAAATGGCCAAACATAATTTTATATGCTTATAGCCAGTGGTTACTATATCCAAACAATACACCTGCAATAATAGGCTTCTGCTTAAAAAAGATGTGTATAAAATTGTTCTGCTTAAAAAAGATGTGTATAAAATTGTTATCGACGCCATTAATATATGAATACCAATGAAGCCAAAATAAATAATTATGTTGGCTTTTATGAAACAAATGGTCAAGAAGAATATTTAGAGTGATGTTATAATAGTAGTTTTTCAATTCGGACAATATTTGTCAAGACAAATGATTGCTATATATGTTTTATTCATATTTATACGGCATATTCGTATTTCCTCTAGCAGTGTTTTAATTTAGAACAAATCAAAATGTTTGATGTTGCGAAAAGGACACAACGTTTTTAAAACAAACTTTGTGAATTGAATTCCCATGCCATTTTTGATTCACTCTATATTAACTTTGAATTTACGTGTTAAATAGGCCAGATAATGGTGTTTATCTAATAATTTCAATCGAATTTAAATAAGCAGAAGTTTACAAATTAAAATGATGCTGGTGATCTAAATTTCACCTCTGATGTGAGTAGATGACAAGAAAGCCACAGGTATCTGTCTCTTTTGGATTATTTTATTTGAAAGATTTTCATAATGAATAAGGAATGAATGTTGATTAAGTTTTAAACAGTAACTGATATGATGTTGATAATCAACTGTAACAATTGAATTGCAGGAATTTGTTTTCTGTTTGCGTATTCCGAAAAATTAAATAAAGTTATGCCGTAGACCAAAAGAAATTTTTATTGCACTCCTCTTGTGACCTTAAGTTGACAAATGTTTATTGCAATCCCCTTGTGACCTTAAAGATACATTATGGAAGATTAGATAAAGCGCTGGCAGTTCTCGCTATAAGATGTAAATAGATTATGCTGAAGATTTAAAATCTTTGTAGCCTCGATTGTCATTGTTACTGCTGTCATGATAATTAACAAAGTCTTGACTATCCTATTTTGTGTTTAATCATCAACAGACGTTGAACAGCAGATCAAATTGAAATCCAATGAAAATTGGACATAAGATGGCATCGTGAGTTGATTATGGTCTTTTCATGTCAATAAATGTCTAATTAATGGGTTATATAACATTTCAGGCCTAAAGTAAGACCTGCAATAGGCAGATTTAACTTTTGCATAATGCATGTTTAAGTTGGCATATCAGGATTTGAACAATTTACAAAAGCAACAAACTTGGTAATTTTATGAAAAAAGGAGCAGTATCTATCTTTGTAACACAATTCTCAGTCACACAATTAAAGACATTGCGGCTTTAGCAAATTAACTCTAAAATATTGTAATCCAGTCACAAGTTATAATCTATTAGACTAAAAAGGCCCGTTGTTAACAACACTTCTGCCATATATAGATAATTTTTTTATATAACTTGGGTGATGATTAGTACAGCCAGCATGTAACATAATTCAAGTGAGCCTGTGTATACAGTGATGAGAGGTGTAGTCCCTGTGATGTCACATGCCAATCAACTGGATTAAGTTAGAAGTGTTTTAGAGGATCTAACACATAAACGGTCATATATAGAATAATTTTAGTATTCAATTGACTAAAGTGTTTATAATAAATACTGGCTTCAAGTCCACATGATTTTGATATGACCATATTATGTGCTCTTTAAACTGATGGGCAATTATGGCTATTCGATCGATTGTATTTAATACAATGCACAGCACTAGATTAGTTTGCTTTAGAAATTTTATCAATTTTCAAGGTCTATAATTTTAAACATCATGTGAAATCTCACCGCAACGAAGACGGGGTAAGGGCCAATCACTGTGGAATGACTCGTCTTGTAGAAATATGATTTAAAGAATGTTAGAAATTCTATTTCATCAGTTTTTAGTTTTTTTTGGGTTTTTTTTCATATTTCAACTTAATCAGGGCTTGATCTTCCTGGGATTGACATCTTCAGGCTGAAACAAAAGTATTAAGTTGTTTTAATGACAATAGAAATCTTTGAATTTATTTCGCATAAAATTAAAGCACGATCAAAATTAAAATAACTTAAAATGTTGATGTATATGTAGCTTGTACCCTTGCCTCGTAAAATTTATATAGAGATTGTATAATGTTAATAAGGTATGTGATGTTATTATCAAAGGGTTTAGTGAGTTATTTGGCATGTAATTTATGTACAAAGTACATTTGCAGCAACTTCCAAGGTCGGTTAATCTAATTTAGATTTCAACCTTCAAAAGAATTGTCGAAAATACAGAGATATAAAGACTAATCTGTTAATTGTGATATCCAGTTAAAATAACGGAAATTACTGAGGATTAAAATAACCACAATTGTAGTAGATCAAGCCCTGTTTTATTTGTTATGCTCAGTCAAACCTACATAGAGTTCCAATATTTGCATGTCGTAAAACATTTTAAGAATTCTTTTAATGAAAACATTCAGCATGTTATCTTCTTTATTTATGAACTTAAAAACAGGGCTTTTGCTTTAGAATATTAGAAATTTACACTAACAATGTAGCAATTAATGTTAGAGATAATGATTGCTGAAAAGTTTTGATGTTAGTCTAGTAATTCATATTAATTAGAAAGTAGATGAAATTAGTTTTTGAACAGATGCACTTTTCAGTATAGTACGACGTTGTAAATTCAAAAGTGTATATAGAGAAATATTGTAAATTGTCACATGACCGTAGAAATAATTAAATCGAACAGGAAAACTTATTTGAGAATTGATAACTTAAAAGATAACAAATTTGACAAGGCACCGACTCACTATACTTGTTCCAGAATGTGGGGTTTTCTTCTTTCTTATTTGCAGAACATGACTTTTCACGTAAGTGCTTGACTGGAATGTTGTAGGTTGGGAAAACTTCTGAAATATTATTTCAGTAACTTTCTATGAATATCACATTTCAATATTCCAGCACATTTTGCTGAAAGCATAATGTACGAATCTATTTATTATATTGCTTAAACTCATTTTTGCTATATTACACATGTATTTCTAAGATTAAAATCACACAATTTTTGAGCACACAGTTCATTAGATACTGTTTATAAACAATGAAATATTACAGTGTACAAATCAAGAGTCATTTAAAAGATCAATCAAGAACAGCAAACATTTTAATACAGTTTTAAAATATTGAAATATATATATGCAAAATGAGGAAATTTCACATCTGTCTGTTTAACAAGAACTTATACATTGATATGTGATTCAAATATAAAATTGGACCACGGATGAAAAATAAATCGTCATTACTATTTATCTTTAAATGCGAAGCTAAAGAAGAACAACAAATTTGTTTTACTAAATATGCTTACAATGTACATTTTACTAATATTAGAACTGTTTTAATTCTATTGCAGATCTACGATGCCAGTGATTTCACTCTCTTATGTTCAGAGTCTAACAGAGTAGGTGAGCGATGGTGTGGCGGAGATTTCATCAGCGTAGATCGTGTTATTGTCTGGAGCAACGAAGGCAAAGGCTATTTATATAAACTACCTACCAAGTACGTATTTAGCACTTTATTTATAATGCTAAAATAATAAAACTAATATCTAGAAGCATGGCTCTTTATATTTTATAATTAGGGAATGTGAATTAGAAAAGAATGAAATTTATTCTTTAAGAATACCCTTCATTATTTAGGTTCGACCAATTTTACTTTACTTTGTCAGGATCTTTGGTAAAAAAAAACCATGCCATAATCCGAAAGGTCTAAAAACTAATTTTGTTTTGGTACTTTTGAAAATTTGAAAAGAAGACTTCTTGGGAGGAAAGCCTTCCGTCCTATCCTTACTGTTGAGGTCTCCCCCTCCCCTGTTATGAATTAATATCATCTGATTTTTAGATAAAATGCATAATTATAACATCTAATTGTGTCACACCCTTTGATAAAATCATAGACTCTATATACAGTCCATGATGAAATACTTTATTATAAAATCTAATTGTGTCACACCCTTTGATAAAATACATTATTATAACATCTAATTGTGCCACACGCTTTGATGAAATACATTATTATAACATCTAATTGTGTCACACCCTTTGATAAAATCATGGACCCTATTACAGTCCATGATAAAATAAATTATTATAAAATCTAGTTGTGTCACACCCTTTGATAAAATACATTATTATAACATGCAATTGTGTCATACCCTTTGATAAAGTTCATTATTATAACATCAAATTATGTCACACGCTTTGATGAAATACATTATTAAAACACCTAATTGTGCCACACACTTTGATAAGATACATTATTATAACATCTAATTGTGTCACACCCTTTGATGTTATACACTATTATATCATCTAATAATGTCACACTCTATGAAATACATAATTATAACATCTAATTATGTCACACCGTTTGATAGAAAGCATTATTAGAGCATCCAATTGTGTCACACCCTTTGATAACATTAGTAATTAGAACATCTAATTGTGTCACACTCTTTGATAAAATAGATAATTATAACATCTAAATGTGTGACAACCTTTGATGAAATGCATTATTATAACATCTAAAATGTATCACACTATATTCACTAACCACATCTTAATAATATTGTGTTTCATGTATGTTTTAATTCAGTATTTTCCTTTCATCAAGCTTGAATTGGTTTCATTCTAATATTTTATTTTTTCTTCACCTCTTATGAACCCTAATCCTAAAAACTTTATTCTTTCTTTGGTTGATTTAAAAATGGCTGGTTATATTTTTAGATTTGGTTATTTATTTGATATGACTAAACCATAAAAATCCACATAATTGGTCTATTTAATTATATTATGTTCCTTCTCATTTCCCAGATTCAGATCTTATAAATGTTCATTTGTTACAAAGTTTGAAAGTAATTTTACATAACAAAACCCTTATACTTTTGTATCCTATAATTCTTTTCTTTTTCTTCTTTTAATTTTTTTTACATTAGATTTTATTATGTTTCAATTCAATCATGAAATAATTGTGGCTTAGTAACATTAATTTTGACAAAGTAATTCTAAATTTGAATTCAGCTTGCTCAAAGGAAAAGCTGTAAATGGGTAAGAATGTTTCAGTGTTCACCCGTTTTTTGGTTTATGCATGTTTTGAATTGTTTTATTAATTTAGTATTTCAGATAATAAATCTATTAGTCAAATGTTAGTACTGGTTTTCAATTTTCTTGCTGTAGAATACTTTATTGCTTTACCCTAATTGATCTCTGGTCAAAATATTTTCAAATGATTGGTAAAAAAAGCAGTGGAACAAAATATAGAAGAAATATGTACATCAAATGACAAATTCCTCTATCCATAACAGAAATGTTATGCATGTAAGCCCAATTTAGTTCAGCCCACAGATAATAGAACAAAGTCGGTAAAATCTTCTTTATTACATTGAAAAAACAAAAAGAGAAATATTGATAATGTATTTTAATTCATTTGGAGTTCAAAATAAATAAAACAATATTCTAATCAATTATTATTAATAATATTAATAGTGATATTCGGACCCACTTCAAATTTTATTAAGAAAAAACCCAGTTACAATATATATCAATGAGTAATTGATTTGAATACAGGATAATTAAGTTCAGTTATTTCTGTCACCTTTCAAGTTCTGATGTGCCAAACATGATGTCTGGTCCTATTACCAGTATTAGCTGTTTGTTGAGATTATGTTGGAACTGTGTAAAATAAAATTAAAAGTGGAGATTTGAAATAGAAATTTATTAAAAAGGTTTCTTATCATTAGTTTCAAAAAGCTTGTTTTTTTTTTGTTTTTTTTTTCTTTTTGCATTTTAACTGGTTTCTAACTTTTGCTAGTGCTTATTTTAAGATGCCTTTAAGCCCAATCCAAATTGACTTTTAGTTCTTCGGAAGTTAGATAAATTAATGGCTAGATGAGTCTTGTCCTGTGAAGAATTTTTTTGTTTAATATTTCAAAGTGTAAATATGTGGAACTAAAAGCTTTTGAGAGAAACCAAGTTCTTTTTGTTGTTTTTTTCGTTCAAAAATACGAAAAAATTTTATAAGTTGATCCCGAAGAGCAAAAATTCAAATTGGTATGGTGGCCACACACTGTGGTCTAATACCAGTAATAAATTATTCAAGCAAGAAACTTTACTTTCATTGAAGAAGGTTATAGTTAATTTTGGTTTCCACATTATGCATGTTAATTTGACCATGTTTGTGGTATGTTTAGATTGTATCCTGGTATATATATTTATATATTTTCTAATGACAGGGATTAAATGTTCATATACTGTAAAAGCTACCTCAAGTCGCATTAATTTCGCCACACATTTCTGTTTTTTTAACATAACCAAGGGAAGTATGGGCAGTTCCATAAGTAAATCAGCATTATCATCAAACATTTTATTGACTTAAAACAATCCACTTAAATGTGTTATTTCCAAGGTAATTGGTACCGGAGAAGGTTACTCTAATTGCATCTTAATTAATTAAATGTTATATACAACACTTACCCATGATATATCTAACAATGGCTCACATGTTATCATTATTGGAACAGTTAGGGTGGGTTATATAGCCGTAATATAGTACTTCCCCCCCCCCCCCCCCCATTGAATTGATTCCAGATTCTTGATACAGTCTGTGTTGTCTACATCACATGTTATTATATAAACCTTATCCTTTAACTAATAGGTGGGCAATATTAATGTATGAGATTTTTCAAACTTAACCTATGTTGTATATTACAGTACTTATTTACTTAAAGCTAGTTAGTTTATAGTAGAGCTTGCACATTCCGCTACAGGTATCATGGTTGGTGTTTTTTTTTTTTAAAATGTAATAATAATTGATGTTCAGTTTCTCACATCATCTGAATTGTAAATATTTATCAGTAATCATTTATTTCATCCTTGCTTTTATGTTGAGAAATTTTCATGCTAGGGCATTGCCATTATTCTAACCAAATCTAGTTTCAAAATTCATCTGCACGTTATATTTTCAGGGTAACATAGGTATGAGTGATAGCAGATCTTGTGCCAGTCATTAATGTCTGTATCCATTGTTTAGAAATATAAAGTAGCAGCTAGAATTTAGATATTTATTTACTGTATTATTTCTCACTGTAATATTATGAATTTAGCATGTTAATTCAATGTTAACATGAAATAACTATAATGAAAACATAATATTGAATGTTTTGTTGGTTGTTATTATTTCAGTGCTGATCCTAGGAGTAGTGAATATAGACATCATCAACCTACCAGTCCTCATGCTTATTATATACTAGATATATATAGTGAACAGGTACTCTGTATTCAATAGTATATAGAATACATAGGTTTAAAATAACTAACACAAGGTACAATTTTATGGATGCGAGAGTATCCTCATCGAAACGTTGCTTAGTATTAAACTCAGTAATTGTACCTTGCGTTAATACGTTCAATTACTAAATGCCAATCAAAGAAGGTTTAAAATAACTGATTCTCATTTGGATTCCTCAGACTATCTAATTTTTCATGCTAAAATGTATTTGATTTTTTAATTTACAAAACAAAAATCAAACATCAACTGTAGATAATCTCTCTGTTTGAATAAAATCAGATTAAAAAGATTTTACCCAACACATGTAGGCAGAGGATGTCTTTTTTGAACAAAATTTCAAAACATCTTTGTAAATACTTAATGAAAGTTTTAACCAATATTGGAATAAAATTCCTTTAAGTGATCCAATTTTCATGATAATGTGGTTTGCAAGGAATTAAAAATCTCAAATGACCATCATTGGCTTCAAGACAATTTTATTTCCAGAAAATTCTAAATTTCGAAAATATAGTTGCTGTCAAATATCAGAAAAATTTGAAACAAAAAAAAGATGTTGCTTACGTTAAAGCTGAAATTTGTGGGTTTTTTCAGCAATTAGTATGTACACCAGCAATGGTATTTTCTAAGAGTATGAATGGAAGAAAAGGGTTATTACGTGGTGATTCTGATGGTCGAGTTGTAATATGGATGTTACCAGAGGTATCAGAGAAACAGATGACATTAGTTAGACAAGAAAGTTTTGATAGATTACCGGGTAAGCTCTTAATAATTTGATTAATAGAATTTAGATTTCTCTCAAAATCCAATTTGTAACATAAACATGTGTTCATGATAATGGATATTATAAGATTAATCCTATTTAATATCGGTTTTCACAAAGTACAGAGAGCAAATTCTGTATTATCAATAATAATTTCCACAAGTGGTCATTTATACATTAACCACACATCCATTCTTCATAATGTTATTTAGATATATAAAACTATAATCTGGTTGACTATTTGACAACAAGTTGAAAGATGATTTGTTTTAGCCCCCCAAAATTTATCTAACTTTAAATGCCTAAAAACCTCCCCAACATAACATTTGTGCCATATTTGAAATAATGAGCAAATTTAAAACATTGTCATTGTCATAGCGGAAGGTAACTCTGATATCCTGAATATTAAGTTTTGCATATATCTAATCACTTTAAGACAGTTACATATATTTCTAGACTCAGTATATCATGGTTTTTTTTTTCAGCATTACCACCTAAAACTAGTACAACTTTACAGGATATCTGGGACAGTTTGTATAAATATCCACCTGGTGTACTAGAAGGCTTGGTACGTAAATGTATGAATAAAATTAAATTTTGAACAAATGAAGACAATCACACTTGCTTAAAAAATCAACACTAAGGACCAAATGGTGATGGTTTAAGTAAACCATTGGTTAACTTTGTAATTCTAGATCACTGGTAATCATGTACATGTATTACCGGTAAATGTTTTTTTATTTGATGATTACAAAAAATCAGTAAAATTAAAAATACATTATGGGAGATTATATAAAGAGCTGGCAGTTCTCACTATAATAGTTAAAACTAGATAATGTAAAGGAAATTTGCGGAAAATTTCAGTCAAATTGATCCACTCTGAACCGAGATTTTAGCGATTGAATTTTCTGCCTAGCTTCGATCATCATTACTAAAGTCAGTACGATAAAATTCATAGTCTCGATTATCCATTTCATGATTAAATCATGAATGAAAGTAGAGCAGCAAAATGGAATCTAATCCAATAAATATCGCAGGCTAGCGATGACATCGAGAGTTGATTATGGTCTGGATAAGTTAATTAATGTCTGATGAAAAATTTAGATAACATTTCAGGCCTAAAGAAAGACCTGCAATAGACAGATTTAGCTCTTGCATAATGTATGTTTAACATGATTTGAATAAAACTGTCATTTAGTTAATTATAGAGTAGGTAACTCTCATCTTTATATATAATAATATTAAAACAAACTGAAATTTCTTTTAATTGTCCAATTTGTTGATGTTTGATACTCATAACATGAAAAATTAGCTTAAAATAACTCCAGTAAAAAATTAAATTTCAGTGTGCTGAAGATGAGCATCATTTACGTATAACATCAACTATATATATACCATCACAAGGCAAGATGGTTTGTGGTAGACAGAATGGTAGTATAATTATACTCCCAGCTACACAGAGTATTATATTCCAATTACTAGAAAATAACCAAATATCAAAAGATTGTAAGCATTTATCTTTATTTAATTTTAAGCTTGGGTCCGTCTGATAGGATTAGGATTTTAGTGCAATCAGTCTCGGGCATGTCTTGAATATGGTTGTCGTTTCAATCACTCAAATACAAGCATTACAAGAAGTATGATTGGCTGCCTAACATTATGGGCTATATCCTAATTCTTTTTACGCCACAGTGGCTCGGCAATTATGACACTGGTTCACTAACAAGGCCTCGGTTTCACAAAACATTCTCAGACATAAGTTAAGAATTAATCAAAATTGTTCGCCTTATTTCAACTAAAATATAGCCTTTTATATTACTTTTGTTGTTATAATGTATTAAATACATCAATAAGAAACTATGTGCAAATCCTTAGGTTTTATCAGCCTTCTATAATTTTGTTTGTCAGCTGAAAACCACATGATACCAGTGGAACCGAACATTGTAATTCAACATTGTAATATTTTATTATTGTGTACCTAAGGTCATATCTTGCAATCTGATACAAAGTCTTTAATTTTCAAACATAAGAAAGAGAGATTATTTTAAAATAAAAAAAACTCTATTTTGAAAGCATTTTCAACTACTATTATTTACTCATAAAATTGATTGAACTGTTTTCTAATTTCTTTTAACCTATTTCAGCAATATCCCAACAGATGTTAGATGGACATGATGGTAGAGTTACTTGTCTTCTTTATCCATTTAACGAGAGTACTCGATATGAACCACAGCATCTATTATCAGGTGGAGCTGATTTCTCTGTCATATTATGGGATATATTTTCTGGTTATAAGATTCACACATTTACTGTACATGGTGGTGAATTAACACAGATGATAGTACCACCTGCTAATTGTAATGTAAGTTGCCTTTCTGTTAAATGTTGGTGATTGGATTACTGAATTTGCCAGTCTTGGCTGACTGGCTGTAAAACTACTGGCACAAGAAATATAATGAAATGTGGTTTACTTTTCTGCATCAACTGGGCTAATAAAGACAGGCACAGACTTTGTGCTTTGAGGGAAATTTGGCCTGTACTGATTTCCAACTGTCAAGAAGTCTTTAAATGATATACATGTGACCTCTGTTTTTTTGTCCTACTCGAAAGACAAGATGCTTTTTTCTTATTTGACTGTCTGTCCTGCACCACTGACAGTTGGAAACTAGGCTGAAACATTTGAGGATGTTTCTTGATTAAATCCAGGTTTTACTGGATAGTGAGCCAGCATTCCTCAATATGGCTCTGACTGTGGCTCTTGAAAATTGTTTACACTCAAGAACAAAGATCATATTATAGTCACTTATCAAAATCTGCATCAGCTTTTGTTTATATATATATATTTTTTTTAGGTGCGTATTTTATCATCAATCTGTTCTGTAGCCAGTGATCATTCTGTTGCTCTACTTAGTTTAAAGGAAAGAAAGTGTATATTATTAGCTGGTCGGCATCTGTTTCCGGTACATACTATCAGATGGCGACCATTGGATGATTTTATGGTAGTTAGTTGCAATGATGGTACTATATATGTATGGCAGATGGAAACAGGTATGTATTGTTCTACCTTTGTCTTTCTAAATCATAAGATTTCCTTTTGGGAAATGTGGGGTTGGATGGTCTACCATTGAGTCAACTGGTGTGGTTTCGATTCCCTGGTTGTACGTGACAAGGAGTAGGGTCACCTGTTCAACCTCGTGGGTTTTTTCCCGGTCCTCCGGTTCCCCCCCCACTGCTAAAGACCCCCCCTATGCTCAAGCTAATTATTGAAATAAAATTGAATCATATGTTATTGAAATAAAATTGAACCATATGTTAGTCCTGAAATGACCTAGTTTGTGTTGAGTGGGCATTAAATCTCTCGGTCTCTCTTTTGGGAAACAGTAGATATAGTAGACTAAAATAATACATTGGTTGGTTGACAGATGATAGAGAAATTAGCCTTGTCTAATACCATAAGCTTTGATGATAAAATTATAGTATAAAACTTAGTAGGAATTGGCTCTTATGGAAGGACACTGGAATAAACAGAAACTCAACACAGTTGCCTTCTCATCTCTGTTTATTTCTACTCCGATATATGAAATAAAATGGGGTTTAACGTCCTACTGTTCTGCTCCGACTGGGCTAATAAGGACAGCTACTCCGATATAACAGAATTATGTAAAATAAATAGATTGACTAGTAATGACTACATATTTAGGAAACAGCTATGGGTACAACTTTGGGACCTTCACACTTGTAAATCTTTGTATTCTACTGTAATTTGTGAAATGAAATGAAATAGGGTTTAACGTCCTACTGTTCACAGTAATTTGTAATTCATTATTCAAAACAATTTTATTTAGAAGGAATCATGAATTATTCTATGAAATATGTTTCGATATTTACCGATTTGCATAGTGTCTTATCCCATTTCTCTTTCAGGCCATTTAGATAGAGTAGTTCAAGGTATCACAGCTGAAGAAATCCTCAACAACTGTGATGAAAATGCGGCTCCTATGGAGAATCTAACCAATCCTAGTCTTACCCTCACACAGGCACTGAAACGGAGAAATTTTGCAACATTTAGAAATCTAGCACAACAAAAGCTTCAGTCTCATCAGAATCAACAACAGCTGTCCCAAGGACCAAAAGCTGACTATGTTAAACCTACAGGGTTTCCAATGTTGATACAAGGTGTGCGTACTAATACACGAGATCCGGATGCCCATGTGGTATTCTTTGATACAGAATCACTGATTGGTTAGTTTATTTTAATATTAACATCAAACTTACCAGAAATCCAAACTTGGAACCTGTTTTTATTTAGTTTTGAACCAAAATTTTTCTGTTTCTCATCTTGAATTTCTCATCTATCATGAATTTGAAATAAAATCTTTGTGTTTAAACTAGACAGTGGTAAAAACATTAGAACATAATGAAATGAACAACACTTTCAAAGGGTTACAAAAACAGCACATAAAAAAGACATACATATTTCAAATGATTGATTTGGGTATTTTCATGGAAGACTGCAATGTCCTAAGTTACAACCCCTGTGAAAGCCATAAAATATAATTGATTATATGATACTGAATGTCCTTGATAACATACCAATTTATAGCCTTCTACTACTTCAAGTCATTGATATCCTACATCAGTACGCATTTATGTAAATCTCCTTAATGTATCATATCAGAGAAGAAAAGTAGGATGTTAAACCCCATTTCATTTTTAATGTCTTATAGATTTCAGTATAGATTAATGTCAACTCCCTTAAAGTCTTATTAATTTTTTTAAATGTGAATTTATCATTTTGATATCAAAATCTGACTTTTTTGAAGATTTGAGTACCGGTAGTTAAACATAAAGAAAAGGTATGTTCTTATAAAGAGTGGAGTATAACTACCCAACGACAATCAACTGTATACAAATGCAGCACAGACAAAACAAAAGGACGAAGTGAATGGCAAAGCATTTACATAAAAAAAATTGAAAGAATAAACTGCATGCCATGGTCATTACAATATTGTCAGTATCTAATTGCTATATGCAGTGTATGAAATCAGTTTCAAACTCAGTGGGACTTTTTAAATAGAATGTAGCTTTTAGAATAAATGCCTGCTTTAAGCACAACTGCCAATTAAGTCAAAATACTGTCCTAACAATTTTTATTTTTCATGCTCTTTCTTTGGTATTGCTTTCTTTTATGGCATTTTTAGATTTAATCCCAATTTCTTATATTTGGTGGTTGGCTTTATCTATTTTCCCACAGTTCAGTTATTGACAGAAGAGTTTGCGTTATTATCACCGGGTGAATTGGAAGCCAGAGGACTCTTAACCCCTGTAATTGAAAGACCTTCTGGCACCCAACCAGAACTTAGTGAGGCACAACAAAAAATAGCAGGTATTGTTACAGAAAACAAATATGGTCTTATATGTGTGTGATGTGATGTATTTAATAATGACACATTGCATCAATTGTTTTGATTAATTTATAAAAACAACATCAGCTTCAAAATAAAGTTACTGTTTATTACAGAATGACGTTTTGCTCAGTAATTATATTCCATAGAATTTTGGCCTGTATAGAATACAGCTTTCTAACAATTTTATAATGCAGACAGTCTAACAAAAACTTATATTGTTATTGCATGAAACTAATCTAGCACCCGAGATCGCTTATGCTACCTATCACCTGTCCATTGACTATTGTTCATCTATCTTTCATCAATGTCAGTAACATTGTATATTCTGCTACCACTTGATTTTGATCGCATTTGATAGAAATTTTGCTTTGTGATGCATATTTAGCTTTTACGAGCTGAGAAGGAGGTTCTGAATGAGGTAAATTCTGAGTATTATTGACTTTCATTCTGGATAGCTCAATAAATTCTAATTATAGCTGTGTTGCTTGACTTAGTTAAGTTGAATTAAAAAAAATGTTTTTTTGTCCACCTGGTATTGTTCACGTAGGATAAAATACCCCAAAAATGTTATACAAAATACTCAAACAGTGGGATTTTCTAGTATCTCTTCTGTAGAAATAACTCATCAAATTATCAAGTAATGATGATCGAGGCTAGCCTAAAATTCAAAAGCTTATATCTCGTCTCACATTTTCAGCATATTCTATTTACATTATCCATTTTTTAACTATTATAGCGGGAACTGCCAACTCAAAATATATATTATAACAGATTTGTTGTTTTGTATGCTTTCTAGGACTAATAGCTAAAGCAAAAGAGAAAGCAGACACAATTGGACAGAAAATACAGGATAAAGTTCAGACATCTGGTCTAACTGTAGGAGGAAGAGATACATCAACTGCTAGTAGAGGTTCCATTATCAGTACTGCATCAACTACTGATGCCACACGACCAGACAGCATCCGTTTGCAAACAAATATCACTATGGAAATAGCACAGATTTTCATGTCCTGTTTACATGCCTGGGGTTTGGATCCTGATCTCGATAAACTCTGTTTAAACAAACTTGGTCTGTTAAAACCTCAAAGTCCCATATCATTTGGTTTGTTGTCAAGGCAGGGTCATATGTCTCTCATGTTACCGGGGTGGCACAAGCGTGTTTGTCACAGTGAACTTGCTGATCTTAAAGGTGTTACCGTCAGTAAAATTAGACAAGGTGATGTGAAGTCTGTGTCATTTGCCGAACCTCCACAACCTCCTGGAGGAAGCGTGTCTGGTAAACCAACTCTGCTGGCTCAGCGTATGGGAAGTATGCCTTTTGATGATGAGGAGTTGTATAGTAGTGATGATGGTGCCAACAATGATGATGCCTTTGATGATTCTTTACCAGTTCCAGAAAAACACATCAATGCTACAGCTCTACAACAAGAAACAGGTAATTTTTTTTGGCCCTACATGTTTGAAATTAAGTTTGAAAAATCAGTGTTCTTTAGTTTTATGGTAATATTACATTGTTCTTGATGAACTTTTGATGTATTATTTTATCTAATCAGACTTCAATTATTCCAAGACATGGTACAAATGGGTGGGGATCACGTGGCTAAGTGGGTAAGACGCTGGCTTGCTAGCCTGGAGGTCGGGTGTTCGATCCCTGCATTGGCCGAGAAAGTTGATCCAGATTTTCCGGCTTGGTTTCCCCTTGTCAGTGGTGCAGGACGGAGGGCCTGACAAGGACGAAAAACCGAGGTCCCGTATACATATTGGCGTACACGTAAAATATCCCTAGGCCGTAGCGCCGCTGCCCGGGCAAAATTTCACTCATAGCACACTGTATGACGTATGCCCATCTCCATAAGCCCAGTTTAGGAGCAGAACAGTAGGACGTTAAACCTCAGTTCATTTCATTTCATTTCCCTCCCTTTGTAAGGTCTTTCATTAATAATCGAGTATTAATGTATTGTTTTATATTATCAGGTATATTTTCCACAAAAGCAAGATGGCAGATATCTAGTGCTGTAACTACACAACATCTACTCAGCGTAATATCTGTAGCTAATACCATGATGAGTATGAGCTGTGCCAGTTTCCTTATGAAATCCAGAAGAAAAAAGTAAATATTTTTATGTACATGTGATATTTTTAATAGAATTTGTTGGAAAACTGCAAGTGCTTGATATCGGATCTCCAATCACGCATTGTGATTCAGGTGTAGCGATCTGATTTGTATCCTTATCTGCTTTCTATATTTCGGTTAATCAAAACTTGTTTTGGCTTGTCATGTTCATGGTGGGCTTTGTCTTATTAGTTTAGAACAAATTTTGTTTTGTCATCTTTTCAAATGCCAAAGTTTTTCAATACATTTAGTTTGTATTTAGCTGTAGGGTCTTGGTTTTGTATATCAAGTTCGTTATCCACCATTTCAATTTTTACATGATCTACTTTCTGACTTCTATTATATTTACGAATATTGATTGAATGCAGGAATTAAATTCTTTACAAACCGATTTCTGAAGGCGAACATACTAGATCTCTTTCAATCTGTTGAATTCTGACACCCTGATTTTGATCAATTACAGGAAAAAGCAAGGTGTTGTAACAGGTCATGCTGGTATTATAGTAACAGATGTACCTGATGGTGATAATACAGATGATATGTTAACAATGCAACAAGCACAGATCAAACAAGGTTGGAGTTTACTAGCGGCATTACACTGTGTTCTATTACCAGAGTTAGTTGGTGCTAGTCATTATAAACCTCCATTACTAGAGATGTTAGCTAGAAGATGGCAAGATAGATGTTTAGAGGTAAGATAATGTTTAGTATGGAATAATAAAATACAAGGTACAGACAGAACAAACAATATAAAGAGATAGTACAATACTTTATTGTTCATGTTTATACCATTATTGTTCATTTCTATACCGTTATTGTTCATGTCAATACCTTTATTATTCTTGCTATAATCTATTGTTGTTGTTGATATACTGTCCATGTTGATACCTTTCTTGTTCATGCCACTACCTTTATTGTTCTTGTCGTCACCTTAATTGGAATTGGTACTGTTTATTGACAAAGGGGGGGGGGGTGGATGGCTGAATGGTTAGTGTGCGCGCGCTGTATCATAAAGTCTGTCATTGAGTCGACTGGTGTGGTTTCGAATCCCCGGTTGTACGTGACAAGGAGTAGGGTCGCCTGTCCGGTTTCCTCCCACTGCTAAAGACCCCTACGCGCAAGCGAATTATTGAAATAAAATTAAACCATATGTTAGTCCCGAAATACCTAGTTTGTGTCAAGTGGGCGTTAATCGCCATTTCTCTCTCTCTCTTTATTGACAAAGTTTATTTAGTTGTAAGGCAAATCTGGCCAGCAAATAAATTGTTTATAATCCAGCACTCATTGGTAGGAATGTAATAATTTTATATCAGATTCGTGAAGCTGGTCAAGCCCTATTATTAGCCGAGTTAAGAAGAATTGGATTGGAGGGTAGAAAGGCTATTGTAGATGAGTGGTCTCCCTTCCTACCAATGTATGTTGATCCTAATCTGAGTTTATTGAGTGATGCTCAGAAAGGTGAAGAAGAGGATGATGATGAAGATGATGAATCAATGATGGCAGGTAGGGTAAAATTTTATGTAATCAGATTCAGCCCATGTTGTTTAGCTTTTTATTGCATAAAATATAGAGAAGTATGTCAAAGTATATCTTATTTTTTATAGCTTGTTAAAATACAGATGTGACATCATCCTTTGATTTTGGTGTACCATTATTGGCTATGTGCCAATATTTCAGAAAATGGTATGGGAACTAATAGCCCACTAACATCTGATTGGTCAATATATCCTAGGAAATTTGCAATCTCAACCTGCCTGATAATATATTATACCTTCTTTTTTTATGGGTAATTAAACAAATTGTTAATTAAAATTATTATATTTGATTACTGTTTCAGGAGATTTACCAGCTCATAAAGTATCAGTATCATTTGAAAGTCGTAGAAAACAGGCAACAGCTATCGTAATGTTGGGTGTAGTGGGTGCTGAGTTTGGTCACGAAATTGAACCAAGCAGACGTAAACATGAAGAACCTAAAAAAGGAGGAAGAAAGGCTCCAGAGGGATTCAGTTTAACTAATTACTCCCTAGCTAGACATACAAGTAAGGTTTCTCTTAGAATTATATTTTCCTTAAAATATATATTACGTACATCAGATAAACTACTTTTAAAGCCCAAAACTGTTCAACTGGTCTCTTGTGGTCAGCGCTCTTTTAGCTATCAAGCACCTGTTTTATGGAATAATCTACCATTTAGTTTAAGATGTACATTTCTATATTCTTTTAAAACACAACTTAAAACACATTTATTTAATCAGGCTTTTAACTGACTCTGTATACAATCGTTAACATTACATTGTCACTTTGTAAAGTGCCCCTGAACATGTTATATGAAAGGGCGCACTATGAATATGCTGTAATAATAATAATAATGTTCTTTGATTATGTAGTAAAGTCGAAGCATAGTAGCATCAATCAGCAGTTATGTGTGTGCCTGTATTTAAAAGTTCAATAGTTATTAAATAATATACTGCATATTTTTCAGGTAAAGCTTTAACCTTTCTGTTATTAACACCACCAAGTTCACGTCTGCCGGCCCACACACCAATACGTCGTGCTGCTATTGATCTGATAGGGCGTGGTTTTACTGTGTGGGAACCTTATTTAGACGTATCATCTGTTTTATTAGGATTATTGGAACTGTGTATAGATTCTGATCAGATAGTACCAAGGTAACATTTTATTTCAAGATACTGGTATATCTGCATTTCATTAGTTGTTAAAGTAAAGATAGCCTTGATCACTGTTTTGTTGGTGACCCTTTCTTGACAGTTTATTTACCGCTTACATGGCACAATAACATGCATTTGTTATTTTAATAAATGGCAAATATCTATTCATATCAGTGTTTTTTCATTATTTAGGCAAAACAAGCCCTTCCCAAGTAAGGTATTCGCAAAATGTACAATTTCTTTCTTTTTTTTTTTAAAAGTTTGCTCATACGTAAAAAAAATGTACAATTCTTTTTATAAAAAAACTTTCCAAGACAAAAAAATGTTTGACAGTTATTGTTCTGTACACCGTAACCTACAGTGATTTTTGCTAATAGTTAATTACTTTCAATGACAGTACCAACTACACTGCTGTTGGTTTACAATGTGTTGTTTACTGGCAACTAATGATTACCATATTTTGTTTCAGTGTAACTTATGGTCTACCTCTATCACCAGTAGCTGATGCTTGTCGTACAGCTAGACATGCCCTGTCTTTAATAGCCACGGCACGACCAGCAGCTTTTATTATCACCATGGCTAAAGAAGTAGCGCGTTATAATGCCCAGGCCCAGAACGCCCAATCACAACATACCCATCTACAAAACCTAGTCTTAGTCCGAGCTAGACAAGAGATACAACATATTCTAGAATTGATGGTAGAAAAGATGCCCAATGATATTGCTGATATATTTGTTGAGGTGAGTTTTCTTCAAATAAAAATTGAATCATTGTGTAAATAGAGCGAAATTTTCCAGGGTCAGTCATTTTCCTTACACTAAATGGATGTAATATTCTAAGAAAAAAACACCATAAAGAAATAATGATGAGGCATGAATAAACCTGATGTATATAAGGAAATCTGTGATTCTGATATGAATAAAAGTTGTTTTATTTTTAGACTGTCGATGTTGTGGTACATTGTTTAGATATGGGTCAATTAAAATCAAAAGGTTTACAAGAATTATTTCCAGCTATTTGCAGGTAAAAGTACCTTATCAATAATCTTAACTATTACCAATTTCTTTGGGTTTAATATAAAATTTAAGAATAAGGGTCATGTAACATATTTTGATATAAGTGAACATTCTAGTTATATGGCATTAAAGAAGGTTTGGGAAATAATTCATCTTTAGCTTATTCTTTTGTAACAGATATGGAATTCTCTGATAGGTGCTTAGAATGGTTTCTATTTTAAATGTAATTTTGATTTCACAGATTTAGTATGGTATCGGCTTGCAATCAAACAAAACGAATTTGGGTTGGGGCTAAAAATGGTAACCTAGCTCTCTATGAAATGAAACAACATTCTAAATGCCAGGTAAATTAAACCGTTGATTTATTTAAGAACAACATCAGTGGCCTGCTTGAAACCTAGCAGTCACTGAATGAATATATATGGGACTAAATTACGTTTAATAGTACCAACTTAAACCCCCTTTTATTTTATTTATTTTATTTTCATTCAAAACTAATAGGATAGATTGTTGATAATTTGAGTAGTGAAGGTTTTTTCTCTCACCAAGACATTGCTTGGAGTTACTGCCACTGGAAAATAAAATCGACATTAAATTTTGGAATGAATACTTAATTATTGTTTTGTATAATTTTACAGCTAATCTCAGCCCATCAAGGACCAGTTATAGCTGTATGTGTCAACCCTGATGGCAAATATCTGTGTACATTCTCACATGTTGATAGTCGTCTTAAATTCTGGCAGGTATGTTGATCATTAATACACATTTATTACAAATGAGAGAGAGAGAGAGAGAAATGGTGTTTAATGTCCACTCGACACAAAACAGGTCATTTTGGGACTAACGCATGGTTCAATTTTATTTTAATAATTCACTTGCGCGTAGGGTTCTAGGGAGGAAACCAGAGGGCCCCGAGAAAACCCACGAAGTTGTCACGCACACCCGGGGAATCAAACCACGTCACTTGACTCAATGACAGACCTAATGATACAGCACGCACGTGCTAACCATTCAGCCATCCAGTACAAGACATTAAATTACAACAATATTTTGAAAACTTTTAAAACATTTTTATCTGTTTTGTGGTCCTTGTGAATTAACTGTTTCAGTTGCATTTAGTGACTGAACTGGAAATACAAAAAATACAGTTCGATGGAATACAATTACTACTATTTATTACTGTAAAACATTTCGACCAGTCTGATTAAAATACAGATCTATATTTTGTTTCGTTTTTTTTATACCTTTGATGGCTTCTACTACATGAAGATCTGACTAGTTGCTTGAAAACGTTGAGAGAATACTCTTCGAAACGTCGCCCGAATAAATCAGTAATTGTTCTTCCATAAGTATGTGTTATAGTTTATTGTAGTGGGAGGTCGTGTCAGGGGTCATACAAGCGGCTTTTGACCCTATGATGTCAGATATTGATTAATCAATCAGCGTTGACATTTCTAGTGATTTACCCACAGTTCTGTCAACAGCACGCCAAGAACTTGCCGTAACAAACCGTTTCATTGGCTAATTCGTCACATCAACCAGAACGCCTGTTATATAACAACTCTTCCAAATCCTAGTTTTGTGAAGACAAAAAAAAACGAAATAGGATCTGTGTTTTAATCAGATTGTGTTTCGACTAGTTAGTCTTTTTCAAGCAGTGATTCAGTATCCTACTTCAATCATTATTTGATAAAAACTAGAGAATCCTATTCGAAACACTGTTCAGTAATAAACATTAATTGTATTCCATAAAATTCTGTTGTTCTGTGTAGAAGTATTAAGGTGCATCTGGATTCTGAGGGCTCTCAAATCTGGTTATATTTTCAACTAAATAAACATTTTTTTTTTTTTTCAGACTGCCTCGTCTTCCATATTTGGTATTGGGTCTCAGCAGACTAAATGTATCCGTCAGTATTCGGTGCCAAAAATAGAAGTTACACCTTTAACAAATATATTAAAACTAGTACGATTGGTGTGGATTGACAATAAAACAGTTGTATTACTTACAGTTGATGGGTCGGAAACCAAATTCTCTATTTAGAAATAAATTAGGACTGTGGGTGGGCATATAAACTAAAGCCTGTCAATAAATATCTTTCATTGTTATCAACACTTTTGTAAGATATTCTCTAATTTCCATTTCCAGAGAGAACCCATAAGGTATTTTATAAATACAAAGCTGTCCTGATATGGTATATTTGAATGAAAGTTTAGTTAAGGTGAGAGGCAGGGCAGAATTATAATCTAAAATCTATACAATCTGACTGCGGTCTAAAGAATTGATTTGGATTAAAACTGATAGTTGATCTGTATCCCTATGGTCCATACTCCATAGTCAGGGTTGAAAAGTGGAATTAATGACCTATATGTCAGAGTAGAATCCCACACAGACAATTCAACCAGGCTACAATATAAACTCAATAATTCAATATAATCTACTCTACATATATATGTATTTAATGACAAGGGACTTGATTTGTTTCTAGCCACTGATAGATAGATACATATATTCAGTTATATAATATTTTAAAGCCACTTATTGTTATTTTGTATTTTTAGGACAATATCTTAATTATTGACAGTTTAATCCATATGTTGATAAGCAGTTTTAAGATGCAATATAGTAATAAATAACTGACAGCTATGTTGTAGACAAGAAGTAATTATGATACATATATATAATTTATCTTGCACAGAATGGAGTGAAATTGAGTCACTGAGAGAGAGTGTATGAGAGTGTGTATTGATAATTGTATAATAAAATGTTTATTGTTATGTTTTTGTATAAATAATAGTATATCTAGTCACACATATTATAACTGTTATTAATCATATTATATATTGTGGGTGAAGTGTTCAAAAGGGTGTATCTCGGGAAATTAGTCAAATACACTTTTGCATTTTTAAACTCTCCCAATTAATATGCACATTTCCTTCTAAGCTGTGTATCTCTATGCCGATTAGAACTGTTCTGGGTATCATGTGTCCAAATGTTGTATCTTGATTTCTGGAAATTTTGAAATGCAAAAAGTTCTATTTCTTAATCTTTAGAAATTCGTAGATGCACCCTTTTGACACTTCACCTACGATATGTTTATTTGTCCTTTCTTGAAAAATATTTGAAATCATTCCTTCCTAGTACATTGCATATATAGCTTAACTGAAACTAGCCTGTAACAAGATTATGTTTATAGTTATATAAAATTTAATGGTGTATGCTTAGCTTTGTTTTCGAAAAAGTTGAAATTTGCAACAACTTCTTAACTTCAATAAAACATTCTCCTAGAATACAGTGATAGTCATTAATCTTTGGCGTTTTAGGACAAAAACAAAACCAAGAAGGGATAAGCAAGGTTTTTTGTTTATTAGGCCATAATAATTGTTTCTATACAAAAATTGGCTTTTTTTTTACTACTGTGATAATTGTGTGTTATATCATTCTATTTAATATGTTTATGTGTCTGTATAATTGTTAAATTAAAGCATATAAATAATAATTCAAATGAAAATGGTGATTAAAATGACAATGTTAGTATAGTTTATAGAAGTATATTTATCAGTAGCATAGAAATCCGGTCATGTTAAAAAAAATGATAAATAAAGATGAGACTAAAACTACAAAAGGAACAATGTATCGGTATTAATATATTTAGATATAAAAACAGATAATCAAGTATTTGTTGTTAAACAGAGTTTAAATAAGATGTATATTTTAATCTGCTCATATTTACCCATGTTATACCTTTCCATTCTACATAATTATTATGATAAAACCGGTGGATGGATAATTTCTGGTGAATGAAAGTATTGTTATTGCTATATTAAATATTGTATTCAATTTTATTCTATTTAATTGCATAATTTCACTTATAGGTCCATATTTCACAGTTAATAGGTTATAATATAAGTATAAATATATTCCAAGTAGATATAGTTTAAGGCAAAAGTCATTGAAATGTTATTAACTAGAACCTAACTATAGCATAATTTGACCAGAATAGAGGGGGTACCACTTTACTTGGCATGAGGTTACGATGTTGAGGGGTCCCACTGCTCCCCTTGGTAGAGGCTTAGATGGCCCTTTGGAAAAAGAGTCAATGGAAGTTCTGTAGGTTTAAGTATACTATTACCCATACTTATATCATTTGTATTTAGCCCTGATTACACCAATACTTTATGGGCAGTTTCCAATTTTACCAGAGTCTATTACCAGCTGTTCATAGGCTGCTTGATTGTTATAAAGTGGAGTATAAGGCATTGCCCTCACCCCCCACCAATACTTGTTATGCCTAAGGTTTACAAGGCATTGGTCAACACAGCTCACAAAAGGCTACATGGACTAAGTCTGTTTCCCAATCCCATTCAGATATCCTGAATATAAATATTGTTTCAAATGAAAAGAAAACTTGCTAAACACGAGCAAAGAATAATTATATACATTTATCAAAATTTGTAGTTTCAACAGGTATGATTTCATAATATCATTATGCTAATTCCAGTTATGTATATCATTATTTATTTTTGCAATTGGCCTATGAATGTTTGTTACAGATATCACATGAATAATAAACTTTTTTATATTATACACAAGTTGTTCTTGTAAGACCATTGCATGATTATTGGAGAGATAAAAGTAACATGACGAATTTAATATGGGTAAAATATACTTTATTTTATTTAAATAAGCAAAATATTACTACCTTAAACTGAGAGAAAGGATGTATGCTCTTATTTATAGATAAAAACAAAAAGCTACAAAAGAGCAAACAGTAAAAAGACTAGCAGTCAGCTTGATAATTATATGGCACAATGAAATAGTAATTATTTAAAAAGAATATCTTGGCCAGGAAAACCATTTAAAGCTTGGCTAAAATGGTTGAGGTTTTAAAGAATTTAGTGGGACAATCTGTTGGTGAGCAATTTCCTCCTTCAGTATGAATTCCATATCATCCTAATGGAGAAAATGAACAGGGTTGAAGCAAACGTGAGCTACCTGGGATATCTGTAATAATAAAACAGTGAAAATGAACAAATGTCAAATGAAATTTCAGCCGACTGATTTAAGCATAAAGTAAATTCTACCTTATGCACCTTTATTCAAGAAAAGCATGGTTCAAATAAAGCATGCTGTCAAATGTTTGCCGAGATCTGTGCTTAAACTGGTCCTTTCTTGCTGACCAGACGGTCCTGAGTTTGGTTCCGGTGTTGGCAGAGAAAGTTCCTCGGATTTTCCAGCCAAGTGTGTTTCCCCGACACTTGGAAATCGATCTAAGCCGTACAGCTTTATCCCGGAAATATCTCTCCCAGACCATACTGCGTGGATGTCCCTCTTCAATAAAAATTGGCCGTAGCACCATTGTCCGGAAATATCCCTCCCACACCATACTGCGTGGCGTATCCCCATCTTCAATAAAAGTAGGCCGTAGCACGGTTGTCCCCATGTTCCCGAAGCAACGACTGCGAGTTTTACAACTATGTACGGAGTTAAAGTGAGATCAAGCCTTGAGGGTGGGTTGTCCCGGAAATACTCCACTTCATTTGTGAGTTTGAATTTTGAAAACAGATGCTGGAAGAAACATATCTGTGATTCCAATGTGCTTTCAATCTGGTACCGGAAGTCACAGGACAAAGTGGGTGAAATAATCTGGGTCACTTTCTTTCTAGAAACAACCCCTCGCGACCTGACTTCTATGCGTCCTCTACTTACCTCTGTTTAATCTTTTGTCTTGCACTATTTGGTTGATATCTGGGTAGTGAATCAACTTATATTCTGTAATATATCGGAAAAGAGATAGTCTGATACATATCGTTTTATCTGCAACGATGACAGGACACAAACGCAAGGACAGCGACATCTGACAGGCAACCACCGAATTGTATATTCATGCCTAATTTGCCTGTGTTCAATAAGGATTATTTGTCGTCGATTATCCAGCACTGAGGAATAATGATTGGCCTGTGTCAAATTATACAACCCGACAGATTATTACCGATATGTTGCGTAAACAATCCATCGCTGACAAAATTATATATTTATGTTAAGTGGGTTTCCTTCCCATCTTACCTGATTGTTCAAATACCCGAAAGTCAGGAGCGGATGTACTATAAAACTAACGAAGCCTAAAATTCAAGATCGCCAAGCCCTGTGAGATCCACAGAAGCAACTTTAATCCATACTGCTTAGTTTAATTTAGGCCACTTTAAAGATCGGGCCGACATTACGTAGAATTGGAAGTTTAGGGATGAATATCTATGATGTACTATAATATAGCTGTGTGTCCATGTAATATCTAAGGTTGAATCAGGACGCACGAATTAAGTTCTCGTTGGATTCTACGAGCATAGTGTTTTGTATTAATTTCCTTTTTTCTTCCCATAGCAAACAGGTTAATACAAATGTTGGGATGACCTTCTATAGAACATCCCCAAAAGAAGATCTACAGTGGTTAACCAAATCTGGTTACTGATAATAATTCAAGCTTAAAAAATGTAGGCCCACCACTGACGAATTTAATGTTTTAATCTTGTATCTCTATCCAAGGGTTTTTCCATCTAAGCGAGCCGTAAGGTGCTGACTCGCTAACATGGAGGCCCCGGATTTGATCTCAACGTTGGCCGAGAATATTCCTCGGGAAATTCCCACGTGGTTCCGCATTGTCAGTGGTGAAGGACTGGGGCCTAGTCGTTCGGATGAGACTAAAAAACGAGGTCCTGTGTAGATCTTACAGCTGGAATTCAATTGCTGTCAGGGAAACATTCCCCTCATAGCCGTGCTTAGTAAGGTGCTGACTCGCTAACATGGAGGCCCCGGATTTGATCTCAACGTTGGCCGAGAATATTCCTCGGGAAATTCCCACGTGGTTCCGCATTGTCAGTGGTGAAGGACTGGGGCCTAGTCGTTCAGATGAGACTAAAAAACGAGGTCCTGTGTAGATCTTACAGCTGGAATTCAATTGCTGTCAGGGAAACATTCCCCTCATAGCACACTGCAGTCTTCATTGACAATGGCCGGGTTAGGGAAGAAAAGCAGGACGTTAAACTCCATTTCATTCATGATTTCCATCTAAGTTCTTATGTTCTATAATACGTAAAATATATTTATTTAACGTTTACCTGTATTCAGTGAACCTAATATACCATGGAATCTACCTAGAATATTTCTAGGATGGTGATCATGATCAGTGGAAGGCGTGATAGTCTGTAATTCATAAACACCTGAAAAGTTATACAAACATTGTTCACGAAACTAACGATTGCCGATATAATACAGTTTCTTGGAAAACGCGATACTTGCAGAAACGTTGAGAAATCGGAATGTTGAAAATAATTTGATAGACACTTTGCAGGGAAGCATCAGAACTTTCATCAAGAAAATAAAAGTAACTAATTTCACATGATATCATATTTTTAAATCAAAGAACCCTTAGACACTGGTAATCCCAAATCTGGCATATTTAGATCAACGCATTATTCACGAGCGCCCACTCAACTTTTGGAAATCAGTAAGGTCCGGGAACACGGGTGTGAGACCAGTCTGTAATGCATACGACGGACACGAATATATCTCAGTAACTGCTGGGCAGATCTGTCTCAAACGAGTAAATGACGATCATGATACATGTATTGGTGAAGAGAGAGCCGCAAGGAGAAGCAATTACTCAATACCCAACTAGCGTTGAACACATTTTCGGCCACAGATATCGGAAACAGTGTGTTGCCATTGACCCAGTGTCGTACTTTGAAACACACAGATTGTCTTAGGTGGTTAAACATAACTTACTTCGCAGACAGTTCTTAATATGTTTATAAGGTTTAAAAGTTAGAACACATTTGGCTGCAATATTTTGTGTCACAGTAATGACAGGGTACAGTCTATCTGTGTTCACTGTGCACTGTTCCATCTGTGAGCGTTCGATCGAGCACCAGTTGTCAACATTTGCTTCTTGACAATTTAAATATCCGAATATTTCGTATCCGATTCAGATTAAATCATATGATGAGTTTGCAAAAACGGCACGTTACGTTCACGACCCCCTTGTTTCTATTTGAATCCCTTTTTAACTCCACAGTAAATATGCCTCGGCGAGTGCAGATTTCAAGGGCCGCGCTACGTCCATGGTAGAGGTTAAGATATTCTGGGCCGGACTGGGCCCACCTGTCCACCTGTTCGTGACAGGTGGGCCTAAGCTCATTAAAAAAAAAGTGGGTCTAAGAAAGAAAAAAAAAGAAAAAAAGAGAGAGAAAAAAGAAAAGAGAAAGAACAACACAAAAAAGAAGTGTACTATAAGGAAAGAACTTTATGAGTTTGACCTTATTATACCGAGAACCGTGTAATTTATCTTTTAACCTCTACTTAGTTCTTCATATACTATTCAAAAAAAGTAGGGGATATTTGATTTTTAAGTGTTATTAAAGTCACCTAATGAAACTGACGAAGAAACAAATGACAAAATGAAATGAAGTTCACATTCATCGATTTATTCCAAATGATCGTTAGACTAAGTAAGGCACAGACTGACCATTATAAGGGTAAAATGATACGCGGGGTCAAACAGCAAAGTTACCACAGCATCACAACCAAGTCAGTAACGGGTAAATCCTCCTCTGTTTGCCAAACAAGCATTGATCCGACGTGGCATACTCCTAATGAGACGTCTAGGGTCATTTTGGTCCAGATTGTCCCATTCCTGTTGCAACGCAGCAGCAAGTTCTTGGACATTGGCAGGACGTTGTTGACGTTGACGTAACCTCTGTCCAAGTATGTCCCAGACATGCTCGATGGGGGAGTGGTCGGGACTCAGTGCTGGCCAAGGTAATGTGGTGATGTTCTGTTGTTGGAGGTAACCTGTAACGATCCTGGCCCTGTGACATCTTGCGTTGTCATCCTGGAAGATGAAACGGCGGCCATGACGTCGTGCGAACGGCACAACATGGACTGCCAAGATGTTGTCCCGGTAGTACTGGCCTGTAACACGCCCTGCAACAACATGTAAAGCCGTTCTTCCAGCAACAGTGATGCCTCCCCACACCATAACAGAACCACCCCCAAATCGATCATGTCTGATGACGTTAACGTCTTGGAAGCGCTCGTTTCGACGACGCCACACCCTCCTACGTCTGTCCAAAAAATCAACAGTGAACCTTGACTCATCTGAAAACATCACATTGCTCCAGCGTCGATTATCCCAGTGTTGACGATCCCTACACCAACGACGTCTTGCCTGAATGTGATGATCTCTCAAACAAGGGATCACGCGAGGACGTCGGGCGCGAAGGTGACCCCTATGCAGTCGATTCCGAATCGTCTGGCCACTCACTCTCACACCAGTGTCTGTTTGAAGACGAGCGCTGATTTGATTTGCTGTGATGACACGATTTCTCAAGGCCAAGGTACGGATAAATCGATCCTGGGCTTGAGTTGTCGCCCTTGGTCGACCTGAGCGTGGTCTGTCCTGTACAGATTGTGTATCACGGTATCTGGACCATAGCCTGCTTATGACAGACTGAGAAACATTCATCGTCCGCGCCACAACCGCCTGTGTTGTGCCGATCTGTAGCATGCCAAGGGCACGTAACCTTTCATTTTGGGTAAGCCGACGCATATCAAAATTTGTTTTCTGGTCACTAAAACAATTAAACTGATGTTTCCACCCTGGAATTCAATGCCACAATGACTGTAACATTCAAAGTCAGAGTCGTGCAAATCTTGGGTTGGACCCCCATGATGATCCCAAGCATCACCTGCATTCCATGCGGTAGCTATTGGTGCGTTTGGGCGTCACATGTAACTGGAAATGTTTCTTCTGTTAGGTTCTATAGTGACTTTTTTCGTAGTCATTTGCATATTTTAGTATTATGCCCCCAAAATCAAATATCCCCTACTTTTTTTGAATAGTATATGTCATTATCGCCGAAATAATCGCCAAAAACTTGCCAGTTTTGAGTTTTTCGCGAAAATTAATCAAAAATTTGCCTTCTTCTGCTTTGGTCTGAAATGTTTGGAAAATGGGTTTGCGGTTGTCAATTTTCAAAATTTTCCGGGGGGGGGGGGGGGGGCAGACCCTCCTCGGACGCTAGCGGGCCTTCGGCGCGTACTTGTGTGGGCCTTAGTCAATGACCTGACAGGTGGGCCTTTGGCCCACCAGTCCGGCACTGGGGCCGGTTGCGACATCTAGCTAAACACTCGCGGACAGGTTGGAGAATTTAAAATACTTGCATTGAGGAAGTGGAATCTAATACCTGCGGGGAGGTTGGAGAATCTAATACTTGCATTGGGGGTTGCAGAATCTAATACTCGCAGAGTTATTTATTGGGTAACCTATATATTAATACTTTATTGGGGATTGGATTGTGGAATATAATACTTGCGGATGGTTTAAAGAAATGTCATACCATCTCATACTCGCAAGGTGATATCCTTTTTTTTTCTAGAATTAGAAAACGGCTTCAGACGTGTTTCCTGTGAGGGTCGCACATGTATTTGCGAACGTTGAATGCACTAGATGCATTTAATATTGACGATTGAAATTGAATTGTGTTGTGACTCGTCAAAACTAAATGAATGACAATCTTACCGCCTTTATCAACATCTGTTTTAAATACTGTATTTGGTACCAGTTTCATTAAAGAGTTGTCTTGTCTAATAAGCATGGGTAAAATTAGACTAAAATAATTCTTCGCCCATTCTTCATCTCCGCTTAAAGCTTTTCTTACTGACGATCTATGTGATAAACTATCTGTTAAAATAGTTAAAGAAATAAAATGAAATGGGGTTTAACGTCCTACGAAAATACGTCATGGTGTGCTATGAATGAGTAAAATTTTGCCCGGACAACGACCTACTCTATCGAATTCCAACTGCCCTGGGGCCTTTTATTACGTGTACGACAATGTGTACACGGGAAATCGATTTTTAGTTCCATCCGAACGACTAAATAATTAAAGAGAAGCGTAGTATATTATATAACATGATATATTATGCCATTTAAAAAAAATCGAATGTGTTATATCCTAAAGATTTTTTTTTTAAAAGCACTTTGTGAGGTAATCCTTCACTGAGTAGCAATAAAGGTTACGTCATGGACCTGATGGGGAAGACATGGACCTGATGGGGAAGCTATGCACCTGGTTACGATTATTCTTTCAAACCCCAAAGTGCCGTCTCAAAACTGGGCAAATAAAAAAAGGAATTGAGTTAACATACCGTATTCCCATATATGGAGTACGTCGTTTAATCCACCAATTTCACTTGTCCAATATCCCATCATTTTAGAATATTTTGTTCGTACAGATATCCATTCTGTAGTCAGATCGAGGAAACGTTTAAAATCTTTAGGGTAAACATTATAACATCTCAATTCATAAATCGGCTGTTGTTCGCTGGTTGTCAGATTTCTAAATATCTGTTTAAAATAAACATAATAAAACATAAGGATTGTGTTGTATTTTATTTAAACAATAATAACATAAACATCTTTTTGAAAACCAAATTCCCAGGTCTTCAATGGAGTTTCCTGGATTTCAGAAAGTGGAACGAGAAATTTGAAGGTTTGTAAATGTAGATTTAAAAGTGTCCGGGCGGCATAATTTGTGTTACATGAATAATGTGAAAAATAAAACACGACTATTCCATGGGCTACTGTCAATAAATTTAGTCAATTAACGACAATAAGACAATGCGCCCGCCACCCAAAATTTTGGTTTTGGTGAAGAAAACATTCTTATCAATAATGTCAACAATTTTGACTATTCCTTATCCCGTGAACCAACTAATTAATGTATCCCTTTGGATTAAAAACTGTAAGTTTGATCAGGGTCACGTAAATACCCCCCCCCCATCCCCCGGCGCAGTGAATATTTTTTTCTCGCCTACTTTCATGGAAATAACGCCGTTTTGGCACACTCCAGTACTGTAATCCTATACATGTATGCACCTAAATGAGCAGAAATATTGTTTCAAAGCTTCTGAATTTATCAAATTCCGGGGTAGTTCCCCCTGACCTAACGCCAAACTTGACGTTTACCAACTTGGACCCGCCGCTGCTCAAATCCCTGGACACCCCCCTTTTGGATTGTATATCTGGATTTTTTTCTTGTCTTTAATAACAGAAAAACCCCTATACTATAGATCTGAGAGCGTTTTTTATACACTTGGGGGCAGCTGTATATGTACTGTAAATAAAATGAAAATGAAATGCAATGAAATGGGGTTTAACGTCCTGCTCCGACTGGGCTAATAAAGGCGGGGAAAATAAAATAGTTTACGTTCAAAATCCTCTTGCTCTAGTTTTAGTTTCGTTTTCCGAAAAGTTCGTGTGCGTTTCTGTACGTTTGAATCGTATGTCCCTTGGGTTTTATTTAATCAAGATAAAAAAGCAAACCCGTGTAAATTTGTGTGTCCTTTTCATACGGTGAGGCGGAAACCTTCAAAGCAACTGTATACATTTGTACTTATGTAAATAAAATAGGTTAGGCTCAAGGTTCTCGTTTGCTCTAGTTTTAGTTTTGTTTTTCTATTTTTGTTCTTGCAGTGAGTTCCATAAGCGATTTAATTAAACATACCACCGAGACATTTTTACTGCTGGCCCTGCAAATTCTGCTTATTCTTTGTAAAGCCATTGCAAATAATTAGACTTCGTTAACTTTTTTTTATAGTCTTATGATGATACCACGTCCACAAGCAAACGATAGTCCAGTCACTCGGCTCACATCGTCCGCGCCGATGACAGAAAATAGGTCAACGACAGCTGACAGATGGAGAAAATATCATAGGGTCTGGTAAACTAGGTCTATGAGTCACGTGTTAGCACTTGCCAACCCATTTACATAGTTTTAGTATCAGATGATGTGATTGGTTTGAATCTTTGATAATAACCAACCACAGTTCTTGACAGATTGATTAAAACAAAATGGCTGTGATGTAAACAAAAGTAAAGAGTGTGATGAATAATTTCATAAATTTTGTTTCTTTTCTTGGCTAAAAAAGCAAAAGTCCATCCCCAATGTTACATGAATCAGTAATTCTAGGTAAATCTTTAAAAAGTAGCATAAAAACCACTCAGAAATCTCTAATTTAGCTAATTATCTAAATATCGTACCTGAAACAAACACAAACATATGAAACAGCTCCATTTCTATTTCTATTTCTAAACAACATTTTTCATCTCTTTAATTTCTAATGATAGGAAAAAAAGTTAGAAATGGCAAATGTAGTTAAACCCAACCAGCAGGATTATGTGTGTGGGCCCCAGGACCAGTACTGAGACTTTATTAAACGCTCAAACTAGTGGTTAAATACTTCATACTTGTCATTTGTAATTGTACAAGTAACAAATAATTAAGTATCTTTAATTTAAAATTAATTGATACCCTCCATATGAGTCAGTGTATTTCTTAATATATTAGTAGACCTACAAAGCATTGTGTAATGACACTACTTTTGGAGCATTACTCAAGACACTACTCTTGTAGGTTATGGTGATAATTAAGTACCAGTATTACTTGCACATAAAACATGATAAATATTTAAACCTTGGCTTGGAAGAAAATCTTTGTTGTAAATTAAATACAACTGCTTTACCTCTTAACATTGAAATTGGTGAATCTATTTGCAACATTTCACTGCCTTTTTTCAGATATTGCAGAGAAGAACAAATATTTCATTTATTGGCCATTTTTAACTTAATTGACTCATTATTTTCCTCTCTAACAGATGTTGAAGTAACCTTAATGCAACAAAATGACACATCCAAAGGGTTTAGAAGGAGATGACCTAATTAAAAATATTCAACAACTAGTTAGTAGTTTCGAGCCTCATATCAGTGAACTGGAATCAACAGATCAAGTTAAAGATGTCTTATTACAGTTAGAGAGAAATGATGAACATTTTCATAAGTAAGCTTTTAGATGATAATTTATGAAGTAATGTAGGGCTAGAAACATTTCAATTTATTTATTTTACAGAGTAACAAAAAAAAGCTTTTAAGCCTTTTTTTGTTACTCTGTAAAATAAATAATTTTCTAATTTATTTACAGTTCACACATTAAAATGTGTGAACTGTAAATAAATTAGAAAATTATTGTTAATTATTTATTGTTAATTAGTTGTAAATTATTGTTATGTTTTTAGAACATCTGATACCATCTGTATATAAACAATAGTTTATTATTGACATACATTGATCAGGAAACAGGCAACTAGTCTATATAATAATCCTGCTCCTCAATATGTACAAAAATGAAATAGCATTACAAAAACAACATTATGTACACTATATACAATATCATACATGAATATAAGTACATTTAATTCATTTCTTCTTTAGTGGAATTCCCATAGCTAATAATTTTTATTGTACTTCTTTTGTATGCCACTGTCCACGTACACAGAGTAGCAACATATCTAGTATTACAGTTGCGTATAAATCCATTATTGAATATTGTGTGTAGTATTTGGACATAAAAATGAATGTCGATTTAATACAGTTAATTAAATTTAATGAGGTTGATTTTATTTATTTATTTTCAGACGTGAGATAGTGAAACAGTTGAAATCTGGATTAAATGATGTAATAGATAAAAATTCTATGACAGGACAGGTTGTATCTAGTGGTTATGATGTAGATAGATCAGTTAAACAAAGGACAGATGCTATACGATCTTCTAAAGAGTAAGTTCCATATTAGACATGGGGAGCCATGTTAATAGCTCAGTGAGTTTGGTGCTGGCTCACTAACCACAAGCTTCTGGGTTCATTATCGGTGTTGGCCGAGAAAGTTCATCAGGGTTTTCTAGTCAGTTTCAACTTGTCAGTTGGCAGGATGGAGTGCCTGGCAAGGAGAAATGTCTAGTGGTTCAAATGGGACAGAAAAACAAGCTTGTTAAAGAACCCTTGACAGTTGGAATTCAACATGAAAGACAGGATTTTATTCATATTTTCTAGATATAAAGCAGTTTTGTATCATCATTTTGAATTTACATATTTCACTGTTTGAATTCAGGAATAGTATGTTTATCTTTCATACATGCTTAATATATAATAATATCAAGTAAAAATGAATAAAGATATATAAGAAATATAGATTGATGCTAATGATGAATAATTGGGTTGTTGAAAAGCTCGCTAGCACTGCTTTTGATAAAGACAATGGAAAAAAAAATGGAGCGACATGATAAATCAATTTTATGTTGTTATAAAATAGGTTAGGCGGCCCAAATATGAAAACAGGGAATGAAATTTGAGATCCATGGTCGTTATATCAAGGATAAATCACATTATTTGTAGATCTTGATCATAGGTGTAATTTTATTGTTATTAACTTTCTTATTATATTTACAGTTATAAAGACTTTAAGAAGAAACTACATGATGATGTTAAAGATGCTGTAGAACATATTGTATTAAACTATGATTCTTTAAAAATAGAAGATCAGGTACGAGGTTCAGGGTTACCCCAGCAACGACAAGGATTTATGGGTAGTGACGATGAAGATATTTCTTCTTGTGGAAGTATATTTTGTCAGGTAAAGTATTTCAGCTGCCAGTTTTTATGTTGTAACTGCCCTTATGTTATACCACAAGTACCTAAGTGATTCAACTTGAAGTTAGAATACACAAATGGACCGTGGTTTTTTGTCCCATACAAATAACTAGGCTACACTTTACTTTTTGGTGTTGTATATAACAATGGGCTTTGTGTAAGATTAACATGTGATAATTGATATTTTTCATTGTTTTATTTTTAAGGGAAGTGTGACGATGTTTGACCCTGATGCTTTAAAGAAGATAGCCAATGAATTATCTATATCTAAGTCACATCAAGTAAGATCACTATTCTCTTTCCATAGACAAAATTAGACAGCATTTAGCAAGGACATAATTTCCCTTTTTGTATTAACTCCTTTATACAAAATAAAAGTTAAACAGTATCATATGTGTTAGAAATTTAATTTTAGATATGAATTCTGATTAGATAATAAATTACCAGCTAGAGCTTGTTGTAAAAGGTGCGTACATGTATCTAAAGAGAGAGAGGGAAGAGAAAAAGAGATTGGACAGGCGATCCTACTCTTTCTCACATACAACCGGAAACCCTGCCAGGCGATCCTACTCCTTGTCACATACAACCGGAAACCCTGCCAGTTGACTCAATGACAGACTTTATGATACAGCGCGATGACAGACCTTATGATACAGTGTGCACGTGATAACCATTCGGCCATCCAAATGTATCTACATTTTGAAAAAAAATTTTTTTTTAATTTTCTCCTCCACTAAGATATAAACCTAAAATTGATATATTTGTGTTACTTGTTTCGTTTTTTTAACCACAAATATTAAAATCAATGTTATTTTGTAAAGTTTAAAAATAACTAATTAATTTATCCATGTTATTTGGCAGACTAAATATGATGCCATGTTGAAGTTAAATCGTATTATGAGTGCTGATATGGTTAATAATAATAGTTGGAATTATTTACGCAAACAATTGTTAGATGTTCTATCTGATCCTGATGAAGAACTTACGGTAAATAAATATATTAATATGTTATCTGTGAATCATAAGTTTAATGGGGGCATATTTTAAGTCTTTTGCTAGTTCTGTTATGGTTTCATAAGTTTCCTACACCTTCTCTGGTTTCTGGCTACCGTTAAATTGATTATTAAGTTAATTATTCAATGTTTGTATGCTAAGAGGATTAATTTATGTTAGAGCCAAAACCACCTAGTAATTTCATCCTGTATTACTATGTTTTATTAGGTTGTCATTAATATTTTGAAGTTTGGGGTTTAAGTATATGAGATTGCATGTTTCCCACTGCTAAATAAATATTCACTTACAAAAGACAATTACATAATTTTCTCTTTCAGCAACTAAGTCAGAAATTTATAGCAAAAGCATTTACAAATACATGCCATCAAACCAGAGAGATTTATAGTTTACTGAGTAAGTTATCCTTTAGTAAATAATTTATATTTTTAATAACTCACTCATAGAATGTTCGCAAATTTGTGTATTCAATATCAGTGTATGTTCACAGTATAGTTCACAAATATCCTTTATTGATTAAATTATTCTTCAGTAAATGATTTATATTTCTCATAATTCACTCGTAGAATGTATATCCCCTAATTTGTATATTAACTATCAGTGTATATTCGCAGTATATTTAAGGTATGTGTACTTGTGTGTATTTTACACCTGATAAAGTTCACACTTAATATGTCTATATATACATTTTTAGTGTGTATTAGGTACTTGATATACTCACATTCCTGGATGTTACTTTTATCAAAGTAATGAACCAGTAAGTTTAATGTTTTATTATACCTAACACACGTTTCTATAATTTCAGCTGAGTATTTAACATGTCAGTTTCAAACTAGAGACAGCAATAGACAATTGCTCAGTAATGGACTTGATACATCTAAGCCAGAAAATATTAAACTACTTAAAGCAGTAAGTTCTAATTCTCCTGCTCTGTGTACAACGCAAAGGCATATAGTCTTCTAAGGCAGATCAGTTTGTTTTATTAAAGCTAATGGTAGTCATTTGCTTAACCAAATGTTTATTACAATGCTAAATGTAAAAAAACATCAGTCAAGTTATATCTTTATTTGAATGATTGAAAAAATATTACCATCAATTCAATCTGTAAAATATTATATTTTCTTATTATAGTTTCGATTGATGAATGAATTTCAACAAGAAGCCTCAAATTATTGGATACGGTATCCTGATAAGTATGTTTGTTTCTTATTTCCTTTTAAAGATACATTATGGGAGATGAGAAAAAGAGCTGGCAGTTCTCACTATGATAGTTAAAATCTAGATATTGTAAAGGAAATTTGCTAAAAATTTCAGTCAGATTGATCCACTGTGAACCGAGAATTAAGCGATTGAAATTTCGACCTAGCCTCGATCATCATTACTAAAGTCTGTACGATAAAAAACATAGTCTTGATCATCCATTTCCTGATTAAATTATGAATGGAAGTCGAGCAGCAAATGAGATCATAATCCAGTAAATATTGCAGGCTAGCGATGCCATCTAGAGTTGATTATGGCCTGGATAAGTTGATTAATGTCTAATTAATAATTTAGATAACATTACAGGTCTAAAGAAAGACCTGCAATAGACAGATTTAGCTCTTGCATAATGTATGTTTAAGTTACCTCTGGTATATAGATTTTTTATGGACTAATTTCATCTGAATAGAACTGTTACACTGTTGCATAATGTATGTTTAAGTTACCTCTGGTATATAGATTTTTTATGAACTAATTTCATCTGAATAGAACTGTTACACAAGAAGATACATAAAATTTAATGATTGACAGTTGTCACTACATGTGATATTATACTAGTTTATATTGTAATAATCATGTATACTTGTGAATGTTATTTTTGTAACTTGTATTATTGTAATTACCTGTATATAAAAGTAATTTGTGTTATTGTCATGAAGGTATTTAGAGGAAGTGGTTGAATCTACGTTAAAGCTGTTTTCTGTTCAACAGACATTATCTACCGGTGTACAGACTTATCTAATGCCATTACATTATTTGGCTCTAGTTGACCCTAAAGCTGTTTGGTGTATTAAATGGATGGTAAATAAAAAAAATTTTGATACGTTTTACTGGTACTATATGAAAGTCCTATTCTCATTGTTGTCCCCTTTTTCCATCTATTACTAATAGAGACTGGGGATAAGTAAAATAATCAAGTAGAAAATTATCATTAAATTTGTTAGTCACAAAATAATCAGATAAAACTTACCATCTGTTAGTCCTACAAAAATCAGCTAAAATATTACCACCTGTTAGTCCCAGTATGATAAGACTACGTTTGTTCTACCTAGCAAACTCCCTTACATTATCATTTACGTTACATAGCCATTATTGATAAAAAAAAGTAATTTATTACGAAATTTATCTTGTTAGCAATTGTTCAGTTAAATTCAATGTATGTATGTTCTTTTTAGCATGGTAACTACAGCAGAAGAGCATTACTAAGTTTATTGAAGGATTATAAACAAATTGTGAGTACCTTGTATCCAACTTTACAATGGTTTAATTCAAGATATTTCTTAGATTTGGTCATAATACCCTAATGGTCTTTTGACCCCTGATGTGACCTATCACTATAACTTGTCAGATCTTCATGTAGTGTAGGCCATCGAAAGTATAAAAAACGAAACGAAATATAGATCTGTATTTTAATCAGATTGGCGGAAAATCAAACTAGAATCAGGATGAAACAAGTGAAGCATATGTTAAACTCCAGGTTTAGCCCAATTCATGAGTTTATTTCTATGTAAATATATGTAATATTTATGTAATTATATATAATATGTAAATATATATAATTACTGTGTACTTCTTTCAGGTTGAAAATGCTGTTTATCATTGTTTACATTTCTTCAATAAAAAAACCAAAGATTACAAATCTAATGATATCGCGGAATCATTGTCAAAACTCCACGTCTCCAGTGGTACTACTAAAAGAAAACACTTCTACACAAGTTTAGAGTTAGAATATATCTATCTTATACATTCTCTCTGTTTTATTGGACGTCTGCTGTGTTTTATTGATGGACGAAAATTCTTCCCAATGAAATTTAAAGTTAAATCAGGTATGTTTTTAAAACTTAGGCTATATACTTTAAGTAGGGTCAAGTTTGTTTAACTGGCATTTAAGACAACATGTCTCGACCATAATCCCTAAGAGGCACTTAGTTACGGGATAAAGAAATAAACAGTAACGCATACTTATGGAAGAACAATTACAATTTACTGAGTCGATATTGAGAAAATACTCATGAAAACATTGCATAAATAAATAAGTAATTGCTCTTCTCGACCTGTGCCTGGAGGTCAGGTGTTCGATCCCTGCATTGGCCGAAAAAGTTCATCCAGATTTTCCGGCATGGTTCCCCCTTGTCAGTAATGCAGGATGGAGGGCCTGACAAGGACAGCTGTCTAGGCTTTTGGATGGGACAAAAAAACGAGGCCTCGTGTACACATTGGCGTGCATGTAAATGATCCCTTGACAGTTGGAATTCTATATAAGAGTAGGCCGTAGTGCCGCTGTCCGGGCAAAATTTCCCCAATAGCACACTCACTGTATGGCATATGCCCGTCTTCATCAGCCCAGTTCAGAGCAGAACAGTAGGATGTTAAACCTCATTTCATTTCATTCATTTCTCGACCTGTAAATATATCTTCTTATTGTCTTAAATATGATTGATTGATTTCCATAAAAAAACTGTCAGAATTCAGATGTAGTGTAATCATAAAGATGGTACAAAAGCCTCCTTGCAAGACAGCTCATCATCATCATCATCATCATCATCATCACTGTTTCAGTTTAGGAAGATCAACGGAACTATATTCTCTAGTTATATTGTTATTCTAAATGTTTTTTATTTTGTTTAGATTATGCAAATCCTGTAACTGTCACAACTTTATTAAAAGCATTTATTACCATCATTGTTGAATGTCCTTCTGTCTGGGACTCAAAATCAGGTAGGTCTGAGATTTAAATACACTGATAGACTTTATTATATTTAACATAAAAGAATTAAGTTATTTATGTTTATATTATAAAGAAGTTGCTTTATTGCCCATAAAATATACTCTTATATCTTGATCTTTATTATTAAATACTTTTAAAAAATGAAAGGGTTCAAAATTATGTGAATGCACTAATTATGTTCAATCCTGTCGACATCTTTTCACTTCTTTATAAATTTGTACTCTTAAGTTGAAATACACAAGGTCTCATTTGCTGATAAATATGTATCTGCATGGACATCATGTTTACTTTTTATATATTTTATATGATATGTAATATTTTGCTATCTACTGTGGTTTTTTTTAGAATTATCTGCTGTAGACCTGCAGAGACTATATTGATTTTTAAGTTATCCAGAATCTTTAAAGTTTGAAATTTCAAAAAGCTTAAAAAAAACAAAAACATTGCATGAATGGGAAATCTCTTTAGAATTAAGCCAGCATGGCTACTGTCCATTTCTAAAGAATGATCTAAAAACTTAATTTTCCTGAAATATACCATCCAGATGTGTAAAAATATTCTGCAGTTAAAGAGTTAATATGAAAATTTGTACAATTCAGAGAGTTTAGATGCAGCTAGTTTAATGAGTGAAGTTTTAAAGGATTTATGTGAGTGTGGTAAATTAAAAGAGATTGGTTTCTGTCATAATGATATAACTACAGCATTACTCATACCTATATCACAATATCTAAATATTAATACTGTAAGTATAATTATAATCTCATACCTATATCACAATATCTAAATAATACTATTATAAGTATAATCTCATACCTATATCACAGTATCTAAATAATACTATTGTCAGTATAATTATAAACTCATACCTATATCACGATATCTAAATAATACTATTGTAAGTAAAATTATAAACTGCTACTAAGTTTGTCTATTTTTACTTTGTTCTTTTTGTTGAATAAGCAGATTGTTTTCCCTCTAGTAGATTGGGTGGAGCTTAACCGTGCAATAACTAGACATGTTCAATGTTATTGCACACTTTTTGCTGGTTTACACTAGTTTTAGTAGAAATCATATAGAGAAGTGGGGTGGGTTTTCTGTGCAATAACAATAAGCATGTTGAGCAGTTGTCGATGTTACAAGTATAGCACGCGTCATTCGTTAACAGGTTTAATCCCTCGGCCTTTGGCCTCTGGTTAAACTTGTTAACTCATGAAAGCTGTGCTATAAATATAACTTATTTTTAAAAATTCATTCTAAGGTTGAATATGAAATAATAGACTTGATTTAAATGAAGAGTGACCATTCAGCATCACCTAATTTCACTTGAATATGAAAAGTAGAAAAATATACACTTGGCGAACATGTTAGAAGGCAATGACTATAGTCTGTCTGGCTCGCTTGTTCCTCTTGAAAAGAACTTTTGGAGAGTGATCCATTGCTGACATTGTTGTTGTTTGACTAAAACTGATTATTTCAGGGTAAAAAATTACCAAGTGAAGAAGCTTTATTGCATGTGGCAGATATTTTGTGTGTAATGGCTTCCGATTCTGATGGTCGGCAACATTTAATGTATGGAGAAGGTGGAAACATGTTCTCTAAAGCCAAGTAATTTATTTTATATGTTTATAATTAATGTGAAAGAAAAATATTAATTTGTTATATTTTCGGACTGTATATACTTATTATTAATGTGGAAGAAGCTTAAAATTTCGGACTGTATATGCTTATTATTAATGTGGAAGAAAATTTATTTTATTTTCGAACTGGCATTCATAATTTTCTTCTGTTACATTTTTAAAAAGTATATATCTATGTTCTATGAAGTACATTTAAAATAAGAGTTGTTATTCTTGCAAGAAATACTTTAGTGACAGTCTGGTTCTGGATGCCCAAGACTACACAGTTTATTAGACATTGTTGTAAATTATTATAAGAACATATGTTGAATTTTCAGGACCTTACCACCAATACATTATATTTGTGAATTTACGAAGAAATGTTTGCGTAAAGAATTGCCAGCTGGTATTTCTGTGCCATCTAGAACTGTGATTGGTGTATATCTATATATCTGTCGTCAGTTGTATATAACATGTGATGGTCTACATATACTACTACCATATAATCTACATACCTATATAGCAGATGCCTGGTTAGAGGTAAGATCTTGTAATATTGGGGATAACTGATTCAACGTTCCAGAATTGAATTGAAGATGTCAATGAAGTAAACATGAGAATTTCGGTAAAGAAGACATGATGCACAAACAAACAATGATACCATTACAACTAATGACCATAGCTGAAACGTTTAATTATGTGTTGATTCTTGTCAAACCAGATCTGTTTTCAAGACTGGCAAAACTGTGACAGGACTCAATTTAGCGTCACATTTTTGCAATTCCACCAGTTCAGAACATTCTGGACTGACAATTGAACTCCCCTGTTGTAATTGCCTCTATGTTCACAAACGTTTAACATTCACAGACACCTTTGAGCATTTTACAAATTTCCGCGGAATCCCTCCCGCTTCCTGTACTTATTCTGATCATGCAGATTTTCCAAACTAATGGGCTTAGTGCATGTACCACCATAAATCTTTGATAAACCCATCTCAGTAGCGATTCTGATTTAAGAAGCGGGACATATGCATCAACCCGTAGTAAATATTTTTCAAAGTGCCCACTTGAGAATTACTGTAGTACAGAACAGTTGATATAGATATTTTTGTTTGTATATTCCAGGCATCACAAGCTGGAGATCGTGCTGCTACTCCAACTCAGTTAGATTCACAAGATACAATATCTAGAGCTGATGATGATAATGTGTAAGTATGATAATGCTGATATTGATAAGAAAATGATAGATTTCCGTGTGAAATTATTATGCCTGTCTAAATTTGGTAACAAAACAGAAATGCTTTGCGGGGAATGGGGAGGTTGTTGATTTGAGGGAGGGGCAAGTCTCCTCAGCAACCCAGAATTCCCAAATAGTAGAGTACCATATCAGTTTACCATAAAATTATATTTGCTTGTTTTATTGTTTTTTAGGTTATTTTGGCAGGATTCGTTATTAGGCAGTTTATTAAATTTTGCAAGTACAGCAAGAGGAATATTATTATTACAGCAGAATAAAGCCATTAATGAATGTGTGGCTTATATGTATGATAGATACAAGAGAAAACTTCAGGTACACCCCTTTAATATTCTTTTATTTGCAATTAGCTCATTCAGACAATTTTATAGCAATCATTTCATAGCAATCAGTTTGAGTAAAAGTTGATTTTAACAGATTTAAGTTGTTAAGAATAATACACCTGAAGAATACTGAAGCCCATATATTATGATTTTTTACACATGGTACTAATATTTTTAGGTTTTTCTTTCTCTTTATAATGAATGTATCTTCCAGTGAATGTGCAATAAACTTATAACAAAATACAGACACTTTGATTATAGTTTAAGAATGCTTGGAAGAATTAAGCAAATATCAAAAATAGTTTGTTTTTTGTGATTTTCATGGCAGAATATGTTTTCTGTGTGATTGTAAATAATGCTGTGTTGTAGGTTGGTAAATTTGAAAAGTTTGGTTATGGTGTGATGGTAACACAGGTAGCTGCTACAGCACCTGGTATATCAGCTTTACAAAATACAGGTGATGGATATAAAATGACAGTTCTAAGTAACAATATATGTCTAAACTAACATGTCTTTTAGTGATCCAAATATGAATCTTAGGTGTAAGAAACCTTTATTTTGGAGTGATCTGTAAAATTAATATATATCCATTTAATAAACTGACAACTTTATGGATAACATTCACTAAGTTTATTAACTGCAACGTTTCAATGAGGATACTCTCACCGTTGCTTGATAACGGTGAGCGTATCCTCATTGAAATGTTGCAGTAAATAAACCTAGTGAATGTTATCCATAAAGTTTTCAGTTTATTATATATCCCGTTCACTAAATGCCTTTCAAAGATAATATACCCATTTAAATGAATATTTGTATTTGTATTTAGTCACTCTAAACTGCTGCTCTTGTATATATTATGATTGTGTTAACATACATTGTTATGTCCATTTATTTATAGGATATATACAAGCTTTAATGAATGAAATTTGGACCTGTTTAGAATGTGGTGAATCAGATGTGCCAGTTTATGCTGCTAAAGTTTGGCCAGTAGATGTTATAGAACGATCATCACATAAGGTACAATATTTTACTCAGACGACTCCATATAACATAATAATCACATGATGATTTGTACAAACATATGCAAGTTGGTTGTCTATGAAAAAACCAAGATAAAATCACAGTGTTGATTTCTTAATGAAAACTGTGTAACACATAATTGAGATTGTGACATCCAGCATAAAATCAGATTGTGACCTGTAACATAAAGTCAGATGATGACATAAAACATAAAGTCAGATGGTGACATATAACATAAAAGTCAGATGGTGTAATATAACATAAAGTCAGATGGTGACCTTTGACACAAAATCAGATTGTAACCTATAAAGTATAACACACAAAGTCAGATGATGTAATATAACATAAAGTCAGCGGATGACCTTCAACACAAAATCAGATGATGGGAGGCAGCTAACACAAAATCAGGTGCTTGTTTCAAACATAAATTTAGATGGTGGTTCAAAGAAAAATTCAGATGTGTGATCTAATTTAGATAGTGACCTGTAACAAACAGTACCGTTGTTGATATCAAATATTTCAGTAGCTGATATATGAAGCTATATTTCATGTCAAAATTTTCCTCGGGAGTGGCCTCGGTCCACAAAAACCAACTCTCATTTCCAGGTTCACAAACTAAGGCTCTCTCTCAATTTCTTGGTCGCCAAACTTAAACTCTCTCAGTTTCTCCACACACAAACTAAAACTATCTCACTTTCTCCACCCACATACTAAAACTATCTCATTGTATGAGCTAGATAGCAAATGCTAGAACTATAGTTATATGATATTATTTCTTTTAGTTTTATATTTATGTGTGATGATATTTTTCAGCATTTAATAAGAATATTAAATATATTATCATCGTTTGCGGCTGTATATGAATTATTGGCTACTAAACCTCTACCTGTTAAAGATAGTTATACGTTTAGAGAGATACCAGATACTATAGCTGTAAGTTTCTCTTAACTTATTTTCATGTGCGTGCTGTATCATAAGGCCTGTCATTGAGTCAACTGGCGTGGTGTCGATGCCCCTGTTGTACTTGACAAGGAGTAGGGTCGCTGGTCCAATCTTGTGGGTTTTCTCTGGGTCCTCCGGTTATCTCCCACTGCTAAAGACCCCTACGCGCAAGCAAATTATTGAAATAAAATTGAACCATATGTTTGTCCCAAATTGACCTAGTTTGTGTTGAGTGGACGTTAAACCCCATTTCTCTCTCTCTCATAACTGATTTTAAATTTTACCATAGTTCAACACCAATAAAGATATGAATGACCTTTAGATATTGATACTCCATAAATGTGCACTAATTGGATTGAGTCTCACTTGACACAATTTTCCTCAGTATTCAGATATGTACAAATGCGAAGAATATGACCCAGAGAATTATTTGCACTCGTCTTATTGGCTGAAAATATCAGATCATTGTAAAGCTTGTATAGCAAACTAACTATGCATGCTGACAATTACCATGTTTTGTCAAGTCTGATGTTTTGATGGGTAGTTGGGGATTGGAGTTTGCAATCAAAGTATATACAGTTATTATTTTTAAATACATATGTAGTACTATCAGACTTTTTTTCTTGTGTTTGTTTCTTTGTGATCGTAATAATACTACAGCATCAATGGTTTTACAACTTTATTGCTAAGCTGTAATGGCTTTGAAGGTTCCTCGTTCTTAATAATAATAGCTGCTAGGAATATCTGAATGTGTCCTGATCCATCTCGCTCTACACCCTATTTTATACCCCCTAATTTCTGCACGTCTTAGATAGCTGTGACGTTAATCTGGAATAAACCTCTTTATTTCACATGACTAATAAAGGAGGAGACATTACCTTATTTGGTCTACCAACCATAGGTCAATTAACAGACAGAATTTGATGGATATCATGACAATGGTTATGATTTTACCAAAATATCACTGTTTTTTTATGTATAACTATATTCACGTTCATTAAGTACGAGTGGTTTGACTCTATGACAGAGTGAAGCAACAATTTTTCAAAGAACCAAAATTGTCTTAAGGATCAAAGTGTTACACATATTCGTATAGATCAATTCAAAATATTTGTCTTATTCTTAAGCTTTTCTTGTTATGAAATTTGCCCTCAAAACAGTAATTAATTGTTTGAGTTTAATAATTTATTTATTGCAGGCAATGTTAGATAGATTAATAATGGTGGATAGTCCAGCTAAAATACATTCATTATTTAATTATGAACATTCCCATGTATTTGGTTTAAGGTAATGTATATAATATGATATAATATGTATATAGTTTAAAGAATTTCTGTAAGACTCTGTTCCTTTACATCTATTTGACTGAATTTTACTAATTTACTTTGAGATATTCTTAATGGACACCATGATAGATCTTAGTTCTATTTGCTGCTTGGGGGCCACTGTAGCTTAGTGAGTATGGCACTGGTTCATTAATCAGAAGATCCTAGCGTGATCTAGAAGATTTTTCAAGATTTTCCAGCCTGGTTTCCCTCTTTTCAGTGCTGCAGAACAAAGAACCTAGCAAGGAAAAGTATCTAGTCATTAGGATGGGAAGAAAAACTGATGTCCATCAGTGTACTCATTAACTTGTATATAAAAAAAAATTGATAGTTGGAATTTCATGAAGTATGGATGGAAATGCTGCTGTCATAGTGCATGCTCATCTTCATTAGCCTAGTCGGCGCAGAAATGAAATGAAATGGGGTTTAATGTCCTACTTTTCATCTGGCCATCTGAAACCTGGGAGCAGCCATCTTTATTTAGTTATGCATTCATTAACCAGTCACATAGTGTGCTTGATTATTCATTATAAAATCTAAAACGCTAGTGAAGCCACTAGGAAGTTACAAGTCTTGTTTTTGTTTACATCCTGTATGGTCTTTAACCATTCCTGTTATTATAGTATCGATGTAATTTATATTTATAGGGCATTAAGTGTAATGGTATCATGTCTAGATACAAGTCTACTATTACAGTCACAGTATAAAATTCAAGATGTATTTCTCATGGCACAGGCTGAAGATAAAACAGACAGGTAGTCTTATAGCTACATAATATTTTAACTTAGAGATACACTATTAATCTATTTAATATTCTTACGATATTTTCCCTAGACAGAAAAAAATGGAGGTCCAGATGAGTAGTAATTAAAAGTATGCATTAAAAGAATAAAAAATACAAATGCCATGATTTGAAAAATTGTCCTCCTTTTTCGTTTTGAATAAAATGATTTTTGTTTCCAGTGATCAGTTTATAATAGACATGTTGTCAGCAGAGAGAAATTATATTCTTGTATCATCATTTCTCATTGGTGGACCATCTGAAAGAATCTTACCACCTCACTCATTGGAGCAGGGAGAAACTCAGGTAAGACTGAACTATTTATAGAAATTATCTTATCTGAATATGCATGGACATAGCAGTAGAAGAAAATAATGGACAATAAAATATTCCCCTCATTGTGACCTAAGCAAATAGATTGGGTTAATTTTAACATATTTGTGCTAATTTTCAGCAAGGTTTATTGTTTACCAATGTAATAAATGAAAACATTTCTATTATTGATGAGGAAAATATTTCTCTCATGTACCAAGGGGGGTGGATGGCCGAATGGTTAGCACGTGCGCGCTGTATCATAAGGCCTGTCATTGAGTCAACTGGCGTGGTATCGAATCCCCGGTTGTATGTGACAAGGAGTAGGGTTGCCTGTCCAACCTCGTGGGTTTTCTCCGGGTCCTCCGGGTTTCCTCCCACTGCTAAAGACCCCTATGCGCAAGCGAATTATTGAAATAAAATTAAACCATATGTTAGTCCCAAAATGACCTAGCCTGTGTTGAGTGGACGTTAAACCCCATTTCTCTCTCTCTCATGTACCAATATTAATTTCACATCTGATGAAAGTGATGTGTTTTCTCTCAGATTATTTTTTAATTCTTACTTGTGTACATTTGTTTGTATTTTAATGATTTGTTTTGATTTTATTACAGAAGCCGGGTGTTATATATCCGTATCCTATGTTTAGTTCTTATCCAGTACCTAAAGAATACATTCCTAATCTTGCTGGTAGATCTGTCATGAAGCAAGGTAGATAACTCATATTTCCCCTTTTCATTATAGATCCTATTGTATGATTTGTTGCTAAAACAAACTTTCACCCAAACTCAATTTTATACACCAATATAGAGAACATATTCAATTTATTGGGGGGAGGAGATGCAACTCAAACATTCTTATTTTATAAATGATTAATGATATTTTGATAGATGATGTCCTTCAATATATTGCTGTAGATATCACTTGATACCAAATAGGAATTATCTTCCATGAAATGAATTATTGAGTAATGAATATGTGACGTAGTTAGAATCAATCACTCTTTTAACAATAGAACTTCTATTATTTTCTTTGTTTTCCTATACAACTGCATCTATTTCACTGCAGCACTAGCTATATAATTGTATCTGTTGTCATAATGAATTTCTATTTCATACATATTTCTCTTTCTCTCTTGTCTTATGGAATTAGTTCTAGCGTTTATTTCTAGCTGGCCTTATATAATTATTTCTAGCTTATCTTGTTAAATAATTCCTATATTTAGCTAGACTGTCACTATATATTATTTTCAGCTTTTGTAGAATTTGCTGATGAAGTTAAAGGTTTGCAATTCAGTATAAATTGTATCACACTGCACAGTGTTCTGCTGCATGCTTTTTGAGCACATTTTAAAATTGAGTCATTGGTATGTCAAATATTGTCGCTTGTCTGGCAAACCGACGAATCTGAAATATTTAAGTATTGAGAATTATGAGTTTGAAATTTGCGCTCTATTGTTATCTCTATGTCCATCAAATAATAACGTTTAGGTAAATGACGTACCGTGTCCTGATGTATATGTATGAAATATTAAATCATAAATAAATGTTAATATTTGATGGCTACAGAGATAACAACAGACCGCAAATTGCTAACGCATAATTCTCAATACTTAAATATTTCAGATTCGTCGGTTCGCCAGACAAGCAACGATATGTTCACAGCACATTGTACACTACATGTATAGAGAATGTATTATTGAAGACGGTATTTGATTTATACAAATATGTTAAGTCGACAGGGCTGTAATCCAGAACATTGATTATGACTAAATTCTTCCTAATCATACTTCAAGAATATGGACCTAATTATTTCCTAATTAACCTTCAAGAATATGGTCCTAAATTCTTCCTAATCAGTGTTTGAGATCAACATTTTCTAATTAACATTTGAGAAAATATACTTAACTCTTCCTAATCAACGTTGGAGTATATGGTTTGAATTTCTTTATAATTAATCAATGTTCAAGAATATGGTCCTTACTAGCTGAGCTAGTGTGCAAAAACAAAATAAATTGAAGTGAACTTGCTTTAAGTTTATGAATTTATATTGAAGGTAGCCAGGTAGGTTTCGTAAAATTAAGTACAGCATTATAATGTTACAGATTATATCTGAAAATAAATACAGAAAGTCTGGATAAAAGAATTGGCATTATTTCATTCTATTTGATGTAAAAAATCTGTCGTACTTAAAGGGACATTATGGGAGATTAGATAAAGAGCTAACAGTTCTTGCTATAATAGTTAAAAAATAGAGAAAATAAAGAGAATATGCTAAAAATTTCAGTCAGATTGCTCCACTCTGAACCAAGATATTAGTGATTGAATTTTAGGCCTAGCCTCTATCATCATTACTAAAGTTGGTACTATGAAAAACATATTCTTGATTATCCATTTTGACGTTAAATCATCCATCACAAAATGTATTCAGATCCAGTAAATATCGCAGACTAGTGATGGCATCGAGAGTTAATTATGGTCTGGATAAGTTAATTAATGTCTAATTAATAAATTAGATAACATTTCAGGCCTAAAGAAAGACCTTTAATAGTCAGATAGAGCTCTTGCATAATGTATGTTTTACTTCTTTATTTCAGATAATGAAATGACAAAATTTCTCTCTGCCTCTGGAAGGGGAGACAAAAAGATGGCTTGGTTAGACAAATGTCGAAGTTTATTTTTCAATCTTCTGACTAAAAAACCTGATCAAGTGAAAGGAACATGTAAGTTGAAATTCATTCCTGGTAAAATGAGTAATTTTCAGATTTTACATAGCAAGCTCTGTTTTGTCATTGTTTAATTGTGAGGGAGTTGGATGGTCGAATGATGAGTGCGTGCTTGTTGTATCATAAGGTCTGTCAGTGAGTCAACTGGTGTGATTTCGATTTCCCTGTTGTACATGACAAGGAGTAGGGTAGCCTGTCCAACCTCGTGGGTTTTCTTCAGACCCTCCGGTTTCCTCCCACTAATATTGAACCATATGTTAGTCCCGAAATGACCTAGTTTGTGTCGAGTGGACATTAAACCCCATCTCTCTCTCTTTCTGTGTTTAATTGTGTAATGATATATTATTTATATTACAGTACTACAGTTGTTATTTGAGCAAACTGTACAGGCCATGAGTCAGATAAAAGAAGAAGCAGTATACCCTTTAACCACATTTACTGGTAAATACATACTTCAATTTAACTTCTTTGGAATTAGCTTTTGACAGCAGGATGATCCCATAAACTGTGCTTTAGTTTTACATAGTTCCGTTGACCTTTTGTGTCCCAAATTAGCTCCATTAACCGTTTGTCTCCCGCTTTAGTTCCATTGACCACCGTTTCGTTGATTTTTGGTTTCCCAAATTAGCTCCATTTTTCCACTGACACTTTATTTCCCACCATAGTCACTTTTTTTAGCTGACCTTTTTTTCACACCATAGTTCGAACTGAATATTTTCTTCCAACCTTAGTCCCTCTACTTAAAGTAGCTAAGTCTCTAACTCAATATCATCCAAAATCTTCGACATTCAAAACGCAAATTATTTGCCAATTTAAATCAACATTGATGTTGTGGTCTTACCGGGAAAAGATGGGTTTCTGATATCCAATATTTAACACTAAATAAACATTTTACCATTGGTACACGAATCGCGTACCATAATGTGTTTCAGTGGCATTTGTAACAAGAGACTCGAAGAACAAGGTTAGACATATTCCTCAAGTCATATCAAACAGTGACGGCATATTCTTATCTAGAGAGCATGCACAATAAATACTATTGGTATAGACTGGAATAACCAGACGCTGGAGATTGCCATTTGATTGAGACTTCTGGCGTATTTCGCCGAACATGACTAATTAGAAATTACAGTAAAAACAGAATTATTGAATGTAAATCAGTTTATATATATTCATATTACATTATTTATATGCGTTGCGACCCATTTGTGTCAATTACTAGGTCCCAAATATTAGCGATTTAGCTCCTTTCAACTGAGGTTTTGTTTAGGGGAAAACTATTGTAGATTATGAGTATCAATCTGATAATTTTTTCAGGTGGAGAGAATAGTATTAAAAGCTATAACCTTTCACCTTTACAACTACTAGGTGTTAAAGTAGCTGTCAGGTAATTATAATGATAGAGTTATTTTTACTTATAAGTCAGGTTATCCGAGTAAAGGCATAGTTCCTCTAGAGATTCTCTATAAGTAGATCTATATTTACTTATAAGTCAGGTTATCCGAGTAATGGCATACAGAGATTCACTTTAATTAGTTTTATTCTATGATCCTGGTGTCCTTCATCGTTCAAAGTAAACTCCACTGTTTGTTATATCAAATATATAAAGTTTACGCTGGATAATATCAAGCATGTGCACTTCTTTGCGAATACTTAAACTAATATATTTCAAGAATTAAGCATTTTCAGTGGCTGAGAATTAAAATTCTATTGCAAATTTGAGCTTTTAGCCAATGAAAAGGTATACTTCTTAAAATATCTTAGTTTAATGTTTTGTAAAGCGCATTTGAGCACCTAGTGAATTGTGCGCTATAAAAATGTTCATAATAATAATAAAAATAATAATAATAATAATTTGGTGAATAAGAAATCAGCAGTCTTTATTAAAGTTTGTATGATTATATTTTGTAGATATGGTATACATTTAAAGGTTGTGACAACACCTACAGAAGCTACTGATAGTTTAACTCGTTTACTAAAACAAACAGGTGCTTTCTTCCAACAAAAATCTAAACATTCCAAAACATCTTCTACTTTATGTATCCTTTTATAATACTTTTATTTATTTTTAAAATAGCAAAACACATACAAACACTCATGGGGAAATTAGATTTAATAGCATTCTTTACCTGGTGTATAATACATGACTACATGGGATGATAGGTCAATGACCAAATAAATTGAAATGAAATAGAGTTCAGCATCTACTGGATTAGTGAAGACATACATACAGTGTGCAATGAGGAACTTTTTGCCCGCTCAACAGGATTCCATCCTACTTTACACCAAATTTCAACTGTAAGGATTCTGTTACATGCATGCCAATGTGTACATGAGTGGACCTCACATCTTCATCCCATCCAAATAACTAGATACTTCAAAAATCGGAATAGAACCCAGGGCATCCCGCACCATACACACTGAGCCACCGTGACTCCCTTAAAGAATGATGTGACTGATATTGTTTGGACATATTTGAAATATCTTTATCCAATCACCTTAACTTATATAAAGTATATCAGAAAGGTAGTTATCCTGGTTTTGATTGGTTTGCTTCCACCATATTTCTCATGTTTAATGGTGATGGAGACAAGGCATGGAGATTTCTACACAAGTTCAGTACATTAACTGTATCAGGTTATCTGTGGATGCCAAGATTACATTCTTCTGTAAGTAAAATTAACAATACCATTTTCATGATGCCTGTCTGTAAGGTTGTGTACCTTCCATTATGATCCTTCTGCTTGATTAGATTGAACTTTAGATCAATAATTTGTATTAATGTGTTGAAGTGATAATAAGTATGCTCTGTTTTGTATTGGAAAAATGTAATAGCAATATTTCAAGCTAATTCAAAATTTTTAAACTTGAAATGAACCCCACCCGAGTTGCTGTTCAGTTACAAGTCATTGCAACTCTTTTTTTTCAATTTCTTTTTTAAACGTACATAAATAAACTGATCTAAATAAAAACTAAAATTTAAAAGTATTTGTGTTTTTCAAATTCTAATTTAAGACATGTGAATTGACAGATGAATTCCTCAGACATGAGACAATCAATTTCAGAGCCAGGGTTTAATCACAAGACTGAATGAAGTCACAAAGCTTGAAGAAAGTCCAACAAGAAGCCTTTTTTTTTAGATGTCCAGTTGAGACATTTCGAAACTTGTCGATGTAAATTCTAATTTGAACAATTCGAACAGATACAAGCAATAAAATAGTGTGCGCATTAAGTTCAACATATTTCCTTTTTCCAGATTTAGTTTGCCACAACACTTTGATAACTTTTGGCTGAGGCAGTTATCTCTTTGTCACATTATTATTAATTTTGTATGATGTTATTCCAGACTTATATCCTCTGAAATATTTTCAGTTTCTGTTTCTTGAAATTCATTCTGCTGTTTGTTTTTATTTTTCTAGGAAGATCTTCCAGACTCAATCATGTACACTGGAATTCCACCAATATTTTATTCAACAGCCCATAACATGGAATTTGTTCTACAATCAGAATTACCAACATTAGCATCAGCTTTTAAAATGTCCGGCTTCACACCAGCACAGGTAGATAAATTCATGATGACAGTTTTTGTCTCATGGAACTTTCTTCCATGCAAATAATGAATGTGGAATGAATATGAATTGTTTCTGATAACCTTCGTAAAACCACTGGATTACTTAAGGGAGCCATGATGGCTGTGTGAGTATGGTGCTGACTGACTGACTAATAAGGAGGTCCTGGGGTGTTGACAGAGAAAATTGCTCAGTATTTTCCAGTCTGGTTTTCCCTTGTCAGAGGTTCAGGATGGGGGTCCTGGCATGGAAAAGCATCTAATTAATCGAATGGAACAAAAACTGACAGAAATCAAAATAAGGGTAGGCCTGAGTGCTGCTGTTAGGGCAAACTTTCCCCATAGAAAATGTATATCTTAGAAACACATTGGGTGCAGAAATGTAAGATGTTGAAGCCTATTTCATTTCAACTTCCTGTGTCTAAAAGATTTGTTTAATATGTTTGTTATATTACAGATCTGTGTACATTGGTTAAAACAGTGTTTTTGGAATTATTTTGATTGGAGTGATATATGTCAATATTTAGTATTGTGTATTATAATGGGTGTAGATTATCAGGTGTATATATGTGTAGCCATATTAAAACATCTAGAGAAAGATATACTACAACACATGCAAACTCATGATTTAATTATCTTCTTAAAGGTAAGATCTACATAAACTTTGTACTCGTATATACTAGTTGTGATGGGTGTCTTGCATGAAGACCACTGGCCAACAAGTCCACATAGCTTACAGTGTTTGAAGTCAGTTTGCCATATTAGTTTGATTACTTTTAGTTAATTCATAGAAAAACTTGTAAAGTAGTTTTTTTCTGAATTTCAGGAAAACCCTATAAAGAAATTTCGTGTAGCGGAGAATCTAAAATATATGAAAACTCTCGAGACTAAATTTAGGAAAATAGTTCTCAAAGATATGGTAACAATGGTGACTAGGAAGAAATGATAAAAATAGAAACTTCAGGAAATGGAAAGTGTTATAAACCAAAGTATTCAACAGAAAGGGCACTACTGCAAACCCTACTTCAGGAAAAATAGTCAATATTACTCAATAAAATAGTTCTATTTAACATTTTATTCATTCGTTATCATATATAACAGTAATCGTGTAATAAAAACAGGAGTGTATGTCAGTCATTCAGTCAGTTGTATGTTTTCATGTGGTAGATATTTTCATGTACTGAAATGATGGATAATTGCTTCTTTAGTCAATGATAAACTATTTATGCCATCTATGCTTCATGTATCCCTGTCACTTTCATATTAGTCACATCACTAAACACATGACCATGTAATGGTTGAAAGTCATATTCCTTTAAAGATACATTATGGGAGATTAGATAAAGAGCTGGCAGTTCTCACTATAATAGTTAAAAAATAGATAAGGTAAAGGGAATTTTCTGAAAATTTCAGTCAAATTGATCCACTCTGAACCGAGAATATAGCAATTACATTTTGGGCCTAGCCTCGATCATCATTACTAAAGTCAGTACGATAAAATAGATAGTCTCAAGTGTCCATTTTGTGATTTAATCATGAATGAGGGTAGACCAGATCCTAATCCAGTAAATATCGCAGGCTAGCGATGGCATCGAGAGTTGATTATGATCTTGCAGGTTTTTCTTTAGGCCTGAAATGTTATATAAACTATTAATTAGACATTAACATGACATATTCAAGAGTTTGTTAATTATCTTGACAGCGGTAACAATGACAATCGAGGCTACAGTGATTTTAAAATAAGGTTTTCTTGGCTTAGAGTGAAGCAATTTGACTAATATTTTCAGCATATCCCCTTTACATTATCTACTTTTTATACGCCCACATATTGTCATCGCCCCTGTCCGTCCGTCCACAATTTGTTTGTGGGCACTCTACAGGTCACTATTTTTATCCGATTTTGACGAAACTTTAAATATAGGTCTATCTCCCAAAGATCTTGGTTCCTTGTGATATTGGCATGTATCGGATCATAACTTTATGGATTATGGCCCTTGATTGTACGAAAAATCCCGTTTTTAGTTTGTGGACCCGATTTTAAAACACGTTTAAATGTATCACCGCTACACTCTAATGAAGGATGAGCTCGAATCATGTAGTGCAGGCCATCAAAAGTATAAAAAAACAAAACGAAATATAGATCTGTATATTAATCAGATTGGTATGATTATGATCCAAAGATATTGGTTCCTTTCGATATCGGACTGGAGGCAGACCACCATTAAATTTCACCATCTCGGTACCCACAAATTGTAGTTTGGCAATTTTTATCTGATTTTAAAAAACATTTAAATGTATCATCGTTACACCCTAATGATGAATGAGTTCGAATTTTGTGAAAATCGCACCAAACTGCCTGACAAAATGGCCGCTCCTTGTACACAAATAGTATAAAATCTGTAATAGAAGGTTGTGGACCCTCTAGAAATCACAATTTTTATTTGATTTTGATGAAACTTAAAATATATCTTTATATCCCAAATATCTCAGTACTTTTCGATATTCGCACATTTCAGATTATAACTTCCTGGATTATGGCCCCTGATTGTAAAAATTACGCCTTTTTTTTTGCTTGTTCTCTATCCATCTCTTGCAGAATTTAATTAACTATTATAGTGCTCTTTTTCTAATCTTCCATAATGTATCTTTAACACAAAGTAGCAATGGTTTGATGAATCTTTAACAGTTTATTTGGCTCAGTGCAGGGCTAAAATCTCAGGTCTTACCTTAAGGTCACCTGACAGACAATTCCAAGTAAGTCAATTTCACTTTCCTTTTAGGTGGAATAAAGTGAATTAAAGCAGGACCTTTAATGTTTATCTGACCCCTGTTCTTGGTAGCCATGAAATAACAAGTACAGGCATACTATGGACCAGGAACCGAGTGTGACATCATCGAAGCCATCTTGGAATCGTGACGTTTTTACCAAAAATCGAAATCCATCAATTGATGCGTAATTGTCAAAGGAACAGGCATGCCAAGTTTCATATGGATTGTACTTAATTAAATTGGCGGAGTCTTAGGCTTTTTTGAAGAACAACCTGAACAACACTATGAGTAGTGCTTGGGGACAAGTTCCTGGTACAAAATTTTCGATGTTATTCTTATTGAAAATTAAAGTGCTTTACCCTGCAATAATTATTATGTATGGTTTTGGTTTATAATTTAAATTCTTGATGTTATTTATTCTATAAATCATGTCCGTCTAAAAATATTTATAACTCATGTAATATCTCATATAATATTAATCAAATTAATAAACATTACTTTCACATTGTAGTAATATTGTCTGTTTTTAATAATCTATGTGTGACGATAATTCTGTTTCCTCGTACATTGTTGAAGTATAGTAATCAAGCCTACAGAGATCGGGTAATGTGACCTCTCACTATGAGCGGTCCATTAGACACAGTACCGGTATCTGAAAAGGGATAGCTCCAGGCCTTTAATCAAGGAAATGGAGGTGATTTTTTTTATGCCTCGCCTACCTGTTCCCACCCTATGCCTCCAACCATGTGGGGTTGGATGCCCGAATGGTTAGCACCACGCTGTATCACAAGGTCTGTCATTGAGTCAAATGGCATGGTTTCGATTCCAACCTCGTGGGTTTTCTCCAGGTTCTCCGCGTCCCCCCCCCCCCCAACTGCTAAAGACCCCTACGCGCAAGCGAATTAATGAAATAAAATTAAACCATGTTAGTCCCGAAATGACCTAGTTTACGTCGAGAGGACGTTAAACTCTCTTTCTCATTTAGCCTTTGGCATGACTTGTGGAATATGTCTAGCCTCGTTCATCCCTTGTTACAAATGACGCTGAAACGCATTATGATACACAATTCGTGTACCAGTGGTAAAATGTTTATTTTGTCTTAAATATTGGATATCGGAAGCCCATCTTAGCCTAGTACGTTGACCCGGCTACTTTTGACGTGAACAGATAATGGTGGCCACAATATAATTTAAAAAAAAAAATGTGGGTGTATCAGAAATGGTGAATTTTGAAAAGAATGGAATGAAATGAAATGGGGTTTAACGTCCTACTGTTCTGCTCCGACTGGGAAATGAAGACGGGAAATTTCGAAAAAAGAAAAAGGTTTAAAGAACTTATACAGACAAATAAAGAGAAAAATGCGGACGATCTTAAGAACCCAACAAAAACTAAAAGTTATTGAGCAAGTAACTCAACATTAACTTAAAGTTATTGATTATAAAAATAACCCAACATAAACTAAAAGTTATTGAGTATAAAAATAACCCAACATAAACTGAAAGTTATTGAGTGTAAAAATAAATCAGCAGCATTGGTACCCTCAGATATAGCCTAGCTGGTTATTTATCACCAGATAAAAACAAAACTTCATATTAAAATCTTTATTCCAGATTTTTATGATTTTTTTTTCTCTTCTAATCTGTGTTCACAGTTGGATTTCTTACAAGATAAAAGACCATAGGGTAAACACTTCAGTTGGTTTATTGTAAACCTCCAATTATTTGTCATACAAGTGTAATCCTTCAATAAAACATAAGTATAAATATGTCTTGGTATTGGATAAGTAATACGCCCCGCGTAATAAATCGGACAAGTCATAGATATATTACTGTAAAATCTATACACAAGTGTAGACGTCATCTTTATAGACAAGCGCGCAACCCCAAAATTTAAAATAACGTCACACAATTGTGTCCAATCCCATGATGCACTATAGGTAACCCAGTAACGTCTTATCTATGCCTAGATAGAGTTGCGCGCTTTTAACGGATTTATCAAAACTTTGATAAAAACCTAAAAATGGGATGTATTTATTCTAACCCTATCAACAGAGTTGAACCAATATTGGATAAAGATACAGAAAATCCAGGAAACGATAGATCTACAGATAAATCTGAGCTCTTTCTTATAACCAGAAATAGAAGAACGAAGACATGTTCATCACCAACTCCAGCAAGAAATCAACAGGAGTGTATTATCTATGATTAGGCCTAGCCGACGTAAAGTTCGAGCGTCTGGAGGTATAAGTTTTGAAGTAGAGGAGACTAGTCCCAGGAAAACAGTCCCAGCAAAATTACAGAGAAGAGAGCTCACAGAGGAACAGATACCAACAAAGCTGCAAATAGCAGAGAAAAGGCGAAAGGTTAGTTAAAAAGAAATACTTTAACCCCAGACAACCAAACTACTACCTAATCTACCTGGCCCATCTACTGCAAATGTAGACAGTGGCGAATGGGATTTACGAATACAACCCGCCACCAATTCGCAGACACCTTCGTAGGTGTTCTTGAGCATTCGCTGCTGTAAATTTGGTGTTGCGAAAATTAGGAACATGCTCCTAAAATTCGTCAGGAAATATAGTTCCTTCCGCTACACTTTCGTAAGCAATCACAAGCCATAATTAATATTATTGATAGCAAGGCTTTTGTGCTGATCGTACGAAATTTGTAAGCGATAATAAGACATTTGTAAGGATTTTCTAGGATTCATTTTTACTCAGCGGCGGCTGGTGAATACTCTTAACACAGTGGCGGATATCATTATATGAAAATCTGAAATTGGTGTCCGGTTTGTGGAAGATGATACGATTGGTCTGGAAAAATATTTTAAAAAGTTAGACCTTACAAATGTTTATCAATGCTTGCGAATTTCTTAAATTAGGAGGGGTTTATACGCAATTCGCCACGTAAGCGTTGTGTAATCGTTTCATTCGTAATGCGTTCGCAAGCATTTACTAGGGCATTCGCAAGAATTTGTAAGAAATTGGCAAGCATTAATAAATGTGTAAAGCCTCACTTTTTTTCAGTATTTCTCCATGCCAATCTTATCATTTTCGTCGATTTGCAGCGAATTTCAAACTTTCATATTCGCATGCATAGATATTCGCCCTGTGAGAGATTCGGAGAAGAAAACAAAGTGCGGACAATATCCCTTTCTTAAATGCATCAACTTTATCTAGATACGATTTTCGAATATTAACTCGGTCTGCGCTATTTCCAGTAAATATTCACCCATTACCCTCTTTTCGAAAAGTTTGACTTCGAACCCAGAAAGCACAAATTGTGAACAGTTGATGGATGTAAAATTAAGCACAACTCGTCATTTAAATATCTGGGGGTTTTTCAATAGGAAATAAATGAACATATTATGAACAAGAAGTTCCATAATGAATGTAGAAAAGATAGAGAGATGAGATTAAAAGAATTGAGAGATAGATTAAAAGAAAAACAATAAGTCAGAGATAATAACAGATAGAAGGGAAATAACTGGAGTTCATATCGGCGGTTCTTTGGTCAGCCGACCAGGAACACAAACATCGGGTGGTTTCAGCTTTGAAATCCTTCAGATCAACCAAACACTACCAGAAGGACACCCAGCAAGGTTGGCAACCCTGAGTAGAAGAAGAAAGATAAATTGGAGAAGGGAAATCTAAAACAAAACTTAAATGGACGAGAGGTTAGTATATTGTCTCCTATATGGAAAGAAATTATTGAAATAAAATTGAAGCATGCGTTAGTCCCGAACCTACCCAGTTGGTGTCGAGTGGACGTTAGTTAAACTCCATCTCTCTCTCTGTTTGCACTGAGATAGTATATTATCTGTGCACCGATTTAAATGTTGTTTTATACAGATATGATACCTCTCAACTTATATCAGTCTGTTAAAGGACAATATCGGTGCCAGTCATTATCACATGTGATAGAACTGGTTAAACACGTTCCAAATATTATTTTTTTCAGAGACCATTGCTACGATAGATGAGTAATCAATGTTTCAACAATAGGAATTGACGAACGCAAAAGGAAAACACGAGTTATCCCTCTGTAAAACTGGCTGAAGTGACGGGTGATAACAGATACATGGGCGAATTTCTGCTCACTAATAATTCCTTCAAAGACCAAAAGTTGTTGTATGGGACTGTGAAAGGATATCTGACAATTCATAAACAAAATTGACTGCCACTAGATAAGAGAACATGAAAGAAAAATAGAAAAAGTCCGTGCATTACCATGTTTTTATAAGTATAGAATGAATAAACACCCGTGAATGTACAGACTGTTTCTATTTTTCTCGTGTTCTCTTATCTAATGAAATTCAATTACTTTTTTGAATTGTCAGATATACTCTTACAGTCTCATATAACAACTTTTGATCTTCGAACGAATTTTTAGTGAGCAGAAATTCGCCCATGTATCTGTTATCACCCGTCACTTCAGCCAGTTTTATAGAGGGATAACTCGTGTTTTCCTTTTGCGTTCGTCACTTCCTATTGTTGAAACATTGATTATTCATCTATCGTAGCAATGATCTCTGAAAAAAATAATATATGGAACGTGTTTAACCAGTTCTATCACATATGTGATAATGACTGGCACCAATATTGTCCTTTAACATCTCGTCGACACAATATCGGTCATTGTGTGACTATATAAACTACAGTAGTTTATATAGTTTTACGATTGCGTGTGTCAAATTATTGTTCCAAGATAACTCCCCACACCCCTCTCTCATTCTCTTTCCAATAACTTGAAAGTGGTCCAATATAGTCTTATTGTTATGGTTTTGCAAAGTTAATCCCACCTAATGCCAACCAATCAATCAAATCCTTGCAGCACCATGCGCAGGACACCATAAATTCCCTTATCGCAAAAACGAATGAAACCAAATGATGATGCGCGAAAAAAAAAGCAGAGTGGCTCTAGACCAATAAGTCAAAAGGTTTCGGGCACTTTATTTTGCCGACTAAATAGCAAAGGATTATTTCCCAAAAAGTTGATCGATTATCGATTCCCGAAAACTGTTTATAATGATGCATGTGATTTCGGACACTTAATTTTTTTTTCTCACTTTACGCTCTGGCCGAAAAATCTGATTGTCAGACCCCACCCGACTCGTGCACCGATGCAACACATATCCCTCAACAAGGTTCTTACCCACTCATAGAGTTCAGTCCAGTGTTGAATAAATTAAAATTATTTTCTCTATTTTGTTTAATAGAAAAGGGAAGAAGACAATGTAATGCCAAGACTGTCAGCAGTAGTAATGAAAGAAAAAGAGAAATTACAGATCGAAAAAATGATGAGGGCCCAAATGAATAGAGAGAAAAGATTATTAGAGTTGAGAGAAAGGTTGAGAACGAAAGAAGTGCGTGCAATGAGAGTAAGAAAGATGAAGGATTTAAATCTAGATGATCTCGATTATCCATCATAAACTATATGAATTTTAATCAGCAGAGTTATATTTTTAAGAGAAATCTAGGCTATGTTTTAGTGAATAACTTTCCTTTTTCAGAGAGCCAGGGAAATGGACTCCTCGGTTGAATATTAGTGTTTCCTGATATTCATAAAGCAATGGCGTTGTAGTCCAAACCCGTCTAACAAGGGCGGACTTCAAACTCCGCCGTGTAGGGATGGTCCCTCCCATTCTCAAATAGTCTCATGTTAGCTATCACAATTTTGAAATAATCATTTTATATTTAACGTTTATTCAAATATTTTTTGTTCTAATGTTTGTTCGTGTTCGGATTTAATTAAAGCTATGTACGCTATGAAAAACGTTGTATTTAACACTTTATTTCGTGCTGCAGTTTTACATTAAAACACATTGATGCATGTATTGTAAAGTTCTCTTATTCTGTAATCCACATTGCACGTCTTTATTTCAGTACTAACTAGGAGGTCTCGTGTTACTCCCGGTGTTGGACGACAAAGTTCCTCGGGATTTTTCCGGCGATGTTTTCGCTTTGTCAGTGGTGCAGGACGGAAGACCTGACAAGGAACAGTGTCTAGATGATCGGATGGGACGAAAAAACATCTTCATTAGCCCAGTCGGAGCATAACAGTAGGACGTTAAACCCCATTTCATTACATTTACATTGAAGTATAAATTTATACAATATAAATAAAGGGATTTGGACATTTTAAGATATAACGCATTCTCTTGAAACTGGAAGTTAAAATTATAAATATTAACAAAATAGGGTGACCCTGGTTTCCATATTACACAATTCCTTTGTGGAATCTCCATTATATTTCCTTAATCTCTGACTTTTGTATATATATATTAATGTTATATACTTGGGCGTTCTGTACGAGGCTACAACGAATCTTGGGCTGCTTGCAATACGAAATTGATGGACGATAGACACGTCGGCCCCCTTAAGAAACATTCAAATTTAACAGGTGTTAGCCAAAGCTGTGGATTTTTCATCAGGAATGTAAATCGCTGTACATGTAAATGGAACATAATGGGTGTGGAAAGTACCTACACAGTTAAAAATAATAAGGTATTTTACACCAATTCAGGTGGAAACTAGTTGTCATCTAAATAGGTGTAACTCCTAGCCTTTAGTGGTGTAAACCGATAACACCCAACTAGTGTAGAAGATTACATCAATTCAGGTGGAAACTAGTTGCCACTTCCAATAGTGTAATATGCCTGATGCACTCAGACTGTAATGTTACAGTTAAATAGTTTACACCTGTGGATGTAGATTAAGCATTATACCCCTCAAGGATGTTTTGTAAATTACACTTTCATTTTAATTATTACACCAACGCGGGTCTAATTTGCTTTGTTGGATATTTATTTCATGCCAACGACTTCTAAGATTAGAAATCTTGAAACTGGCTATCAGTCTCTATGATAATTATTATAGCGCGTTAAGCCCGACCTACATTACATATAGACCGTCGGCTACTTCGCTTCATTTTAAATGACATTAAATTAACATATCCCCACCAGACTGATTCAAATTCAACTGCTGTTGGGCAATTAGACAATCTGTATCAATTTACAATGAATATAAATCATGAGGAAAAATCAATGCACATATCCTTACAATTTAGCTGAATAATGTGGTTTATTTAATTATGCACCTCATTAAGTAATCTATTAATACAGCACCAGGGCTCAATGTCTATGTTTTCCGGGAATCTAATTGATGGGCCTGTTTTTAATCCGATTGAATCCAAGTCGGTTGATTATTTAATATTGATATTTTGATTTCCTTACTTTTGTTTGCTTACATATTAGTGTGTAATCAGCCATTATAAATTTGATATGTTCCGAAAACTGAAAACTGTAAATCACGCACGGTACCGCTAATTTAATATTCTGTTACATGTAAAATATTGAAGTTTGATATTTTGTAGAAATAGACATCATTGCTTGTGTTTCTTCAGAAATTTCACGTATTAGCCGAATCACTCACATTGTGTGCTAAAAATGGTTCCCGGTAAATCATCCAATCGGCTATTTTCGAATTAACTTCCGATGTCAAGATGTGTATAAATGTTCCCAAGGATCATTAATATGTAACTCATGCAACGAACCATTGCCTAATTGTCTAGAAATCGGCAGCATTTCATTCTAACAAATCATGCCAATCAGTATAGTAGCCACTGGGGGCGGAGCTAATAAGGAACCGAATTACCAGAGATAAACGAGGGGTAAAGTTATCTCTGGGATTGAGATTATCCTTGTGTGACCTGCAGATTTTAGCAGGATTCTTTATGACTAGTAAATAACCTGGTATTGATGAAAAACATACTATAGTATAGGAAACATAAGGTCATGGAGGCGACAAAATACAGGAACACAACCATTTTGTCTCAATTGTAAAAATGAAATTATGACCCAGAGAAACTTGATCAACAAATATATTTTTATCTTATTTTAAAAATAGAGTTGTATAACTTAAAATAAAAGTATTCTTATTGCTAATATTTACTTTTCATCATATAATTTACATAAAATACATAATTCTATTAAAGATTTTGTCACATCTAGAGGCTTAAGTTATGAATAGAGAAAGAAATGGAGTTTATAGTTCACTCAAATACAAACTAGGTGATTTTGGGACTAACATATGTTACAGTTTCCTTAATACACTGTTGATGGGGTCCTTAGCAGTGGGACCACCCCCACCTGTTGCAAATAGAAGAAATTGTATTACTAGTACAATTTTCAACACAAGATAATATATTCTTTTAAATATAAAAATACTATATCCACCACTGAGGTCACACTTCCTACAAATAGTTTGAGAGATGCATGAAGCTTAAAACATAATTTGATTTTACTCAGTCAGATTTGTATGATAAATAATGATTTGGTCCAATAGTATATCATTTATTATTTTCAACATCCATTTTAAGATTTTTTGACTAGTTGAGCAGTGCGGTACACATGGCGTAAATTTTCTCTTCTGTTATTGGCACATCCTAAAAAAAACACAGTCTGTAATGATATAAAATAGCCCTTTTTTGCTTTAAATCATAAGAATCATATACACTATCTGTAATTAAACTCTTGGTTAGAGTGAGGCGTTACACATGGTCCCAAAACAGAACCTTGTTTGACTCCACTCGACACAAACCAGGTCATTTCAGGACCAATATATAGCAATATATGAATAGAGAAAGAAATGGAGTTTATAGTTCACTCAAATACAAACTAGGTGATTTTGGGACTAACATATGTTACGTAGGGGCCAGTAGCTATGCTAGGGAACAGGAGGACTGGGAGAAAACCCACAAGGTTGAGAATAAGATCAAAACCAGATCATTTTACTCAATGACAGACCTTACGATCTAGAGCACATACATTTACAGGCTCCCCCTACAGAGAAACATGATACTTACCAAGAAAAGCATTCATAGCTGTGCCATATTTGTTTAAAGAATCAGATGGAAGAGCATCATCAAGAAAAACTGGACCATCCTCAAATAATAAATCAAATCCTCCAATTCTTTTCTCTTTACCAGTTAATCTAATTATATAAACAACAGGCAATGTAATATTCTTAACACTAATAGAAAAATAGGAGATGTATAAAAGCACTCAGAAATAAAGTCATTATAGCAATTGATCTAATATACAATATGAATAATGATCGCCACCAAAACATGGAAATATGCCCACACGGCAGCAAGTCTGCAGCTTATCCAAAAGAAAATCTTGGATGTTGACAAATTTCATACGTATCCTATGCCTTCAAGAAGCGCTAAATATATTGGTAGGGTTCATGTTCAAACAAAATGTCTGGTTAAAAACTATAACATCTATTTATTTGGTTCATAAGGGACTGACGGACAGGGCGATGGCAAAATTTTCCGACACTGAAATATGGATGTATAAAAAAAATGTTATTACCTATTTTCCATATCTATTACATTCAATGTATCATTTAATAAACCACATTTTAATGTATAATCTTCTTTACTACTAGCTGTTAATGATGGTGAGGCATTCACCTCTATTAACCACCTACAATTATAATTTATTACTGCATGATAATTAACTTCTACATATCTATATAAGGTCTGTCACTGAGAGAGAGAGAGAGAGAGAAAGTTTAATGCCCACTGACACAAACTAGGTCATTTCGGGACTAACATATGGTTTAATTTTATTTCAATAATTCGCTTGCGCATAGGGGTCTTTAGCGGTGGGAGAAAACCGGAGAAAACCCAGGAGGTTGGACAGGCAACCCTACTCCTTGTCACGTACAACCAGGGAATCGAAACCATGCGCCAGTTGACTCAATGACAGACCTTAGGATACAGTCACACATGCTAACCATTCAGCCATTGGGTGTCATTTGTTTGTGAGAACACACTCAGTTCAACAGTAATTTGTGTCCATATCAATGTCCTGGGATCTGACCTATACACACTATGGGATAAAAAAAACATATTTATTTCATGTAGGTGCCCTTTAATTTGAAGACTGTGATTCAAGGTGAGTGTACTTACGGTTTAAGATTGTCATCTATCAGAATATCATAACCATAAAGTTCAAAACAATGTTTATCATTAATCATAGTCTTTTGTACACTCTGTAGGCTTAATATAAATACTTCATTCATTTTATTAAATAGCTGATCTGTCTGAAATACACAATATAAATACTTCATTCATTTTATTAAATAGCTGATCTGTCTAAAATACACAACATAAATACTTTATTCATCTTATTAAATAGCTGATCTGTCTGAAATACACAACATAAATACTTTATTCATCTTATTAAATAGCTGATCTGTCTGAAATACACAATATAAATATTTTATTCATCTTATTAAATAGCTGATCTGCCTGAAATACACAATATAAATACTGGTACTTCATTCACCATTCTTAACAGATGACTTATCCAAAATATAACAAACCCCTCCATTTATCCTTCTAAATAGATAATTTATCCAAAATACTCAATATCATACTCCATTTATCTGTCTAAAGAGATAATCTAGTTTAAAAGAAATACACTATAAAAATACTTCATTCATCCTTTTAAAGAGATTATCAAGAGAAAAAGTATGTTAAATCTCCACTCTAGTTTTTAGCCAAATATTCCATCATTGTATTCCAGTCTACCCAGCTGTAATTGGGTAGGCCTATCATGTATACAGTAAAGGGTTAATTTGAAGCAGCACAAAAATTCTATGCACCAAAAGTCTGGGGTAATGAAACATAGGTTAAGTCATCGAGCAGCTCCCACAGTGGAATGAAAGGCATTTAAGTTACATTTTTTTAGATTTTAAATAATAGAAATAAAAATCTAACCTTTTCTTGACCATGTCTGGCTGTTAAATATTTACGTAACTGTTGTGTTGACCATTTACAACCTCTTTCTGGATCATAATCTGGTGCTGTCTTCTGTATAGCAACATTGGTTAAATGAACATCTTATAATAGTTAAAGAATTAAAAGCAGGAATCCTGTGTCATCTATATTTGCCAGACACTTTTAATTTAAAAGTTACGATTGAAACAAAGCAATACAAACCCCTACAGCCCACGATTTAATCTAATACTAATAAGTTTTAATTCATATGGTAGCTTTTTGATGGTTAAATCATAAATACCATATAAATATATAATTATACAAGCATCAAGTGAGCAAGAATTGAAAAATAGATGAATTCAAAATATCACAGAATGGAGAAGGAAATAAAACTGGTCTTCCGATACCACAATATAAATTCAAAGAAGAATGTTCCAAGAGAAATATAGTTTAAGCTTTTATTTAATAAATATTCTTCTACGACAAACAATAAATTAAAAAATTAAAAGGATACAGTTATCATCAATGGACTCCAGAGAAAATCTAGTGTTTGAAAATCTGGCAAAACCATTTCTATATATCCACACTTTTAATGGACTGTACTGAAATAAAAGAAATAATATAAGATATAATGGTTGAATACTCAAAGTATTTAAGTTATCTGGTCATCCTGAGACTATGAAACTTCTATACTTACAGACGTAATTAAACAATATATTCTTATGTCAAACTTTCTTCCACCTATCAGATACGGGTTTTCGATATATCTTGATACAACATAAGTCTCTGGTGCTTCTTTACTAGGATCTGATGCTGGCTGGTATTCTGTACCCTAAAATAGACACAAATTTATTATAATCTTTGTAAGGATCTGATGCTGGCAGGTATTCTGTACTCTAACATTGTCAAATGGCAAATTCTTATATGGATATCTATTTAGGTGGGATTAAAGGGCAATTGACGATTAGTTGAACTGTTTATCAAATGGAAGGATGAATTTATTAGCACATGGATTGGTAAACATTTCAATAGTTTGACTAGCAAACTCCTGGGCACATCGATGGTTGAACCAGGCAGCACTGCCCTAGATCTTTCCAAAATTAAATGTGAAAAACAAGAAAACAATGCCTTCTTCCAGTCAGTTATATCTTTAAGTCTTTTAAAGAGGAAGATTCCTTTTCCTTGAGATTTAGCAATCGGTTTCATTATCCATATCGAACCAGGATTCCTTCTATACTCATCCACAAAAATATGATATTCAGACTGAAAGACAAACAATATACATATAATAACAATTAACAACCTCTTTTGTAAGCAGAAACAAAGTTTTAATTTAGCTCTGATTTAACGACTATGTCCACAGCCGTCAAGTAGTCAGGGCATGGGACACTCAATAAGACTCAATTAGGTATTTTTTAAGCCTGATATTCACTTGTAATCTGTGGCACCAAAAGGTGGACAAGGAAACTGTGCCTAATCATTCATAAGGGACAATAAACTGTGGCCCATCTCCTACAAACATCAATGCTTTGCTTGACAGTTGGACATCAAAGAAGAATAGGCAGAAACGTCACTGTCTGAGCAAAATTCTTCTAAGTCCAAATTACCATCCGTTTGTCTCAAAATGATTGTGACGAGGCATTAAACCCCATTCCATTTTGCTGATTAAATATGCTCTTATTGGAATGTTGACCTAGCCCCAGTTTTGGGAGCATTTTGGGCAATTTGTCTATCAAATATGGTATATACAGTTTTGATAATATAAAAGTTGGTTAACTTACAGGAAGTTCATATGTTGAGGGAAAGAAATCACATCTAGGATCAGTTAAGGAAAAAAGAAATATCTACACATGTATTTTTGATAATCATAGCAGGACATTTTATCCCTATATTTCAGATAGCAGGAGCAGAGTAATGGTTGTAGGATATACACAAAGTATATACAGCAAAGCATGACTTTTGCAGAGAAATGACCTCTCAAAAATAATTTTAAAGCTATATAGGCCCTTCTTCCTGCATAACTGACAAGAGGAAATCAGGCTGGAAAATCCAATAAAACTTTCTCAGTCAGCACCATGATCGAGCAAGGGAGTCAGTGCTTTATTTACTGAGTTACTGTTGCTCCTTAATCTGCTGCTTCAAAAGAACTATAAAAAATCAAATGTATATAAATAATCATACAGAAAATATAGTTTTCATTTATATGAAAAGATACTTCTGAGCTTCAAGCTTTCCTGATTCTTTCTCCAGCTGTCTTCGTAAGCGTTTCAAATTTTTTACCATTAAATTCTTTCTGGTGAGCTGAAATACAGACACAAGTGGAAAATGACTTAAAAACAGATATTTAGTTAAGAGGTAAACCAGCAAGGGAAAAAAGAAAATGCAATTGTCAGGAAAGCTTTATCTATCAATATAATATATCTTTTACAGAAACCATTGAATGAAAAGGTACAGTTGTCCTTTACTGCTTTCAGTTATCTTCTGTGGCCACATATGACTAAAGGTTTCAGAGATAAAATCAAAAATAATACTCCCACTCCACTTCAATGATGCCGATTCCCTCACCTCGTAATGATTTCTGAAATGATTAAGCCTCATGTGTTCCTCTAGGTAGGCATGATCAAAAGTTTCTTTCATCCACCAAACATCACACCAATAAAAATCCCAATCTGCATCTCTAATAAAACAATCAAATATAAATAATTAAAGATATATTGTTTTTGTGGTACAAGTGATTGAGTTTACAACTGGATGTCTAGAGATTTTGATCAAAACAATAATAGAGATACTCTTAATAAACAAGAAAATGGATTAAATCTTACATTATTTCATGAAAATAATTTCTATTATATACTTATGATAAGTATGTAAGTAATTACTTACCCAGTAACTTCTTGCCATCCTGGTCTAAGTCGTAGAACATCTAATATGGTATTCTGTAGTGAGCATTTAAATCTAATAGCCCTGTCCCTGTAAATAAAAGATTAAAGAAATAGTTACCGGTAATAGTCATGATGAATAAAGGTAGTCTTAAAAATTAAGTCATTCACCACAACTTTACTACCCTATTTTTGGAGTTGTAAGTCCTCCATAATTAAGTTAAAGCAGTTTATAAGACGAATGACTGTCAACTATGGCAATCTTAGATCAAGTCTAATTGTAGACTATTATAGATGTGTCCATGTACTGAACATCCAAAATATGGCCATAATATTCATTATAAGAAAATCTATTTCTCATAATAAACAAAAACAAGAATTTACATATGGGTCTCAGTTCTCAGAAATCTAAAGAGTTTCTATACAATCTAAAAGAATAAAAGAAAGAGGATTTATTTTATTGTTTTATTTTATTTAGGTCTTTAATATCTAATCACAGATGTAAATAGACATAGATTAATTAATGTCCATACTACACATTATGTTTCTACATTACATCTTCACAAGAGACTCATCTTTTATTACAATTATAACCTATTATCATATGATCAAAATACCTTACCCTGGTGGTTTATTCCTCAGCGAATTCCTTGGCATCCTCTTTAAAAGAAAAAGATTGTTATCCCTTATAAATAACAAAACTATTAGATCTACATATAATCTATATGCTGATTAGACATAATGAGCATGTAAATTTTGGCATCAACAACATTCTATTTCTGATTCTCAATTAACCAGTTGGTGGATGGAAGCAGTATGTTTTACTCTTTACTAGTATTTGAATAGTCCTTATTTTATTTTTGATCAGTAATTATTAATTCAATAGAATTTGATTAACTTTCATGTTAGAGAGAGAAATATGGGGTTTAATGTCCATTCAACACAACTAGGTCATTTTGGGACTAACATATGGTTCAATTTTATATCAATAATTTGCTTGCGCATAGGGGTCTTAGTTAGCAGCTGGAGGAAACTATAGGACCCAGAGAAAACCCACAAGGTTGGACAGGTGACCCTAGTCCTTGTCATGTACAAGCGGGGAATCGATAACAAGGGCACCCAACGTCCCTTTGATGTTAGAAAAGATATTCTTATTTCTGAAATTTTTTTTTTAAATCCCTTACTCTTTCACTATATGAATATGAGGAAGGCAGCAGTAAACATTTAATCCCCTTACTCTTTAACTATATATGAATATGAGGTAGGCAGCAGTAAACATATTTTAAATGAAAAATACTAATGATAATGACTAGGCTACTGTAGGAAGATATTATACTCTTATATCGAATTCCAACTGCCAAGTGATCTTTTAGGCGCATTCCAATGTATACATGGGACCTCGGTTTTTCGTTTCATCCGAAGGACTAGACAGCTGTCCTTGTCAGGCCCTCCGTCCTGCATCACTGACTTTCCCAGCCAATGCAGGGATCGAACACCCGACCTCCAGGCTAGCGAGCCAGCGTCTTACCCACTTATTCACGTGACCCCCTTCAAATCAGAAAGCCATCTAATTAGGTTTTCCAATCAATGTTACTGGGTGTTTCAGTAACAGAATCTGTGTAAAAACTCTCAAGACTCCAAACATTGAAACATGACTGTATATAATTGGCTATAATTAACTCAGCCATCAAAATCGACATAAATAACTTAATAAGATTTGGGAAACAATCAGACATTTCCGACCTATAAAATATCAAAACTGTAACAAATCAATCTTGAATTTGAATCTAGAAACTTGGCCTAAAAAAGATAACACATAAATTATAATTAAAGCAAACGAGTGGAGTTCGGAATGTCATGAATGAATGTGTATCTTCTTATATTTATAAAAATCAAAGAAAGAAATCCTAAAAGACATTGACTATTGTTAAGATAATATTTAGATATATGTTTGAAAGTTTGTCTATTATTCAAATTATGTAAGGAAGGTACCTTTTTCTGACGATTAACCGTTTATTTCAATCAATTTTAGTTATTTATCACATATTTTCCAAAGTTGCCAATGACGCTTTCTAGTGAGCGGCTTTTCGTGCTCTTATCGTGCTAAAGAGCTACTAAAGATAGACAAGTCATGAATTTTTAATAAGATTCTCCAGTTTTGCCCCCCCCCCCCCCCGAAAAAAAATTTGCCGACCATAGCTCTAAAATACCTACTGTGCCCCCCCCCCCCCCTAGCATTTCTTTCTAAATTTAAAAAAAATGTATACATCTTTTATGCTATCTATCGTCAATATATCTAATCAGATGAATGCAATATATATTTTTTCCACACGAAAGACATGTTTATACGATTATTGACGTGACGTATGCAGAATTTCGGGATAGTGGACGGTTCATGCTAAATTATGTTATCAAGCGAGGGATTTGATTGAGGGGGTTTTCGAGATTGTTTTTACTTTACAAAGATTCCGTCATTTATTCCTAATATACCTAGTATTCAAAATTGTTTTTGTCTTTTGCGTTTGACAGACATTTAATTCGATTACAGCCCAAAACTGACCGAAAACATCTTGTAAACGTGGCCGATTAGCAATATTTTTTTGAAAAAATAAATAAATAATTAAATAAGGAAAACGAGATAAATTTGTCAAAGATAACTACAACTGAACAGTAAACTGTTGTGGGAGTGGGTTGTTGTGGGTGTTTTATATGGGTTGTTTTTTGGTTGTTGTTTTTTTTTTGGGGGGGGGGGTACTACACTAATCTAAAATCATCGCCGGTAATGATCATTGTTTGTAAGTATCGGGAGCATGGAGGGGGGGGGGGATAATTAGCACGTGCTCGCTGTATCATAAATTCTGTCATTGAATCAACTGGCGTGGTTTCGATTCCCCGGTTGTACGTGACAAGGAGTAGGGGCGCCTGTCCAGCCTCGTGTGTCAGTCTCCTGGGTTTTTTCTCGGGTCCTCCGGTTTCCCCCTGCAGCTAAAGATCCATACGCGCAAGCAAATTATTGAAATAAAATTGAACTATATGTTAGTCCTGAAATGACCGAGTTTGTGTCGAGTGGACGTTAAACCCCATTTCTCTCTCAATTAAAACCACATCAACCTTTTTATTTTTATTTTATATTTCCTTTGTTTAATCTCCAACTTTTCTGCGCTCAACGGGGATAATGAAGATGTGCATAGCTACCTTAAATTTCGGTTTCCAGATTTCGAGGGATGTTTAACGTGCTGTCCTAATGAAAGATACTTTACTTTGCCACGTCCTGCACATAATCAGACTTCAGGGGCGGAACTAGGGATTTTGAAAAGGGGGGGGCGCCGCAAAATGAGGGCACTGACCGCGGAGATGGGGCACACCGCTGTCAGAGAGGGGATTTTTTTTTTTTTTTTTTGGGGGGGGGGGGGGAGGGGGAGGTCCCCCAAGAAAATTATCCGTCATTTCCTTGCATCTGTAGCCATTCCAAGAGCTATTAGGCTGCTATTTTCGTCTAAGTAAACGTTCGGAAATCGTTGAAAAAGAGCCTTAAAATCGAGCAAAAAAGCCAGTTGAACATGCGACTCGAAAATTGTCAAGGCGAGCGAGGCATTGTGATGGGAAAAAAGACGAATCTATTCCCTAGCCACTTCACTATTTAAGCCTTGTAACTTGTACTTTGTACTGTCCACACATGAAACAATGCTACATCAAGTTGCACTCATGCGCGGCGGTGAGGGGCATGAGTGTATACGCCGCCGATTCCACAAGATGCCTGTCTATAGTCACTCTATAGGATTAGGGCACCGTCAGCTAAACAACAAGAATTCGTTTGAAAGTGGAAGCATTTATTAGACCAGACCAGACTGGTGTGTTTGAATCGATGGTTTGAGTCATTTGGGATCCCTGCAACGGGTTGGAAACGGACATATTTGGGTCTGAGAAAGGGCACTTTCAGCAGTAAAAAAGGGCACTGCCCCCCCCCCCCCTTAAATTCGCTTCTGGACTAAACCTCATCTCTCAGCCCTCAGTGTTTCGAGATAAGAGATGGTGTTATATAGTTCCACGTAGCAAAGCCCAACACAAATCACATCGGGACGCAGTAAGCAAAATTGACAATATGTTTCATTTCATCAAAACAACGATTGATTATTGTTATTTATAATATTTCTGCCACATCCAACTACAATTAAAGGAGCTAAATCGCTAATATTTTGGACCTAGAAATTGGCACAAATGGGTCGCAACACATATAATAATGTAATATGAATTTATATAAACTGTTTTACATTCAATCGTGTCCGTTTTACTGTGAATTGTCATCAGTTATGTTCGGCGAAATACGCCAGAAGTCTCAACCGCAAGTCAGTTTCTAGCGTCTGGTTATTCCAGTCAACACCGATATTATTTATTGCGCATGCTCTCCAAATAAGAACATGATATCACCGTTTGACATGTACGAAAGCCCAGAAGGCTCATTCCAAATTCCAGATTCCAAATTCCAAATTTGCTGCTGTAGCAAGCAAGCAAGCAAGCAAAAAAAAAGCAAGCAAGCAAAAGCCAATCCTAGGATACCGAGTAGCAGAGTAGCTCACTGCAGAGGACCTTTGCCCCAAACTTTTCAGGGGATCACGTGGCTAAGTGGCTAAGACGCTAGTCTGGAGGTCGGGTGTTCGATCCCTGCATTGGCCAAGAAAGTTCATCCAGATTTTCCGGCGTGGTTCCCCCCCTGTCAGTAATGCAGGACGGAGGGCCTGATAAGGACAGCTGTCTAGTCCTTCGGATGATACAAAAAACCGAGGTCCCGTGTATACATTGGAATGCACGTAAAAGATACCTGGGCAGTTGGAATTCGATATAAAAGTAGGCGATAGTTCCGCTGCCCGGGCAAAATTTCCCTCATAGCACACTGTGTGGCGTATGCCCGTCTTCATTAGCCCAGTATAGAAGTAGAACAGTAGAATGTTAAACCCCATTTCATTTCATTTCCAAACTTTTCACATCTGCCGAAGCAAACCCGAACTGGAATATTGTTATTATACTCTAACTGATTAGTCAAAAGCAAAAACCAGATCCGATTGGTCGGATCAGATTTGGAATTTGGAATTAAGCATTTGGAATTTGGAATCTGGAATTTGGAATTTGGAATCTGGAATTTGGAATCTAGTAATTTGGAACGGGTATTTATCCGGCCCAGATAGGTAAACTAGAAGTAATTAGTTGTGTAAAATTACAATTTATATAAATTCTAATTTGTTTAATTGAGGGGGGCTGCCAATTTGCTATTTTATCGGTAAGACATGAATTTGGAAATTGGAATTTCGCATTTGGAATTTGGAATTTGGAATGAGCCTTCTGGGCTTTCGTAGACATGACTTGTGGAATATGTCTAGCCTCATTCTTTGAACACCTTGTTACAAATGGCGCTGAAACACGATTCGTGTCCAATGGTAAAATGTTTATTTTGTCTGAAATATTGGATATCAGAAGCCCATCTTTTCCAGGTAAGATCACAACACCGATGCTGATCTAAATTGCAAAAAAATTCGTGTTTCCAATGTCGAAGATTTCGGATGATATTAAGTTACGGACTTAGCTACTTTAAGCATATAATCCTACCTGAAACGGGTATTAATCTTCGTATTTAAAAAAAGAGGCGTTAAGTCGTTATTAGGACGCGCCATTTTTAAACGCTAGATGTCAATCTGTTTCACAGAGAATTACGAGTCTAGTGATAAATCTCTGTCAAAGATGACTGCCTTAACACGTGCTGTCACAGCACGCGACGTCAATCATTGGCTGAAATACGTCAAACGCCTTTATTTATTTTTCCAATACATAAAAAAAATGTTTTAGAATTTAATTTGTCGCAGGAAAAAAGTTAATATTTCTGGCTCATTAAGCCACACCGATGTCATCCTTATCAGTGATTGTAGCGGCCTAGCAAATATTCACTGCAGATCAGTGTGGCTAGATGTATGACGGCGTGTATGTCGGATAAAATCAACGCTTCATTAATTTAAACGCGAATATTTGGAGTCGGGCGCTAGTTGTGCAACTACATTAGCCTCTGTAAGTTTAATTAGTCATAATAGTATAAAATTATCATATTTTTAAAAGATGTTACATGCATTAATAAATAAATTGAGTTTGCCACCTGGAACTAAACGCACCCAATTGTAGCTAAAAACAATATCTCAACGTTTTTAGCTACGTTATCTCCAGTAACACCTTGGTCGAACTGAGGACCTCCTGTGTAGTGGGCCAAATACATTCCCACCGAGTCACCCGGCTCCACTTAATTCATATGTCATGTAAGAAATTTGGAATGTATGTTTTGGCCGCTTCTAAGATGGTGATCTTATTTTTTCCTTTTAATTTGTTCCATTTGTTGTATGTATGTGCATGTGGGCGTGTGTATGGGTCGAGGCGCATCTATACGAGAGAGAGAGAGAGAGAGAGAGGGGGGATTAACGTCCACTCGACACAAACTAGGTCATTTCGGGACTAACATGGTTTAATTTTATTTCAATAATTCGCTTGCGCATAGGGGTCTTTAGCAGTGGGAGGAAACCGGAGGACCCGGAGAAAACCCACGAGGTTGGACAGGCGACCCTACTCCTTGTCACGTACAACTGGGGATTCGAAACCACGCCAGTCGACACAATGAAAGACTTTATGATACAGCACGCGCACGCTAACCATTCAGCCATTCAGCCATCCAACCCCCCTTATTTATTATACCTAACACGTAATTATCGAGAACATAATAATGGCCAACTTAGATCAAACCACGGCTGAATTTTAATAACCTTTATAATGCGTCTGATCTGACTAATATTTTTTTTTAAAAAAAAAACGTCTATAAAGGATTATTTAACGCGGTGTATCTCGAATTTTGCAAGGGCTCTTAAAATAAAGAAATGTTATAGTATTTCGTAAATTAAAAACTTCATTGCGTTGTTATTATTTCTTCCTTTTTTTAAAGTTTTTTTTTTGGGGGGGGGGGGGAATCTGTAAATATATTTTTATTATTTGGAGACTTTTTAAAAATAACATACATTAGGCATTATTTATTTTGTATGATAATCGAAGCTACACAAAATATTATTGCTGGAAGTTCAAGACTTAAATTTATTACCTCCCTTTAATGAACATGCGTAGAACGTCTAAATATGGCACCCATACACCATGCTTGTTGGTAAAAGTTGCAAAAACGAACAGATGTTTTGATAAACATGGACCCTTCTAATCAGGTATGACCATTGTCACACCTCAAACAAAATCTATACAATAATTAGATTATTTCACTGTGTCCAAAATCAACCGATTACCCTTCATTTTCCAACCATTTCACCGAAAGAGAAATGGTGCAAACAAGTTTACGACCTGTCCCAAGTCGTTTCCATTTCATAACATTCCAAAGCATCAGCAGAAATCTGGAATACATTTATATGTCGATAGCAACATTATCTTTGGTCGAGTTCAAATAGATTTAATGATATAACGTTACTTAAAGTATGGACATATTTGCATCTGTCTGAGATAAGGAATCCAGCAATTTTGACTCTTAGTTGAGTGCTTTTTCATTTTGTGCAAATATGATCAGGTCAGGAAAATGAAACCTAAATTATATCCACCAATTTGTGACTACTGTGACATTTGATCTGTCATACATGTTTATGTTCTAACAACAGGATTGTTTTTAGAAAGCCAATATTTCCATAAATACACTTAAAACAGTGTCAAGTATCAAACTATGGCATAAATTACCTTTTGTTATGCAATAACTGAATAACGTAGTTGACTGTAATATTTGTAAAACCATGTAGAGAGGCCAAAAGTGAATTGCTATATGGTACAGTAGCCAATAACATCTGATTACTTAATCAGTCTCCTTATCCGTTGATTTGTGGCAATTAAACTGTAAAATGAAAACTTATAGACACTGTTTCTCATGGAGTAGAAGTGAGTATTCTGTACATCATATGTCAGGAGATAAGTAAAGTTGGACTGTCAATGACATTGGCATTATATTTACTTTCTCTAGTATCTCTACTGCTACTATCTGAACCTTGCTATTTTATAAACGGATTTCTTCGATTATGAACAAACTATTTAACTTTGGTTATTATAAACTTACCTGTGTGTTTGAAATCAACTCTGTTTAAATAAAATCCATTGCACAATTAAATATCCCAATGAATAAAAAAAGTTCTCTCTTGAAAAATTTGATGTGTTTACTTATATGGACAACATGGCTTTCGTCACGTGTTGGACGAAACCATTACAGTTGTTGTGAGGTGTTTAGTTTTGACAGCGAGTTTGATAACCACGTGTTGCTATGAAAACAAACCGCGATCGTTTGAGTTTGGGCGACGAAAAATTTTAACTAAAGGCAATTACATAGAAGATTTATATTGAAACCATTGATGGCCAGTCTACCAAATTTCATTCACAATGAAAATGTCAATGATTGCACGGATACTCAGAAAAATAAAGTCGTATTTAAACTAAACCTTCCCTATCTTCTTTATACATGTATTATAAATAATTTAAGAAACAACATGAATCTCAAGACCAAAGTTTCCGAGTGCATTGTTAACTTAATATCATTCTTTCGAGGAAACGATAACCGTTTCAGCAACATATACAAGCGTGTTGCGGCAGCCCCGAAGGTGCCAATTCTGTGGGTGTATAATGCCAAAAAAACAATAATCAAATAATTAAAACAAAATTATATTATTTCAATAGAAAATGTATAAACTTTGCAGGGATTTTACTAGAATGTAAAAAGATGGTAATAAAATAAAGAGATATGGGCCGAACCCCCAAACTCAATACCAAGCCGAGGCTAATACCACGAATTGTCGTAAATGTACCGTAAACGTTTCGATGTAGCATGCTGTCACCTCTTTATACGAAATGATATCTCCCGAAGAGTGACATAACCAGCTTCCATTTTTGTATTGCCCTATGTCAAAAGTTTGTTTGAGTTCAATTTTTCAAGAGAGAACTTTTTTATTCGTTGGGATATTTAATTGTGCAATGGATTTTATTTAACCGGAGTTGATTTCAAACACACAAGTACGTTTATAATAACCAAAGTTAAATAGTTTGTTCATAATCAAAGAAATCCGTTTATAAAATAGCAATGTTCAGACAGTAAGTACTACTACTACTACTACTACTACTACATGATTTTGCAGGGTTGTATTGTATTTAATCATAAATCAACAGAATATTCCTCTGCATGACCTTCTGAATTTATTGTTAAATTTTGAATTTGTGCATCTTCCATTTTTTACTGTTTACAAATGAAATAAGGTGAGAAGGCCTACACACTCCACATATTCCTATGTAAACTAAGATCATCCTTGATATAATGTTTCTCCATCTTGTTTGAAATACCAGTATTGATTTTATAAGGTTACTACTCTAGGCCAGTGCATGTGTCATTTAAAATTTGAAATAATCACTTAAATAATTATATATTCTCGTAGTTATAGTACCGTAATTGATTTCATATGTCTGCACTCAGCAGTATCTCGAGTATTGGCATCTCCAAGTTACTAAGATACATTAAAGGGGGATAATTCCTCATTTAACTATTTTAACTTCCGAATTCCAGTTTCAATCACAGCTAGGGCTGTGTCGATGCAGTTCATTTTCGATTTCGATTTGATGATACAGCAAACCAATACGCGATACGTATCACGATATGGTGACATCACGAATTATCCCCAAAATAGTCTCAAACTACATTCTGTTTCAAAGTCGTTTGAGATGGGTAAGCATCAGGGTTTTTAATCCATTTTGAATTGGGTCAAATGTAGGGAATGGGTTAATTATAAGCTTCCATTCCCTTTAATATAACCAGACTTTAAGAAAAATAATTCTTGGTAATTTGTTATGGAAAATCCCGTCTTTTAATGTCTGTGATTACCACAAAAATAACGACAGGTACACCTTTTGTAAATTTTCCATATTTAATTCACGTACCAGCTCAAAGTTCACGTCAGTAATATTCAAGAATAAATTACTGTGTTTGTTTATTCGATGGAACGTTTCATAAGTCGATGATCTAAAATATTAGCATTTTTCATTGGCCACATGGGTTTCATGATCTTTCTTAACTGAAAAATTTCTTCAACGATACGGCTATATTACGTATTGATATAAATATTGCTGGAACGTATCGATATATATTGGTGTATTGATATATTGACACAGACCTAATCAACACCCCAAAATATCTGTTTGAAACTTCTTGTAAAACAAGTTGAATAGTTGTGTGAATACTATAGGCCTACTACTACCACAGTTAATATTGATATTTTAAATATTATCCACATTCAGGAGGTATGCTTTGTGGAGTTGAATGGCTTAGATCAAGAGTCTTATTCAGAAGTTTTCAATATTCTACATGGACAGAAACAGAGTAAGAAAGTAGAGGTAATATCAAACAGTTTTTGTTCAGATACATGGTAATCTGTATATTGTCTGGTTATAATAAGTTGTTTGAAGATGTCTAATTCATTTAGACACAAGAATCAAAAAATGTTATGTTGGGCATATACACTAGTGAAACATGATGTTCTATTTTAATTTGGCACGGTTCACAAAAATTAAAGCTGCTGATCTTAATTTATATTTTTGGACCATCTCATTTTTCTTGGAATAATCCATGCCTAAAATTATTCAGATGGATTATTGAACGTTTCGTTAATAAAATGAAAGCAAAATATTTACATTATTAATCTCCCTGCCTCAATTCCATCTGGATAAAAGAGAGCCCCTTCAAAAGCTTAAAGGTAGCAATTGCTTATTGCGAAGTTTTCAATTGAATCATATCCTTGTAAATACTCAACCAACTATTTTTAGACTGATTTGCTTTTTAGAGATTCATTTTTCACAAAATTTTAGTTTGCAAGGCATATAGAATCCCACAAATAATGATCAATGGTATTAAATTTTATGCAAACAAGAGGTGGGGGGGATGGATGGCCGAATGGTTAGCGCGTGCACGCTGTATCATAAGTCTGTCATTGAGTCAACTGGCGTGGTTTCAATTCCCCGGTTGTACGTGACAAGGAGTAGGGTTGCCTGTCCAACCTCGTCGGTTTTCTCTGGGTTCTCTGGTTTCCTCCCACTGCTAAAGACCCCCCCCCTACGCACAAGCGAATTATTGAAATAAAACTAAACCATATGTTAGTCCCGAAATGACCTAGTTTGTGTCATGTGAAGGTTAAGCCCCATTTCTCTCTCTCAGCCTTAGACATAGACTGTGGCATAGTGAGTAAGTCTCTAATTCACTGAGAAAGTCCCTCAGGATATTTTCTAGTCTGATTTCTCCTTGCGAGTGGTGCAGGACTAACTGTCTGGCAATGAACAGCATCTAGTTGTTCAGATAGTGCGAAAAAACAAGGTCGTTTGTACATGTTGGAGTGCACATAAAAGAACCCACGACAGTTGGTATTCGCCCAAGAAGAGGTGTAGAAACATCACTGTTACAGTAAGCCCAATTTGTGCAGAAAAGTAAAACATTAAACCCTCTTTCATTTAGATGTATCCTACCATATCAACTTGATAAGAATTGTAATGTTTTGAAAGGATTATAATTACTTACAGAATTTTCTTTTCTTACAGTTTCCATGGGAAACCAAAAGTGATAAGGATAAGGATGAGGTTTCAAAAGGTAAGAAACATTCAAAGATTGGAACATATGTTATTACAAGTATTTTTTATACGCCCACATTTTCATGTGAACATATATTGTCGTCGCCCCTGTCCGGACGTCCGTTGGGGCGGGGGGATGGCCCTTGATTGTACAAAATTTAGAGGTCACAATTTTTATCCAATTTAAAAAAAACGTGTGAATATATCACAATTATCTGAACATAACTTCCTGGATTATGGACCCTAATTGTTCGAAAAATCGCATTTTTAGCTTGTGGATCCTCTAGAGGTCGCCATTTTTTTTTCGATTTTAAAAAACATTTAATTATATCACCATTCCACCATAATGACGGTTGGATTCGAATTTCGGGAAAATTGAAATGAAACTGCCAAACAAAATGACCGCTCTTTGTACGCAAATTGTGTAAAAGTATGTAATATGAAGGTTGTGGACCCTCTAGAGGTCACAATTTTTATCTGATTTTGATGAAACTTGAAATGTATGTTCATAACCCAAAGATCTCGGTTCCTTTCGATATTCGCACATATCGGACCATACCTTCCTGGATTATGGCCCCTGATTGTACAAAAAGTCACATTATTTATTTAGCTTGTTCTCTGTCCATCTCTTGCAAATGTGGGCGTATCATGCATGGCAACCGCTTGTTTAATGATTAATGTTACATATATTTTTCTGGTTATTGAATTATATTTTCACCTGTCATTTATTTCAGGTGATGCTGCATCTTTACCTAAAAATTTTGATTGTCCACCAGCTGAAAGTCCGCAGATGATGTATGCTATAGTACCAACAGTTGTACCATTACCAATACAGACTGTTGTTGCTCCTCCATACCCAATACCTACTGGTGGTCTGGTGAATGGTATACCACCTACTGGTCCATATCCTCATGGTGTCATCCAACAGGATATTATAGATATGGCATCACCTGTTAAAACAAATATACAGAGCCCAGATATAGGAGAGCCCAATTATGTCAGCCTGTCGCATTGTAACGGACCTTTGCCAGCACAAAACTACAGTTCTAGAGAGGGTAACACCCATAAGGTACATGCTGAAGGACAGTATATGTCTAATCAGTCTACTCAAGAACAAGCAGCTATGTATGTGACACAAACCATGCCACAACCTAAAGATAATAAACCAAATCATGGCGAAACACAAACCGTAGTTGCACAAAGTAACAAGAACAGCCTGGATGAAGCAATAAAATCAAGCAAGATATTTTCTCAAGTTTTAGGTGGTGGTAAAGGTGAACCATCCACAGGAATATCCTTCCTGGCAGATGATAATTTAGAGGAAGACGTCGTTGATGAATTAGATGCTAATGAGGTAGAGTTATCTTTTCTTGGTGAAGACCAGTTTAGTGAACTTGAAAATCTTGACTCATTTGAAGCAGATGTTCTATCCAAACCACAGGAAGTTGAGGAAGGCTTACTAGACAAATCAATGCTTGAGGATTCTTTTCTAGAGGACCCTGAGAAACAAGATATTGAAGTAACAGTCTCTATTAGTAATCATGAACCAGGAAATGAAAATAGGGACATTGTGAACACACAGAAGAATTCTCCTGTTGTAAAACAACAAGGAAGTGAAAAGACCAAAGCTGTGTCATCAGAAAGGGATAGTATCAAAACACAAAGTGACTCTAAAGGCTCTTCTCCAGGTCCTTCTTCTGGTCCTTCTCCAGAAGTAGCTCCTCCCAAATCGAAATCATGGGCTGCTTTATTTAAAAGCACTGCTTCTAAATCGGCTGTGGTTTATGTAAATCAGGTGCCTGATCATCCAGCCCCAATTGTCACACTTCCACATTCTGATAAGAAAAGAGAAGAAGATATCCTCCAGCCTGTTGCTGCTTCTGAAGATTCAGCTACATCTGAGCTTGGAGGTAAGACATTGGACATACTATATAACCCGAAAAATATGAATGATTTTGTCTTTTCCTTTCTCCTTATACAGAGATAAATGGCAAAACTTTATAAGGAATAAAAAAAAAAAATCTCTGTGTACTGTGTATTTTACATTGATGAGAGTCAGTTGTGTGTGTTTGAATTGTCAATTAATGAATAAATGCATTTGTTTAAAAACTGAATGTTCGCACAATCTAGCTACAAACTAGCATTTGATAGCTGTCACAATTAACATCGACTCAATCTGATTTTCTGGGTTTCAATTAATTTGATTATGATTACTATCAATTGTAATACATTTATACTGAAATGTTTTCTGATTTTATTTTAAATGTTTTTATTTCTTTTCTTCAGCACTATTGAGTCATGTGAAACTAAACCATGCTTCCGTTGCTCTACAACCTCGAGGTTTAATCAACAATAATAACTGGTGCTATATTAATTCTGTATCCTTTTATATGCAACATGGGTTTCTGTTTCTGAAATTTATAAAGACCATTTTAGATCTCGCTCCAAAATGTTAATACTGGAACTATATATGATTTCTTGTTGAACTATAATTAGATGCATAGTTTTCTTGCAATACAAGATTTTTAATTGGCAAAAATAAACTGACCCTAAACCATTAATGACGACATTCAAAACTTAATAAGAAGCCATTTATTTTATACACCTTTTAAACCTCCATTGACAATTTGGATCAATTTATGACATATATTTTTTCTGGGGGTTTTCTTTCCCTTTATGTATTTATTTAATTTTCTTGAATGTATTCATTAGACCTTACAAGCTTTAATTGCTTGTCCACCATTTTATCATTTAATGAAGAAACTGAGTGATTTCCCTCCAATGTCTCGAGGCTCAAGTTCAACTCCGATCCTAGATAGCATGTGAGTATCTAAACTGTGTCTATTGGTTTATGTATATCCCAGTGATGGGATTTCAAAAAATTTCATGTCAGACATTTTTTCCCGAAAATAAAGGGGCATAACTCTTACCATAATTTAAGCAGACGTTTTCAAAACACAATTAAGAATTACGTGTCAACAAAATATATTCAAATTCATATGTAAAAAAAAATAGGTGCACCTCATTATATTTCATGTTTAAAACCCGTACGGTATTCAAATTTATGTCAATAATATTCCTACAAAATTACATGACATCGTAATACTATAGAATTGGCAGCGTGCCGACTGCTGCCGATTTGTTTCAAACTCCCCCAAAATTACCGTATTTTTCGGGTCATACGTCGGTACATTTTTCAGCAAAGTCCGACATTCGTCTGATACTCCGTTTCGATTTATATACGAAAGGTAAAAAAATGACATCCCGAAATTTATTTGGCCGTAAACCGTAGTTAACAACGCTTTAATGAGCGACGCGAGTGACACCAACTGCTAAATAATTGCATTCGACTGTAGCACGCGCTATCGTCTAAAACAATTAACTACTTACGTCATTCCAATCGAAATATTCGTCAACATTTCTTAGCGTGTTTATTTATTTAAAGACATAAACCCCCTTCAAAATATGATCATAAGTCCGACAATATGCCATCAAAATAGAATCTTTTCTCGGACATCAGGGGTATTGAATTCAGCACGTATACATCTCTTAATTTCACGTGTCTCGCGAGATTTATACTTTCATTTTGATTACTGAAATCTATAAGCGCCATGTGTGTGAAATATCTTTATTTAACTTCGGCTTCCACCGAAAATATATCACAGACAAGTTATCGGATACGATGTATGTTGATTTGAGGTGTTATATACTATCAGGATATGAGACATATATGACTAATTTCTACGTGTTATTGTCCGACACAAAGGAGATTAAAACGTGAGACAATGGTCTGACAATGGTCTGGAGAAATCACGGGTTAATCAGATTAAGTTTATAATCACTCTTATTGGATTGATATATCGCCCGACAAAGGAGAAGCAATGACTTCTGTTCAGGATTGATTTAATGAATTCTCCGATAAAGAATTAAGTCAGCCAATCAAGGCAGAATAGTAGTTAAGCAATGGCCCGAGAAATGTATTACCTCTATCAAACGAATCACTGCAAGAAGTATGGAAACTAGTTGGCTATGTTAACTAGTCTAACCGTATTTGGGATGACTATTAATATTTTTCTTTGTATATCATTTTGATCTTGCAATATTATTGCCATTCAATAATGAGGTGTGGTTCCTCATTACAGCCGCCTTTGCTGTAGTCTTGAATAGAATGTTAGCACATGCGGATGGTAACATAACCGTTGGTTCATTCTTAGATTATTTGGTAAATCCTGTCTTTGGTACAGTCACTTGACCTAATGAAAGTAGGCATAACAGAATAACCCTAAAAGAATTCTATTCATAACAATGCCATTTCTAAAAAAAACATTTGATTGAAATTTCAGCAAATTCTACACAAATACATGCAGTCTGTTATCTAAATATAACTAGGTTTTTTTGAGTCTTTCATGTTATATAAGTGTTGATTGTTTTATAGGCTGGAGTTTGTAAGTGAATTTAATGCTATGCCAAAACATTATGAAACCACAGCCAATGGACACAGATACGATAAAAATCGGAAGAACTTTGATTTAGAACCTGGTCTAGATTTTGAGCCCAAGTACATACATGATATGTTACATGTAATAGAAGTTAATCCTGCCTTTAAGGTGAGTTAATTTAGTCTTGAAAGGTAGTTTCTTGAACATCTGTTTAGAGCACCTTGGACGTCACTGTAAGGTGGTGTCTCTGAATGTTACATCAGATTACGATGACAACACATGAGAATGATTTAACGATCGCATAAATGCACCACAGATTATTATCAACAGAATGGGAATGTTGAAAATTGTTGTTAAAGGTACAGATATGGTGAATAAAATGTTGCTTTAAAAACTAGGGTCAGTGCAAGTCCTGTAGTTCTGTAATGCAACGAGATGCCAAAGAACACTGAGAATGAGTCATTTTGTTAATTCAAAAGAGCATGTGTACCAAGAGCATGTGTCAATGGGAACAGCATGCCAATGAGAATGGACATGGATCCCACAAGCAGCCAATCATCCCTTTACCAATATAACACAGTTTCTTATGTCTAAGTATTGTTTAATGGTTGAGAGCGAGACATTAAGTAATATATTGTAACAACGATGCTTTTACAGTGAAATACGTCACACGAGTCCAATATTTCACTAGTATAAATAATGTACGATTGGCAAATTGTCTGTACGATTATTTGAAATAATGGTATGCCAACATCAGAGGGTGATGTTAATCTGTATTTTAAGTATATATAAGGGACTTGCTATAACTTGGGGTATATTTTTTGACCACAACAACAACGTTGTAGTAAAGCTCAATGCCCAATACACTCTTAATTTAGGGACATTTTAATCTTTGCTGCTCTAACAATGTCAATATTGTTTAAAAGATGTTTGCACGAAAAATATTATTTGACACAAAATCTATCGGGCTGCTCATTTTTCTCACAGCTTGGGAGACAAGAAGATGCAGAAGAGTTTTTAAGTATTCTGTTAGATGGTTTACATGAAGAAATGGTAGCTGCTATAAACATCAACTTGCCTAAAGATAAAGGTAAAAACAGTTGTTTGTAGGGGATAAGGAGGATAACTCTTGTCAAATCTCCCTATCTTCATATTATCTCCCCTTAGACCACATATTATTTGAGAGGTTGTTGTAAACCTGCTTTTCCTAACATAGAATTATTTTGGTAATCTAAATTTTGAAAGGTTTTAGTGTGTTGTTAAATTAGATGTTATTTATAATATGAATTGTCAAATTATATTAAGGAATATTAATAAGTAATAAAATTCCAGCACATGATGTATATACTTAGTGCTATATGGCATAGCAACCAGAAAATATTTTTCTATTTCGGTGAATTTTGTTCAATGACTTTAACTATGAAATACAGTGTGTTTATTTATAAATTCTATCCACAAACGAATGAAAATTAAAAATAGTTTAGGTAGAACTAGCTTTTGCCTGTGTAGATTAGTGTTGTCACGATTACAAAATTCTTGAATCGGTTAATCGGCTAGCCAAAAATCATATCGGTGCCGATTAATCGGATGCGGTATAAATTCTATAATAATGTAAAATAAATGTTTCTTTCGTTGGCTAATAATGTCATTGTCCGTACTGCGTTACAGGGGTTTTCCCTTGTGATTGTTGATATGCGTGAGCACTGAATAGGTGACCGTATATCATTTTAATACATTTCTTTGAGTTTGAGCTAAAGAGATGTTGGAATACATTTTTTAAATTGGCAATAAACAACATGTACCAAGTCATTAGTTTTGATATTTAGTTACGCATTGGACTGAGTAAGAGTAGATATCCCCGCGTTCAGACTTACCCCAACAGAACTGCTAATTAAAAATCCAATACTGGCAATAGATTACAATTCACTAGTACAACAATTCCCGTACATAAAGCGATAATCATATTGACGGAAAACAACAAGAGAACCCGCACAAGACAGTACAAATAAAGAAAAACCATGTGTCTTTAAAAAAGGCGGCAACATATGCCGAGGGAGGAGAAAAGAAGAGCCTCCTGACTGGTAATGTCCGGTTTGGGAACTGTTTATTCGCGCCTCGGACACAGTAACGTCACATTCTGATTGTGAATTAAATAACAAAATACAACTGAATTTAAAATTATTTTATACATGAGGAATTTGTGAGGGAATCTTTCGATTATATTGTTGGAGAATTGTCTTCTTTCAAAACTATTACTTTATCAAAATTACATTGGTAGTTTATCGCTTGTAACATCGCCAACTTCCCCGTCTCGTGCGGCATGCATTCAGTCCATGTATTATTGGATGAAATGTCTACCGATTTTTCAAAATGTGAATCGGTTTGAGCTAGAAACTGAATGGACTACGACAACCCTAGTGTAGATAGGGATTGCCTAAGCAAAGTTGCCTAACTGACAGGGCTGCACATATGTTTAAATATTTATGCAATAGATATTTAAATATTAATACAATAGATATTTAAATATTAATACAATAGATGTTTAAATATTAATACAATAGATATTTAAATATTAATACAATAGATATGATGTATATATTAATATTTAAATATTAATACAATAGACATTAGAAACACTGGTCAAGCTAATGGTGTATCACGGGATGTAGATGATGATGATGATGAAGATGATTCATGGGAACAAGTTGGACCCAAAAATAAAAGTGTTGTGACCAGACGGGTGAGAATAGTTATGTCTTGTATCATTTATTAGTCTCCTGTCAGTTGTAGACCTGAGCAATTCAGTCCATTTAGTATAATTTATATTTGGAAAAATATGTTTTGATCAAATGATTGTCATAGTGACTGAACAGTCTTTTAATCTAGCTTAAAAATAAAAAGTAGTAAGACTCAAAATGCATTCTGTTCCTACCTAAAGTTTGTATAAGGTTTCACAGTCATACTGGCTCACTAACCACAAGGTCGAGGGTTCGAGCCCTGTGCGCCAAGAAAATTCATTGGGATTTTCCGGCGTGGTTTTCCCTTGTCAGTGGTGTACGCGTAGGGAGGAGGGCCTGACAAGGACAGCTGTCTAGTCATTCGGATGGGAAAAAAATGAGGTCTTGTGTACACATTGGGGTTGGATTTCGATATAAGAGTAGATCGTAGCGCTGCTGTCTGGGCAAAATTTCCCTTATAGCACACGGGGGTTGGATGGCTGAATGGTTAGCGTGCGCGCGCTGTATCATAAAGTCTGTCATTGAGTCGACTGGCGTGGTTTCAAATCCCCGGTTGTACGTGACAAGGAGTAGGGTCGCTTGTCCAACGTCGTGGGTTTTCCCCGGGTCCTCCGGTTTCCTCCCACTGCTAAAGACCCCTACGCGCAAGCGAATTATTGAAATAAAATTAAACCATATGTTAGTCCCGAAATGACCTAGTTTGTGTCAAGTGGACGTTAAACCCCATTTCTCTCTCTCTCTCTCCCTTATAGCACACTGCATAGCATATGCCCATCTTCATTAGCCCAGTCGGAGCAGAACAGTAAGACATTGAACTTAGTTTCATTTCGAGCTCTGTGTATGCGAAGAAAATTCTTACAGATTTTCCAGCCAGTTATCAACACAAACCAGTGGTGCAGGACAGGGGGCTGGGACAAATATTGCTGTCCAGACAAAATTTCCCCTCATAGCTCCTTGCAAGATGTATACTGGTCATCATTATCCTGGTTGATGTAGTAAATCTAATTTCATTTCATTGTATAGAATTTGATTACATTCATTCCTTTCTCTCAATGTATAGGCCACATTTTCCAAGACACCTATAAGTGATATATTTGCTGGACAAATGAGATCAGTTGTATCCAAGACAGGATCAAAAGAATCAGCTACATTACAACCTTATTTTACTCTACAGTTAGATATCCAGGTAAAATTTACACAAGTTGAAACAAAACATGTAACTAGATTAATGAAATAGAATATGAGGGCAAATATTCTTATCTGGGGATAAAAAAAATAGTGTTCTTAGTGCCTTTAAATTGTCCAGGCTAAAGTTAATATCCGATTGACCGTAAATTTATAAAGAGTGTTTAAGGTCATGAGACGTAGAAGCCTAATTATTTTCAACGATTTCTGATAATTACTGCCTGAGTTATGGCTCTTGATCACTTTGAAATATCTGGTGGACACTCTGGACGCTAAAGTTAATATCCGATTGACTATAAATTTTAACAATATTTAAGGCTATGAGACGACGAAGTCTATTGATTTTCAACGATTTCTGACAATTACTGCATAAGTTATGGCCCTTGATCACTTTGAAATATCTGGTGGACGTTCTGGAGGCTAAAGTTAATATCTGATTGACTTTATATTTATGCAGTGTTTAAATGGACAATAACACACTTGCTGGCTTGACAGCTCAGAAAATAAATAATAGCCTTATTCTAAGTACTAGATGTTTAAATGTCCTACCTGTTGTGTAAATTATCTATTAAATCCTATTTTACTTGTCCAGAGGGTTCGAAAATATTTTTAAATCCAAGTCACATTTGAAAAGGTTTACATTAGGCTTTTCAAATCATTTAGTTGAATTTTTCCAATTTTTTTAATTAGGTGTGTAAAGATGAAATTTGTATCACCAATTAATTGGAATATTGTAAAATAGTACAATTTGTTGACCAGAATAAAGATTGGGACATATTATTTAGTTACAACAAGAGTGGTATTGAGCCTTTAAGATCTTGAGACAAAGAAGCCTATCAATTTTCAACTATTTCTGATGATTATGGCAATAGATATTAAATGTTTTGTATGCTAAATATTAGAATGGGGCAAAACTAGAAGCCAAGTGGGTAGTTACTCGTAATCAGATTTTAGTGTGTTGTAAATGTTTTCATTTCCGAAAAAAGAAAAAAATATGTGACAACCCTTATTGTCCCCCTGGTAGTGGACCAGGTCACAATTTTTATCAGATTTTGATGAAACTTAAAATGTATGTTTATTTACCAAAGTTCTTGGTTCGTTTTGATATTGACGCATGTTGGACCGCAACATCCTGGATTATAGCTCCTTATTTTTTAGCTTGTTCTCTGTCCATCTCTTGTATAATGTGGGCGTATCTTGCATGCCAACCGATTGTATTTTTTTCAGGGAAAAGTGTTCTCTGTTAGAGATGCCCTAGAAGGTCTTGTTAGTAAAGAAATCGTTGAAGATTTTTTCGACAAAAAAACAAATCAGAAGGTAAATTGTTTTTAATGGAATGACAAATCAGTGTTAGTATTGTTAACAGATTACAGCTTTTGTAGGCCTACGTTTAACGATATAAGCTAGAGTCTGAATGTTTACTGCAAAACAGGTGTCAGTACCATGGGTTCCATGTGGGCCGCATATGCCGGTCAAGGTTGAGGGCTATGGAAAACGACTGAAACTAGATCTGACCAATTGTTCATTGTGCACGCTGAAAAAATAGCACATTTTTGAAAAATTTCAATTTCCAAGCATGTCTATGATCAACCTGCGGCATAAAATTCTACGGTCTGTACAGAATAATGGAAAAGTATAAAAGCCACATAATCTCATGATTGGTTTTATACGTAGTTGTCAATAGATTATACTGAGTGTCGTGTTGATGATTAATTATGAGTGTCTAATAGTAGAACAAAAAACATTATTTATGTGGGAATCTTCTTAAGGATGTGAAGCAGTTTATTGTTAGTCATTAATTATTTGAACACCCTAGTGTCATAAGAATTTTCTAGAGCAAAGCCACCTTACCTCTATTGCAGTCACACACGGTGTAAACAAGGTAATTTTTACAGCGGTATTACATTCTTGTGGCGATTGTAGAAATAAAAGCTAAAGATTAGTAAACTTGCTTACCGAAAAGTAAGGAAATTACATATTCCAGTGCTATGTTATAGCAATGTTGATAATTTACGTAGTCACTAAAATATCTTGCATATTTTACTCTTATTATGCACAACAATATTCTAGGGGGCGCCTATGTCACCAACTGTTAAAATAGTCTGATATTAGGTATTAGTTATTCATTATTAGGATTTATGTCACAATTCTGCGACCTGTAATGGCATAACTTCTGTAAGAGATTGTCCAAAACTGATAAATGTTAGAAATATGCCGAAGATAATTATATATTTATATTCATTTCGAAGTTATTGAATTACAACTCAAAATTATCATGGTCAGTGTGTTTTGCATAGAGCATGTAGTAATACGTGTGAGCTACTGAAATGATTTTTCTTCAACCAAATCGGATTTATCTTTAACAAAGTAAGAAATTTCGATAATAAACACTATTTAAATAGCCAAAAGAGAACATATCATTAATAAATTATTATAAGACTTCCTAATATTTCATTTCTTAGTCCAATATATAATTTTTTGTGTAAACCATCTAAGAGAGTGGTCTAGACATGTAAATTCACGATAACCTACCACGAATTAAAAACATGGAATCTGAATTTAATTTGCAAAGTTTTTGTGCATGAAAACTAACTGTGAAAATTTTGATGTGGAAGCCCTAGATTCAGAATGGACATGAAAGATTTTTATAAATTAAGTAGACAGATCAGTGGTCGGCAGTGAATGGATTTACGATTGTTCAGTGCCATTTATGATTGATAATGAAGCCTTCAACTGGTAACGTTTAATTGAATTACCTCCCTCTAACACAGGAAATATAAATGTGTGGTAATCAATGAGAATATTTTAATTTTTTATTTTTAAAGATAAAGGCTGTTGATATACACATTCTAATATCTAAATATTGTGTTGGTAATATTTAAGACGAGTTGTGACAAAGAGTGTTGATTAATTGCTCTCCTTTATTTTCTATTTCTTAGATTGAGATAATGCGAAGAACAACATTAGAAGAATTGCCCCCAGTGTTAATTCTACATCTAAAGTGTTTTGTGTACAATACTGAAGGTTCTCAGAAGCTTCTTAAAAACATTGACTTTGATGTGGACCTTAAGATAACTAAAGATTTAGTTTCTCCAACAGCTAAAATACCAACATCGCATAAATCTTATAAACTCTTTGCAGGTAAACTTTTCATTCTTTTTTAAGTTGGGTCAGACTTTCAGATATCTAATGGAGTAGTTCTATTTTTCTAGGTGCATGGTGATTTGCCAGTTCCATAAATATTATCTGTGACAAATGACTATCTTCAATAAGTCAATGGTTCATCTCATTGATGTCCAACACATCAACAAAACTCCCCCAAAGTTAAAAAATAATGATTTTAGTTGAACTTGACAAAATATCAGGCACTATTATTAGAAACTGTAACTTTATGCTAGACATATGTAACAATAAAACTATTGAAACGAGAAAAATCTTTTTTTTTTTCTTTTTTTTTTATAAACAATATTTTTATTCAGGATGTCTGAATGGGATTGGGGAACTGGCTTAGCCTATGTAAAACCCCTATCTTTACTGGACATAATTTCAGGCATAAGAGGAACTGTGCCTGACAAAGTCTACATTTGTGACTGTGACAAGTTCCTTATTTCAAGTATAACTTTGTTAAAGTGACAATAAGTCTGTGCAAGTTGGAATAACCTGTCATCATATTCGTGAATATGTTTATTAATTTAGAAATTCTAATAGTTTAGTTGTAATAAACTTGATGGATGGCCAACAAATGTTATTTTGTTAGTCAACTAATTTAAAAATTGGAGTTTTCAATCTGATTAAAACACTGATCCTATTTCGTTCTGTTTTTTTTTTTATAGTTCAAAATTTCGTTTTACTTGTCTTTACGACACTTTGACCTGGAAGAGTTGTTATATTACCAGAGTTGTGGTTGAAGTGAGGGATTGGGCAATCAAACGATCTGTTAGGGCGAGTTCTGGGTGTGCGATGCACGGAACTGTGGGCAAACCACTACAAACGTCAACGCTAATTGATTAACCAATGTCTGACATCTAGGGCTGCAACGATACACCAGGCCACGATACGATGCGCATCACAATTCATACCCCACGATACGATTAATATCGCGATGCAGTTTTCTCGGTCCACTGAACGAATTCCATTCTTGTCATAATTTACGGGAAATCCAAAAACCTCCCATACTTGTGACTTATACTTGGCAGAGGGATTTTCAATTTCTACATTATTTTTGTCGCCCGTACGACCTGAATTTGTTGACGAATGCATCATTATTAAAAATATTCTGTTGCTGAATCAATTCAATGGCTGGCTCGTATTGCTACAACAATTTCAGCCAATGGAAAGCTTTCTCGTTGTCAGGTCAGTCGTAGATGAGAGAATGGCAAAGAAAATAACAATACGAAATTTGAATGTCAAAATATTATTATACATTGAAAATATAGAAAAGATAATTGTGCTGATCATTGTATGCACCTATCACCATTCTTGCACAGTAGTCTTATTACAAATCGCATATTACTGACGTATTTATAATAATATGTTGTATTATTCAAGTGTGTAATTTCCAAGTAACCTAATTTCATGCCTGACTTGCTTATCCAGACTGATATTTTATTTTATTCTTGACGAAATAGCTGAAAGTCTCGAATTATTCACGTGCAGAAAGCGAGTTATCACGTACTCGCTGAAAGTAAAAAAAGTTATTTTACTCATAGACTTATTTAGGCATTCCTCGTTAGGATATTTAAACGACAGAATGTCAGTCTATTTTTTTTTTAATTTTGGATAACGAATCGTGATACGGACATTGATTGTATCATGCATCATGGATTTTTAAACTATCGCGGTTCATCGATTCATCGATGCAGCCCTGCTGACATCATAGGGTCAAAAGCCAATCGTACGACCCCTGACCTGACCTTCCAGTACAACTGGTCAGATCTTCATGTAGTGTAGGCCATCGAAAGTATAAAAAAAGCGAAACAAAATATAGATCTGTATTTTAATCAGATTGGTTTCATTTGAGAAATGTGGAGATTTTCAATAAGTTTATTAATGACCATAATATTGTATGATTTTATTGCTACTTTAAGGGTTTATAAATGTGAATGTTATTTATTTTTCAGTTGTATATCATCATGGTGTAAAATCAACAGGTGGACATTATACTAATGCAGTGTTTCATCCTGGTATAAATGGTTGGATTCATATTGATGATCGACGTATAGAAACTGTTAGTGTACAGAAAGTTCTTAAATATACCCCTCCACGTATGCCCTATCTATTATATTACAGAAGGACCGATTTAACCTACTCTTAGTAACGTTGTGCTACGTTGGGGCGGTCGTATTTAACTATTCATATCGTTATAGAAACTAATAAACTCTAGTCCATCACAAACAATCGTTCCATCAAGAATGTGTCGTGGATTTTATCAACGGAAAAATTAAATTTGCTGTGAAAATTGTTTTTTTTTTGTCTGATATTTTGTTTAATGTTGATTCGATGTTGATTACATGTGTAATATGACATTTTGGATTTATTCTGGAATAATATTAGAAAGAGGAATTAGTAATCCGAATTGGAAATTATATACATGTCATTATTATATTTTTGGATTTGTTCTAGAATTTATTCATCTTTCTTAATCTTATCATTAGCCCTCATCTTTAAATGGATCCGATAGTGCAACAGAAATATTAGCTATGTGGACTTCCCAAATAAATTAGAACAGGTATCGGTGGTTCTCAAAAGCTTAAGCCTGTACACGTGCATATAGATATTACATAAAATTTTCTGAAGGTTCAAAGTAAATTCCCTAGCCCATAATAATTCTGTTACTATTTTTGATACCAAACAATATCTGTTTTCTAAAAAGCATGAAACACTAATTGTTTCCCAAGAATCATGTTGGGGCCCCATTATAATTCCCATATGAATGTATTATGATTTAAATCTACACAGTTGCAGGCCTGGATGTTATCCCACAATGGACACAACAACAATGTGGAGCAATATCGGTTTTTACAAACCACATATAAGATATAAAGTAACATTATATTGGTACTAGCCTAAAATGGGTTAACATTGATTGTCAAACCCCTTAGTCTAATATATAGGGATTTATATCGATAATACAAGTTATATCTGGATTATAGTCTAATGTATAATCAAGCCCAAGTGTAGTCCCCCTCACCCACCTATCTCATTTGTGAATATTCATTTCTTTGAAGTCCTGTAAATCCTGGAACTATGTATAATAATGTAAATATGTTAATTGTATAAATTGCTTAAATTATGGTTTTATAGCATTGGTTGTATAGCTATGTTGTGTTATGGGGTTATTCATTAAAATGGACAAATTGTGTAGAAATTAATAGAACTTGTTAGCTATGTCAAGTTTCCAAATGAATCTTAATTGATATCAGGTATGATAGAAAAGGATATTCTATGGGTACACATGACCTAATCACAAACCTTTTAATTCCTTAAAATCGATTCAAATCATTTGTTACCATAATAAACATTAAATCATGATTTTAGAAATGGGTGCTTATATCGTTACCAAGTACTGATTTAAAACTAAATAACATTTTTAAGAGATTTAAAAGTTTTGTGGATAAGCCATCAGATTCAATTATTTTTGAAACTGGATTTGTATCATTTTTGAACTGCTCTCAATAACACGTGAGATTGAATTATATTTTATTTGCGTTGTATATTGTGTATTGTAATTCTGTTATTGTTTATTTTTTGCGCTGGTTTGTGTATTTGTATTATATTTTTAAATAGACGCAAGCCAATTATTTCATACTTCATGTGTGACAGGAAATTTATAAATGAATGCTTAAATTGGTCCTTTGGAGATGAAGAATTGATTCATTTAACATTGCCTTCTTGAGACAAACCAAGAACTGTGTTGTAATGGTTGTAGAAACTGTAAGAACTTATTTGATAACAAGTATACCGTTTTAGTATAAACAGAAATTATGAACATATTTGTTCTATCACTGTAAATACTGGTAGTTTAATTGTAAAACCTTATTATCCACTCTTGCTTTAGCTGAATTTAGCAAGTAAACAATTGAATTTTGTGCTAATTTAAGTGGTATTAGCAATATTATTTAAGGACCTATTGTTAAATTGGATGGAATGTAGAACTTTTAATAAATGTTGAACCACTTAATAAATGTATATGTTACTACTATATAATTAGGTGCTTTTTTGGTAAAAGTACACATGTGAATAGTGTACATATCATCTGTACAGTCGTCTCAAATTGTCTATAATTTTGTGTAAAAATTCATTTGTTATATTATAATAAAGTATAATCTATGTACAATCTAATTTGTTTAGCTAATATATGGGTGAATATGAATATTCAAATAAGATTAACATTGCATTTGATTTACCCAAATTTTGTAAGTTTTGAGATGAGTAGTGTATATGTGATACATGTATGGTATTCAAAATAATCATATACAGTAGGAATATTATGAAAATGTAGGAATATTTAAAATTCATAGTTTATTGATTTAGTTAAATAGATCTATAAGAATATCAGATGTTATTGGATAATATTTGAAAGGCTATTGCGATTATCAGTTATATTGAATGTCAGGTTGTGCTTTGTAAGTGCCTCAAATATGGTTTTGTCTTTAGTTAAGGTATTTAGATTATGGATACATGTAAACATGCACAAATGGATAGCATTTCTAGAAACAATATTATTTTTAAAATGTCGATTCTTTTTTAAAAACATTGTGGTTATTTATTGCTTTTTGGGTTAAATATGATTTATTAATGACATTTAAAGGCACTTATGAGTAAAAGTTTATGACAGGGTTTTCTCCATAAAGAAGTTAATTTAATAGGATATATCGTCACCAAGAACCAAATTAATAATCCTAGTGCAGCTATAAATAACTCTGGAAATGAATGTACATAGGAGATAAGCCAAATATGAATAGTTTGGAAATTTTTGTTTTGAAAAAAAATTCTTAATTATCCATCAACTGTAGAAATTTTAGTATTAAAATTGCAGAAAAAAAACCAAAAAACAGAACTTTAGCATGGACGAATATTTTATAATTACATTCTAAATTTTATGTACGACTTTACTAACATTGCCAACAAAGAATTAGAGCTATGTAAAATGATAATCAAAATGTACATAATATTAAATACACTATATATAAAAAGAATATATTGTAAGATATATGCACAAAAATAGCCTTTGTTACCCAGGCTATTGATGTGTACAGTACACCCACTAAGAGTTACACAGGGTATGAGCCTATGGTTAGCCTGGGTAATAGAGGTTAATGCACAGGATATAAAAACAACTAGACACAGACTGCACTAAATATACAAATTAGATAAATAATCTGTTGGCTTTATGTAGTTTGTAGATCAGCTTATGTTTTCTATTTTGATGTCATGTTTTTGTATGCTCCTACTCTAAATTCTTTTTTTTTTGTCATTTTGATTTTTGTGAACAGCACTCATTAAGCTTGATTGTCATTTATACAATACTGCAACATAAATTGTAAGACGCATGAGAAATGGGAACAGGTGTTACTTCATTTCACAAAATATCCATGTTTGATGTTAAATGGAAACATAAAGTTTTGTCCAGAATCAGTTTTGAATATAACTTTCTTGTTAAATGAAGAGAATTGTATATGATTATTATTATTTTATTTTGTTCTATGGATTATGTTTTCTATTAGTGTGTGGTTTTAATGTTTGATTTCAACTTTTATTCATGACATTCAGTTCAGTGAATTGTTGGCCCCTTCCTTTTAAAGAAATCTGGAGACGATTAAAATGGACTCGTCTGTCTGTCGGCCTTAGATGGATCAAGACATTAGAACATAATAACTTTGATTCTGAGAGTGACTCAACTTGGCGTATATAGTATAATTACATCAATACCTTGATAATGAGCATTTTGTGCAAGGGTTAAGCAGAGTAATAAACAGTTCGATTGCTCAGTGCTTTATAAAAAGATAAATAAATAGACAAGAAATTAATGAATGTCATCTGTTTATAGTGGGATTGGAGCATCAGCGTCGCTGTTGGCTTGTTATGACTCCCATTACTGAAATTTATATCATTCGGCCGAATGAGTGAACACACTAAGCGAATTATCTGCCGATCCACCAGTCAATTGCGTCTCCTTTTATGTCACATGATTAAACATGGCAGCGATCACGTCTTAAAACAATCACATGACTTCTCGACATCAGTGGTGATTGGCTATTGAATTCTAAAAATAAGACGAACCGGACACACTAGGCGAATATATTCTGCCGTATATATCAAACGTTTGATTCGCCCAAATCATTCGGCTAGTATATGTCCACCGCTTTAATCACGTTTGTTTCTATCCGAGCCATTACAGAAGAATTATGTGATTCTATAAGAAAGAAAAAGACGACATTGTAAACTGAGAAATATGTATATCTTCAGGCAATGTCTTTATTGCTGAGATATTAAGCCTGTACATGGATCAGAGTATAAACAGAATATACTATCTCTTATAATCAATAATAACTTATAATCTGGTTTCACTTTAATCATGGGGTTACCATTGTCAAATTCTTGTGTGTAAATCATAACGAGTTTGCAGATGTCCAGATTTTTAAATAAGAATTAGGTGTCTTACACACTTATGTTTAAGTCGTAAAACAGTTTTTGATCAGCAAATTTGACAACCCCAAAACGACAACAATTTACTGAAAGTGTTAACAATGTAATTCCAGCATTACTTAAAAAAACAAATATCAATGTGATTATGAAGCCCTAGAGTAGATTTTCCCATACATATAAGAATTACTATATGTAGTCAAATAATTACTCTTTATTACATGTAACCCTGAGGGAATTATTTCTCTTTATGATTCTATTGAACAATAAAAAAAAACCTTGTCTCTCTTCTTTATATATATATATATATAATTATTATGTATACTGTAGCCATTAAAGCCAATAATGGCTTCTTCTTGTACATTATGCATATTATGAAAATTGTTACTCTTTTGAAATAAAGAAAACTATTGTTTTCAAATGTGCTTTTATTTATTCAGTTATTTCCCAGAATACATTACAGAGCGGGAGAAGCTTACTTAGGGCGTTTTTATCGGCCACTGATTAGCCAAGGTGATTTGCATTCAATCAAATTTTCATCTTTAACGTCCATCTAATTCAAATTGGTTACCCTAATCAACGAATTTATCGACACCGATTTCTGAAGCGATTACATCAAATCGCCAAATCACTTCAGGGGGCGATTTGATCGGGTGATCACGTGTTTTTTTCAACTGTGTCCAGCCACAACAATTGTTTACAGCTAATCGGAGCATTTAACGAACTCGCCAAAATACTTTGAAATCGACTATACTGTCACATGACATCTCCACTAAATTCAAATCGATTTGGCAAGTCGATAAAAAAGCCTTATTTTAATTTCCAACATTTCTTATGTTCCAGTGGACGTTAACCCTCCCTCTGTCTCTTACTCTCTCAAACGCGCAAATTTAATGATAGTGGTCCGTTTTCTTGGAATATGGATTTCATTCTGCACAGGGAGAAATATCTACCTTGAGAATAGATCTCTGCCTTGAATGGCCGCCATATTCAAAAATTAGTACATGTATACTATTTTGTGATATGATTCTAATCCGTTTTACATCTTTCATATACACTTAAAGACTGAACACACATTTTCTGTTTACTTAGATAGAAGCAGAATAAATACTTTCTCTAAGTATGATTTTCTGCTAAAATCGTCGATTTAGCTATTAAAATATCGGCCAACCACCTTCTTGTCTCGGTTCTAGTCATGCATGTAAGTTTCGTATGTATAGATTTGCGTCTAATAAATTAACAGAGTTTATAATTATATCTATAGTCAATTTGATATTTGGATGTTGGTTTGATGTTGAAACGAAATTATTACTTTCTTCATAGCAGATTTGCGTATGGCACAAAATGTTAACATATGTTACAACGAAAGGTGTTCCCATGGTAGTCCCATATCTCTGACTATAAAACATAACCAAAAACTCAAATTCATCTATTTGTAGAACTGATGCTGATCTACATCGGTCATGATTTTAGTTTCACATAATCCAGAAATGAAGATATTCGTATATATTATGCACTGATAACCATATTTTGGAACAGATCCACATCTTATCTTGAATGAATTGGAGAGGTGGGGTGAAATTTTGTGTACGTAAAAGATCCCTTAGCAGTTGGAATTCGAAATAACAGTATGTCGTAGCGCCACTGTCAGGGCACAATTTCCCATATAGCACACTGTATGGCATATGCCTGTATTCATTAGCCCAGTCGGTACATAAAAGTAGGATGTTAAACACCATTTTATTTGAATGAATTGAGTGGTGTCTTTAACTATAATGTCCAGTCAAGCCAGAAATATGTTTTACGAGCAGATGTTGTAACTTGACTACATATAGGTCTTAGTGGTGGTATATCGGTACGATTAGAAACTTTATGTGGTAATGGATTGGTTTATCAACGGGTCTTTCCAAGAAAACTTTCTTTTCTGACTGACCACTTGAATTATCTCCACTGACATTTTCATACACAGACGAATCTTTAACGTAATGTCCAAGTCACAATTTTATTGAATACAATTACTGCTTATTACTGAGCGACGTTTCGACTAGGCTTCTCTAGTCATTAACACGACAACACTTTAATGCTGACCAACCAGAGATATCCTTATAATTACCTTAAAAGGGACAGCTAAGGTATCTCTGGTTGGTCATCTATGGAATATACTATTCAAAAAAAGTAGGGGATATTTGATTTTTAAGTGTTATTAAAGTCACCTAATGAAACTGACGAAGAAACAAATGACAAAATAAAATGAAGTTCACATTCATCGATTTATTCCAAATGATCGTTAGACTAAGTAAGGCACAGACTGACCATTATAAGGGTAAAATGATACCCGGGGTCAAACAGCAAAGTTACCACAGCATCACAACCAAGTCAGTAACGGGTAAATCCTCCTCTGTTTGCCAAACAAGCATTGATCCGACGTGGCATACTCCTAATGAGATGTCTAAGGTCATTTTGGTCCAGATTGTCCCATTCCTGTTGCAACGCAGCAGCAAGTTCTTGGACATTGGCAGGACGTTGTTGACGTTGACGTAACCTCTGTCCAAGCATGTCCCAGACATGCTCGATGGGGGAGAGGTCGGGACTCAGTGCTGGCCAAGGTAATGTGGTGATGTTCTGTTGTTGGAGGTAACCTGTAACGATCCTGGCCCTGTGACATCTTGCGTCGTCATCCTGGAAGATGAAACGGCGGCCATGACGTCGTGCGAACGGCACAACATGGACTGCCAAGATGTTGTCCCGGTAGTACTGGCCTGTAACACGCCCTGCAACAACATGTAAAGCCGTTCTTCCAGCAACAGTGATGCCTCCCCACACCATAACAGAACCACCCCCAAATCGATCATGTCTGATGACGTTAACGTCTTGGAAGCGCTCGTTTCGACGACGCCACACCCTCCTACGTCTGTCCAAAAAATCAACAGTGAACCTTGACTCATCTGAAAACATCACATTGCTCCAGCGTCGATTATCCCAGTGTTGACGATGCCTACACCAACAACGTCTTGCCTGAATGTGATGATCTCTCAAACAAGGGATCACGCGAGGACGTCGGGCGCGAAGGTGACCCCTATGCAGTCGATTCCGAATCGTCTGGCCACTTACTCTCACACCAGTGTCTGTTTGAAGACGAGCGCTGATCTGATTTGCTGTGATGACACGATTTCTCAAGGCCAAGGTACGGATAAATCGATCCTGGGCTTGAGTTGTCGCCCTTGGTCGACCTGAGCGTGGTCTGTCCTGTACAGATTGTGTATCACGGTATCTGGACCATAGCCTGCTTATGACAGACTGAGAAACATTCATCGTCCGCGCCACAACCGCCTGTGTTGTGCCGATCTGTAGCATGCCAAGGGCACGTAACCTTTCATTTTGGGTAAGCCGACGCATATCAAAATTTGTTTTCTGGTCACTAAAACAATTAAACTGATGTTTCCACCCTGGAATTCAATGCCACAATGACTGTAACATTCAAAGTCAGAGTCGTGCAAATCTTGGGTTGGACCCCCATGATGATCCCAAGCATCACCTGCATTCCATGCGGTAGCTATTGGTGCGTTTGGGCGTCACATGTAACTGGAAATGTTTCTTCTGTTAGGTTCTATAGTGACTTTTTTCGTAGTCATTTGCATATTTTAGTATTATGCCCCCAAAATCAAATATCCCCTACTTTTTTTGAATAGTATACAATTACTACTTCGATCAAAAAGTCCCGTCCACGTCTACAAGGAGTTCTATATGAAAATTGGGACTGGCTGGTCTTTTTTTAATGGGAAAGGCCGCTGATGGATCATGGCTGAAATGAATAAGCTAGACATGTTACATACGGGATGTCTGTACTACTGTAGGGTAGTTAAACTTCGGTTGTTTGTCTTTGTCTGGGTTATAATCCTCTGAATCATTGGCGGCGCTAAATGCCAGTGGATGGAGGGGCCTCTCGAGGGCAGAAATGCAGCAATTCAAGTGCAGACTGCTATCAGAACACAAGAATAACGATTTTGATATATGTGATATCGGAGACAAGTGTTTCCTAAGAAACTAACAAGAGGAAGCCATAATATAGGTTTAAAGGTACGGTAGGCTACCTGGGCGTTTCTTTCACCTTTAGCTTTGTTATTAACCGGAAGATTGCCCGTTCCCTGTGGAATTTTATTACAGCCAAGTTGCGGAGACGCTTGTCGCCCATATATTAACCAGGAGAGTCATTCGGCAAACCTCTGCTAGAGTGGCCCACAGACTCAATTCTTTGTACTATATAAACTGACCTGTTTTAACAGCATATTGTCACGCGGATCAAAACTTCGTTTATGAGAAAAGTGCTCTCACGGGTTCGCTCGTGCACTGTAAGCAGCAAACAGTCGCCCAAAATAGACATTCACGTGACAATATTCATTCACTTATTTATCAATGAAGCCATGTAAAAAAATATTCTTTACTCGTTGGACTTTTAAAAATAAGTAGTTACGAACTAGATTAAAATTTTGGCTAAAACTCGGCGATTTAATTTCTAAGTTAGTTGATTGTAACCAATGACGTATATATTGTAACGGTTCTCGTTTCAGAGTCAACTCATGTAGTTTCGCCTTTTTTCTATCTTTTAAATCCACTCTCGTGGCAAAATATACCGACACTGCAAGACTGTGAAAGTTACTTTTATTTAACCGTAAAACTCTGTTGTTAGTGGGCGCTTTAGTTACTTTAGAAGTTACATTGTTGCTAGCTCTAAATACGCAGAAAAAATTTGAGACTGGAAATGAATTGAACGAAATTATTTTCCCTAGTCTCGATTAACCAGACGTGTATGATTAAAATAAAATTACGGTACTGGTCACAAGACTCGGATTCTAATCATTTTAGGGCGCTGCGAATTTGGCCTCCGGTTTTGTGTCAAATTTAATAGGAGGATGTGCCATTTTGGCTATACCATTCGTGTTTAGTATCCTTATGCATTTTCCATTTCTAACATGGTGGTTACAAAACGTTTCAGTTATTATAAATCCAGCAACAACTCATTTTTCTAGAACTGAAATATAACCAAAAAGTCGCGCATTGACTGTTTCATAATTATTAAAAATATGAAAACGCGACACGATGCGTAAATTGTGCGTCTTACTTTCGAGAACAATAGCTATAAAACAGAATTTTCCCGTCATATAACAGATCAAAGAATTTTTCGAGACGCATTGTCACGTATCGACTTCTATTGTTAGATTATCTGGCGCCACAAATAGCCCAATCATATCAAAAAGCATGCAGTTCCACCTTGAAATGGGTTCAATTGATTTACGGTTTATTCTATGATTTATAACACAGTTTAGAGCACAATGTGTAGGAGTCGCATTTTTGACTTATACGGAATTCCGGATGCAATGCTAGACATTTGGACCACTGCTGCCGAACCGATTTGAAAATGCTTA